ACGAAATCTTTTCTCTGGAGCTGACGAGCCACCTGAAGACGTGGAGGAGACGGAGACTGTGCTCTCGATTCCGAATAGACCCGCTCTTATGGCAGCTTTAATAAGCGATATTAACCTTGTCATAGACAAGCCGTTTTTTCCTTTGGAAGATTACCCAACATTCCTCCATAGGATTGGAAAAGGTATTCCAATGTCTACACAATATGCATTACTCATTCCAATGAGCTTCCAGTTGGACATGGGAGAGGCCCGCGTCAACTTAAGGGATTATCCCTTGGATTTGTTGCACATACCAGCTTTGCGCCCTGGACAATCACCAAGGCTTCCGAGCTGGTCACTTCGAACCAATTTTGTCATTGCAGAAGAGTATCGTGATTATAAATCGGCCAGGCAAGTCCAAGTAGAGCTGGTTCCTCCAACCGAACTTCCAGACGGGTCCAAAAGTCCGTCGTTCGAGATGAGCGTTTGGCGATCGGTAAGCCCGGTCAAGACATACTCTGATCCGACAATCGAGATCAACACGAGTCTCCCAACGAGCATCTCTTGGGGTATGTCGTACCAGCCTGTCATCCAGGATATGATGAAAATTATAGAGGGCTTCACCAAACCCGAAATTGATCCTTCAGACAGGGTTGGCTTCTGGGACAAGATTCGACTGAGCTTCCATTCCCGGCTTCGGATTCTCTGGAAAGAAGACGGAGATGTTCACTTGCGCTTGAAAGGCTCTCGTGATCCGTATGTCGTAACCGGTTTTGGAAGTGGATTCGTCATGTGTTGGCGTAAGGATGTCAAATGGGAAGTCCACACCAGCGATGATCCAAAGGAGTTCATGGGTGTTACCAGTGGGGAGTATGTGCTAGCTATTCCAGACTACAGTCACGAAGCCCGCTTCATGGCGGAGGCCACGGCTCAGGATCTGGAAAGCACATCGTCATCAAGCGAGTTGAAGAATGCGGCCCACTTCAAGAAGGTTGTGATGAAATTGTCAGGCGAAGTGAAATGGGTCGTAGGCCTCGTTTTTGAACGAAATGTCGATGAAAACAGGCGGTCATTCCAGTTCATGCCGCACTATGATGTTGTTCTCCAGAATCCAAAATACGTCACTCCATCCGAACGTGCGGTCTATGACGCTTATCGTGGGTTCCGGAGTAATCATATCCATCTATCAATCTCCGTGCTTGCCCCAGAGAGTAGGGATTGGTCTGTTGACAATGTTGAATCATCCACTAGCTACAACACAGTCCATCTCACTCCGCGGTTCTTCACTCACTTTTACAATTGGTGGTCTCTTTTCTCTGGGGTAATGTCACTCCCTGTTCGTCAAGGTCCATTGTGGCCCGGCATTACCAAGACTAGCAAGAAGTTCAACCGCCATCTTGCTACTGTGAAGTATCAATTGCTCTTCGCTCCTTTGTTTGTAGCTCACATGTACAAGCATAAGGATCGTGAAGACTATGGCGAGGATGTTGTCACAGCGACAGGAATCAAGGTTCGCTTGGACAGTCTGAAGCTTGATGTGCACCAAAGACGTGAACAGGTTAAAACACTGGCAAAGGGACGGCTCAAGCAGACGCAGGCTAGCGCCATGCGGATTAACCAAGCCGAGCTAGATTTGCAAGCTGCGGATTTCAGAGCTGTGTCGGCTAGCATTGAAGGGACAAACTTGGATGATATTGAGCAAAACAAGAACGATATTATCTCATCGTTCCAGCAACCTGTGCCGTCCGTCGATCTTTCCCGGTTTACGATCCCGGATCACAATCTTGATTGGATCGATATGGATGATTTCGTGGAGCTGGATTGGATCCTTCCTCAAGAGTCAAACCCGCGAACGCAGATTTTGCCTTTAGCATTTACGCCACGATTTACTTATTTCCGCCAGACAGATCATGGGGACATAGGTCCGGACGAGACAGGCTACAGTACTTTCGGCAACGAGCCTACTCATGCGTGTGTTATGTCCGAGAGTAATGAACCACGCAGAGTGCAAATGGAGTTGATCAGAGAGCGCTTGGCCCACGTTGAAACTCAGGTTCAGGATTGGGAACGCACAATTGGAGAGCAAGAACTTCGCATGGCCAAGGATGTTGATCAGGACCCTTCATTACGGACAGACCATGAGAATTACGTCAAGCAGGCGCAGTCTCTCGCTCGGCGACGGGCTTTCCTTGCCTCTGCACTTCAACGTCTCGAGCGGCAACTCGCTCGAGAAGAATTGTGCTCAACGAAAACAAGCCCTGAAACTGTCGCAGCTGATGTTACCAACCGAGTAGGGACAGACGCGGACTCGAGTAACGATGGCAAGGATGCGGATATGGATGGGCTTTATTCGTCGCCTCACGACGAGTTTGCCACCAATTTCAACAATCGTTTCATAATACACAATACTCAGCTAAAATGGAACAATTCACTGAGGAATATCATATTGCGTTACAGCCACCAGGTGAGCCAACGGCGTGGATTTGTGTATTACATGTCTCGAAGGGCAGTCAAATTTATCCTTGATATCGTCGACGAACAAAGCAAGAACCAGAGAAGGTATTCCAAGTTGTTCAAAAGCGCATCGAGACGCCCCTCTGATATTCGTGGCCTTGTGGATAACGAAGAGGATGGAACCGTGGAAGATCGTATCGAGCAACTGCTGAATGATGCGAAACGCTTTGTAAATGCAGACGGACATGAGGATCCTGATCACAAGAAACAAGACGGTTCAAAGTCTGATGATTCTAGTGAGAATATCTCACCGGAATTCACACCGCAAAATAGCTACCACTTGCGGCTTATCGCCCCTCAGATCCAGCTCCAAAGCGAGAAGAACCAAAAGTCGGTCGTATTGGTTGCCGCAAAGGGCATGCAGCTGAAGGTCGTGTCAATCATGGACAAGGAACGTGTTTCTGACGATGTCAGTGGACTGGTGCAGCGCCGCTTCTCCCTCGAAATGGATGGTGCTCAATTCTTTGTTGCAACGCAGAAAAATTTGATGAAGCATTTGCAGTTTTACGCAGGCAACAAGTACGGCAATTCTCCAGGCTCGGCATGGCCACCTTGGTTGACTATCGAAGCGATGTTTGATTTTGAATTGAACCCATTCGGTTTCTCGAGAATTGTCCAGAAGACTTCTGCAAGCTTGAGATACGACAAGTATAACAATCTTCGCCTGAAGTATAACGAAGAAGTGGCAAAGGGACAACCCGACCAAGACCGTGGTCTCGGCAGCGAGGAATGTAGAATTGATCAAATCAGCGTCGAGTTCCCTCACTTCCGCGCTATCTGTGATTCGGTTGAATACTACTCTATGTACATTATTGTGCTTGATTTGCTGCTTTACAGCGAGCCTCTGGAAAAAGTCCGGAACGAACGCCTGGAGAGGATCATGCTCAGCTCTGACTTCAGCGACCTTAGAGGCGCACCGGAGATGGTTTTTAAACTGCAGTCTCGGATTCGTCATCTGGAAGAGATCAAGGAGCATTTCCAAATCCATGCCAAATATCTGGACAAACAAGGCTGGGAAGATCGCATGGAGCTTGAAAAGGATCTCGCTCAATGCGAAGACGAGTTGTTCTTCTTGATGAAAGCAATAACAACTTCTCAGCGGAGAATTGATCCAACAATGTCTGGGGCCCATGGCCTCATGCGTTGGAACATATCAGCCCATGAGGTTGTCTGGCACCTTATGAAGGACGAAACCGAACCATTAGTCGAGTTCCAGCTACGAAATGCCGAATATGAACGTACTGACAACAGTGATGGGTCGAACCACAATCTCGTAGCAGTCGAACGACTGTATGGATTGAACCTTCTTCCAGACGCCATCTACCCTCAAATTATTGTGCCGTATCTCGACCAAGCCAAGCCTCTGGACTCACCAGATGATTACATGATTAAGGTCAAGTGGCACATGCTTGAAGCAGTTGCTGGTATCCCTGTTTTGGATAATTTTGAGGTGTCACTTTTCCCGCTCAAGATTCAATTGGAGCATGAGCTTGGCCAAAAGGTGTTCGAGTACATATTCCCTAATGTCGGAACGAATGCATTTGAGAACGGGGGCTTTTCGCCCTTAATGATCAAGAACATGAAACCACTGGAAGACTCCGACGAAGACGGAGAGGAGGTAGAAAGTCTGGCTCCGCCTCGAAGCGCCCATAGCAACACGGATGTCTCAACAGAAGACCTGCAGAAGGGACCGGGTGCTATTGAACTGAGGTTACAACCGACGTTCACGTCATCTGATGATGCTAGACCCCGATCAGCACGCTCTAACCATCTGAAAGGCCTCGCCATGATGCCCCTTCATAAGGATAGCAACCGGCTTGGTCCCTCTGAACCTTCTCGTCAGACAGCGCGTCCGTCAACTAGTGGCGGTTTATCTACTAAGAGATCGGCCGACAGTTTACGGTTACTATCAAGACAAGGTACGGACAAAACCCTTGCAAATGGCTCGGGCGCCAGCGTTGGTGAAGATAAAGGGAAGAAATTCGGTTTAGCCAAACTACCGAATAGAAACAAGTCCAAAGCAGCCACCGACGATCTATCCCAGATGATGTCTCGTGCATCAAATTACATGACGCTAGCCCATGTGAAGGTGCGAGACGTTGTACTTTGCTTGAGCTACAAGGGCAAAGGAGATCATAACCTGGAGGATATCCACGACTTTGTCTTCCGTCTGCCAATTCTGGAATATCGGAACAAAACATGGTCCAACCTGGACTTGGCTTTGCGACTTGAAGAAAGACGTCATCAAGGCTCTTATATCCCACGCACCTGCGATACTTGGAAATAAATTTTCACATCATCGCCCTACAAAACAACAGCAGAAGAAATACCGTGATATAGCGAACTCTGCCCAGCTGCTTCACAACCCTGATAGTGCGGCAATCACGATATCCGACAAAAGTCAGACGAGTCAGGACTCGAACAGCGAGTACTCAGAATCCCAGTCGCAGAGGTCTGTTCATTCCGGAAGCTCTCGACTCTTTCGTTCGAATTCCTTAGGGTCCAGTATGCTCAGTATCGAGCAGAGTGGCCTAATGTCTGATACTCGATCTACTAGTGAGGTCGACGTGGATGCTCGCTGGGAGGTTAGTGTTGAATGATTCTAATAATACTAAGAGTTTCGCTAACCACTGTGCAGCAATCTCGCAGGGTTGTGAATCCTCCATCCCGGCCTATGACTTCAGGCACTGCGATTGCCCGTTCCGAAACTAAGCGCTGGGACGGGGCTGATGAGGGGTGAGCTATATTCATACTGGATGGTAGAGTGCTTGTGCTAACTGCGATTTAGTCACAAAATGACGATCCGTAACTTTGGGCGCAAATTGATGCCGTCCAGAAAGTAATCGTTCAACAGAAAGGGCGTGTATTATGGCTTTACAACCATGTCCGATGGGCGAAGCAAGCTGCTTTCCTGACCATTTATCCTTCTTACCTTACATTTTCTACGTCACTCTCTCGTGGCCTGCCATTTTCTGCTACATGATACCCCAAATGCAATGGGTCGTATATAGGCGTCATCTGTTTCACTGGCTTCATATTATAACATGTTTTTTATTTGCAGTGTCAATTTTATCCTGCTTGGCTAATTGTGATATTTCTTGTGACAATTGCTGTACTTATTCTGTCGTTGTCCTGGGCTTGCTCGAGCAATGGGCCCGAGCCTCCTCTTGCTTTTGCTGTGTATAATTTTCCGTCTTCCTTTTATCTATTATTATCATTACATGGGAGCAGGGGGCGCATTGGAAGGCCTGTACCAGTTTAGCTGTGAGCGCCTGGAGACAAGACGTATACATGCATCGGGTGTATATCTGGACTGGTGTATAGATAGACGGTGTATTGGAAGGGATATTAGCGTTATCTTGTATGTACATTGAAATTTATGCCACAGTTCAATAGTTTTTCCATTTAGTATTACTTCAAACCTCCATTTTCCACCGAATATAAATCATGTTGCCATCAGAACGAATAACGTATCTGAAGACTAACGAAATACAACCCTATTCACCCTGACCAACAGCATTTATAGCCTTATCACAAATCTGCTTAATCTGTCCCCACCTACAAAGCAACATCTCCAACCTACTCTTCTCCCACTTCTCCCCACCATTTCGTCTCCTAGACCCACCTAGCTTCTCCAACATAGACCCAATAATCTCCATCGTCCTCTCACACTCCTCAAGATAAACCCCAATCCAACCCCGAATCACTTCCGCCGACTTCCCTGCATCAAAGGCCCGTTTCGACCGACCCTCAATGTAGATCCGGAAGTCCCGTTTGGACATGTATTTGAGACAGGCGGCTGTTTCGATGTTGGCGCTTACGCCTGTTTCTGTGACTTCGAAGTTGCTTTTCCAGGAGTTGAATTAGTACGAATAGGATCGTGGGGGAGAGTTAGTGTGATGTCGACGTACCCGAAACAGCCTTGGTGGACTAGTTCTTTTTTATCGGTTATTGTTAGGTCTTGGAAGATTATGTCATCTAGGTATATTGAGTCGGATTCGTTCTTGTCTAGGAAGAAGCCGTCTATAGGAATCCTCTTTGGTTAGAGGTATATAATGAGCGTGGGATTAGAGAGGAGCTGACATTCGACGAAAAGGAAGTCGTTTGAGTGGGCGCCGTAGCTCATGTAGACTTCTGAGCCTTTTTCTGTTGGGGTGGTTAGTCCTGCCTAGGAGTCTTCTTCTAGCGTTGGTTAGGTATATGGGGCTTGGGTTGATGTCTTACCGTATCGTTTGGTAGCCCGGAATGTGTAGTCGATATGGTCGAATCGGACTTCACATGCCTTTTTAACTGTTAGGTAGGGAGGGTAAGTGAAAGAGTGAGTGGGCTAACCGCGTTATCCTCGTGATTGAAATAATCAGCATAAGGGACCATCGTGATGGCATCGTTCCAATCCTCTGGCTCGTCCTTCCCGGGGGAAATATAGTAGAAGCTTCTTGAGTTGATGATGAGCCAGTAATATGCGAACGTCTTCCATTCTGTTTTCGGGAACACGGAGAGAATCTGTTCCCAGGCGTGTCTGAGCCGCTTTTCCTCTTGCGCCAGCATGTTCTGATATCGGGTGTCGTAGTCGATGTCTACGGGTACCTTTTCGAAAGAATTCCATAGCCCAGATACAGAGGGTGGGAGCAGACTTGGTGTGGAGGAATTGCCCTCGTCTTCAAAGGCGGAATTTGACCGTCGCAGATGAGCCGGCCATAGTATAGGCGTGCTATCTTCGAGCTCTTGCCAGTTTGGCCAGACATTGCGCCATGCGTCTATCTCTTTCAGGGCTTTGGCGTCCCCGTGCGTGAGATATGCGGCTAGAATGCCGTGGACGGATGTCCCCTCGGGGAAGAGATCCACGAATGAAGACGGGATGGAGTCAATGGATAGCATTGCCGTTTGTGGGACGGTGAGCATGATCTCTCCCTCCTTTCTCATGATGGCTGGTCAATCATTGTAGCGACGTTGTACGGTTGTATTTGTTGACGTACTCACTTCTATGGTCTTCGTTGCAATCATTCCTAACCGGCGGCCGGGGAATCGAGCTGGCGCTATGCCGTTGATCTCGATTCCTTTCGAGATGGCCCATTTTGTGAAAGCGAGGTGCTCTTCACCCGGCAATTCGTCCATCACTGCTGCTGAGTCTCCTACTGCCTGAGAATGTTGATATGCCTAGGTTGAGTTCGTCGCGAATGCATCCAGCTAACAGTAACTGTCTCGCTCCTGGCCAATCAGAGTGCGCAATATGCCGGAAACGGATTACATAAGCCGGCGGAAATTCCGTGATTTCTCATCAAAAAATCTCGAAGGCGACGGAAAAGCTACATTCACGGCACAGGAACTCACCCAGTGACGAGTCGTGGCGATGGCTTCTGAACCGGTCACATCGGGGCCCGGCGAGGCCAACTCGGAGAACCCCACAATGGCAGCCCCAGATTCTAAGATCGACCATGCCGCTTCTATCCGATACTGGAACAGCGTCGCTGCCAACTCCAACACCATGCTGGGCATGCTGGGGAGCTACCCCTGGTATACGCGCATTGATCTACGCGGCTCGAAAAGTTTTCTTTCCAAGGTCCGACGATTGGTACCCGGCTGCGCCACCGAAGGGAAATTGAAGCTGGGAGCTGACTGCGGTGCGGGGGTGGGGCGCGTAACGGAGGGGCTCCTCAAGGATGTATGCGAAACCGTGGACGCAGTCGAGCCGGTCGAGAAGTTCACCCAGGTTATACACGACAGCGCTCTGAAGCGATCTGGCGTCGTGGGCGATATTTACACCGTCGGTTTGGAGGGGTGGTACCCGGAGAAGAAATATGACCTGGTCTGGACTCAATTCTGCGTGGGACATTTAACCGATGCGCAGCTGGTTGAGTACTTTGTGCGGTGTCGTGAATCTTTGGCAGATACGGGAATCGTGATTGTCAAGGAGAACCAGTCGACTGATCCCAATGGAAATGATATGTATGATGACGAGGACAGTAGCGTGACGAGGACGGATGAGAAGTTCAAAGAGATCTTCAAGCAAGCTGGTTTGATTGTTGTCACATCCGAATTGCAGCTCGGATTCCCGAAGAATTTCAAGCTGCTTCCCGTGAGGTTCTATGCTCTGCGGCCGAAGAGTTGAACTCACTTCCCAGCATTGTGATGGGCCTTTATACCCCAGGAGTTAAGATACCAGAGTCTCTGGACATAACCAACGGGGTGGCAAAGCAGGTAAATCAGTGCGATGTCTGGTATTCCTAGTTCCTGGCCTGATATCCCTATTTCCTAATGCCAAGCTCATGCGCGTGGCCCTCCACCGCGTCCTCATGCCCCAACGGAACCGTCCGCCGCTCTGGATACGGCTGGCAGTCGATCTGAATAACTCCTTGATCGTTCATGATACAACGGCATCAAAAGGAGTGGTCATTTCAAGCTTGACTAGCAGCCTCATTAACAACGGGATGCAACTATTGTGCAAAAATATATATTGACCTGAATACATTAGAGCTGGTAGGGTATCTATATACAATACATTGAATACACGTGGATTTTAAGCATATCGTCGTTAACCTTGCTGTCCACAGCTGGATCATTGTCACAATTTCCGCTGAGGAGATACTAGGTTCATGGCGTGGTTGGACCGACTTGATTTTCCAAGAACTGCTGGGTTCAAGTAAAGGCGTGCTTGTTAACCCCCGGCGTTTGCAAGCGCGCAAAGACGGATGGATGAATGAGAAAGGAAAGGCTGATCACAACTTGCGCCTTCTGTCACACAAAATATTGAATCATACATTTGAATGCCCGTCAGACGAGGTAGATCGTGTAGTGGGCTTTTCCTTGTTTTTCTCGCGGCCCCAGGGCCATATATGTTCATGTATTGACTCGAGGCGAGTCCGATCAGCCGGCGCGCTAATATCATCCGTGTAAGGAATGCCTCCTTGACCGCGGTTTTCAGCCCATGCTTTCTTCTCACGACGAAGATCACTTTGGACCCACGGGATGGTAATTAGCGTCCAGACGCCGGCCCAAACGAACGGTAAGGACCATCCAAGCTATGAAGAACGCACTCGTCAGCTTTCCATATAATAAATCATCAAAAACAGAATGGGCAGGTTTACCGTGTACGCAACAGGTTTCGGTGTCGTAAAAATAATTGCAGTGATGACAGCGGCAAAAATAATAGAGCCTCCAGCCCAGAAGCAGTTCATTTGAAAGAGCATACGGCGGAAGTATGGGCTTGAAAGATACCGGACTCGAAGGGCATACCGGTACTTCTGGCCCCCACCCCCATCCACTGCTACCACATCTTCAATCATGACATACAAAGCCGTGGGCATTGTAGAGCCCTTTGGGGTCGAGGAAATCCGGAAAGGGGCCTTGAAACCTAGTACACGGAGAATATCGAGGGCCAAGTAGACACCACCGAAGTAGAACATGACGCTTGGGAGGACCATGGCTACTAGTCGCACTATAGATGTATAAGTATGGGTGAGAGCAATAAACGGTAGGGGACGTTACCATAGGGTTCCTCCTGGACCGTTCCCCTGGCCTCTTGTTAGTATACAACCCACATCCTTCCAAAGCAATGAACACTTCCGAAACTTACACGATGAGTTCAACGGCGAGGATCAGCCAGACAATGGTGAAATTGATATGGAAGAAATCCAGCTGCAATGGAACGTTAGTCCCCGATAGGCTCTATCCTCGAGGCGTCTTGATCAAGCCTACCCATGATTTCCGTGCGTTCAACGGCCGAGCGCGAGAATCCTTTCGAAACAAGTTATAGAGCCGGTAGAAGTATTCAAATACAGAAATTCCTCCTAGCGCAGCTGTCACAATGGTAAAGACTAATTGCACGAGTCGGTTAGCACGTATATCATGTCATGCCCGTGTATACACCAAAGACTATGCCAAGGACATACCCAAGTTATGCGACAGGTTAGTGCCATACCACAGACCGAAGTAAAGTGCTACAGGTTGAGCGAGGGTATCAAAAACGAATAATATCCAGAAAATCGCGATTGACTTCTTCCGTGTCCGTAGCGAGTAAGGGAGCGGCGGAGGTTCCAAAGGGTTGGTACTGGCGGTTCCTTCTTCCATCGCTATAGCCCTAGCGATGGTGAGGATATGCGGAGATTAACTGGGGTTTGACAGTATTGTTGCTGATAGGAGATCAATGGAAGGGAGATTGTTATGCAACAAGATTCATGGTGTGATCGAAGAATGGTAGAAATGATCCGAGTGTGAGTGGCGAGGAACGGGGCTGAGTATTGCCGCTGGCAATGCGCGTTGGGACTGGCGATAGTTTTGTTTGGGCTGCAACCAATTCATTGAGTGCGCCGGACGGTAGAAGATTGTTCTAGGTCGAGAAAGATGAAAAAGGACCGGAAAACGAATGGAGTAATTTTTTTTGGGTCTGGCTGTAAAGTATTTGACTTTTCTGGGTTGAACAAACAAGGTGCCTGACGTAACCGGACCCCGTGATGTCATTTGACATCTGTGTGAGATTACAAAATGTATGTTTAGATAACTAAGTAAATGTCTAAGACGGTATGCCGAGGGACAACACCAGCAGTAACAACAACAGCATTCTTGATTATCCTTCCCTCCGAAAAATAACCATGAATAAATACCTTACACAGTCCACACCTACCTGATTTTCGGTGTACTTAAAGTTTCACCTTCCGCAGGATCAAAAACTTGAAGAAAATGTTGCATATGATTGGTTCCATTTACTGCTATCGGCGGTTGACTGTCGCCGAACTTCCGATGGCAGCGACGTATCTACTAACATACCTCAAATGAGTGTACCTGAGTTCGAGAGTTGATCGTCTCGTCAAGGCGATATTCAGATGAATCGATATATCAGACCAAAATCAGTTATCACTATTGAATCAACGAAGAGCCGAAGCAATATCACAAAATTCTTTGCTTCTCGGTTTACTTAGTTGCTCGCCCTGCAGAACTTCAAGCAAAAGTTGGATAGAAGTACTAGTAATAAACGGCGAATCCGGTCTAGCCGGCCGATCAGCGACGATCCCTTTGGATGATGCATTAGGTGCGTTATGCCGAGAAATCGAGTGCTGTATGACTAATTATGATAGTATAACTATTGTGCAGCGAATTCAAGGAACACAGATTGCGTACCCTGAACTGCTTTGAATTGCTTGAAAGCCTTATCTTCCAAGCCCTTTTTGTTTGAGAAGGAATCGAGTGCTAGGTATCATAGGTTAACCCTATTCGTAAATGAATCAATGATTCCACCACAGAGACTCGACATTCACTGGATGCCTGAGAACCATGGCATAAGTCACGTGCCTAGAGACCCGCCACCCCCACCAATTTGCTGCACATAATTTTTCACTCTACGACGATGGTTCGAATCTCGCGCTCAACGTGGATCGAAGGCTTGTCAAATTTCTTTTTGCGACGGAGAGATTATCGCCCAGGTGATGAGTTGAGATCAATGGGGACATGTCAAAAATTTTTATTCCACCCCTTCCCTTACCTATTGGCCGCGATTCAGCCATGTAAATAGGATGGCCCCGAGTCTACGAGAGTTGATTGATTTTCTCCTGGCAGAGATTGCTCTCTGCGGTGATCAAGGTCAGTTCGCGGTCTTTCCTTTTTGTGTTCTTGTTGTGAGGGTCCACTACTACAGCACCGGCTCTAATTTTGGCGATTTGATATCCAAACCCCTGCATCCAGCTTCCTCTGGCGCTTTGGATCAAAACTCTCTTTTTGTTTCCAATTTTTCAATAACACAATTGGATGTACCATAAGAAGTATAAGGAGACTAATGTATTCCAGGCGCTTCTCCTTCCGATATCTTGACGTTCATCAATACTTTCTATGCCAAGGCTGCACAGGATGCATCCACCCGCAGCCATGTTGTCGACCGGCGATTTCAGGAGAAAGTTTGGTCATGGCTAGCAAGAAACCCTGAAGTTTCTATTGGCGAAAATAGAGAATGGAATGCTCTAAGTTTTAGTGATGTAGAACGTCGTGTTAATGATGCACCCAGCTCTGAGCACACTGCCCAAAATCCAATCCGTGTTTTTGTCTCGAAGGAGAGGACATGGCTTGCCATCACAGGCCATGAACCAGACGAAAACAAACTTCTTGCCACCGAATTTGCTCTACTATCTATCATCGCATCGCGCAAGTCGAATGGTATTGCTCAGACGGAATTGGTGAAACTGAGTGGTCAAGACAAGCGCTCAGTCCCCAAGCGAACTGACCAACTGCAGCAAAAAGGCTACATTGAGAAGAGGGCTATCCAGATCAAATCAACCCGAACTAGTCTTTGCACCCTACGTAAATTTATGCAAGCGGAGCAATCATCTGCAGAAACGACAAAAGACCAATCCTCGGGGCAACCACAAGTGATCGACTATAAGGAATTCAGCAAGCAGCTTTTCAGTATCCTTCGGGAGCATGAGATCATTTCCCGTGTTGATCTCAAGAAGATTCTCGGCTTCGCGGATAGATGGCGGTGGCGTATCCTCTCTCGTGCTCTGCGGAAATTTGAACGCATAGGCGTCTTAATGCGTGTCAAGGCCATGTCGCAGTTTTCTGAAAATGATAAACATTATTTTGCTTGCGTGAAGCTTATACGAGAACCGACCGAGAAGGATTTGGAGTTGTTCCATGAATTTAGTCGAGGCATCTCAACCAATCTGGAGCAGGATGATAATGCGGAACTTGATGAAGATGTAGACCCGAATGATGCGACAAGGGAATCTCCTCTGCTAAATAATGGTGAAACACTCAATGTGATGAAACGCGAGGAGGATACTGATGAAGCTGGTCGCATTCTTCCTGTGTGGTCTCCAGACCAGACTATCCACAACCTGATCCTTGACGTTGTCGAAAAAGCGGGGACTGAAGGAATTATGAATCAGGTGCGTTAAATTTAAAGAGACAAAAAAAAAACAAGAAACAAAAAAAAAACACAGCTACCAGTTATCATTGAGGGAATGTAATCTGACCTACCTACCAGCAAATCATCAGAAAATGCTTTGGTGGTTTCTACCGTCGGCCACTGGAGAACACAATGAGTCGCCTGGTAGAATGTTGGCAGTTGTCACAACCATTGCACCTACGCCACATGGCTATTGTACGAGACACGGTACTCAACCGCACTATAACCCAGTATAACCATTTCACCGCAACAAACTTTGCAAAGCTTGTTGAGACGGGTGAGTCAGCCTGGGAAGCTGTTGAGTTTACCCCGAAAAATCCGAAGGTTGACAAGATTCGTGCACCGCCTGTTGATGCACAACCTGAGCTGGACGAGTATGGACTGCCTGTGGCTGTACCTGCAAAGGAGCTCCTGAAAAATGGCGATGTCTCTCTTTTGGAATGCATAGTGGCAGTGGACCCGTCAAGCTACAATGTCACCAACACTGATGCCGCAGCCATACGACTTAAAGATGGAACATACGGTGTGTTATTCCAAGTCTGAGGAGTATTGATGTTATCTACAGGACTAACGATTCCTAGCACTCCACTGTGGGCAAACCAAGGCGCCAGCGGGAAGTAGAAGGCTTGCTACAAGTTCTGACATAGTAACTCCGAGCAGACCGAAAAGAGCACGTCTCGATATATCGGATTCGGAGATGGGCGATAAAACCCCAGGCAGCTCTATCTCACTATCAAACGTCGGAAACTACCAAGGGATGAGTCTGAAAAGTTCCAAGGAATGTCTGAGATCGAGAAACTTAGAGCTCTTGGTTTAGATGAGACTTGGACGGAGTACAACGCTCTGTTGATTAAACGTCCGCATTCTGGAGTTTATGTCACACCGCGTGGAAGGCGAAGACCTACTGGCAAAAGGCAAGGTCGTCCAAGGATCAGTCGAATTGCTGTCTTCAAGTCTCCGAGGCTGTCATCTTTTCCCTGGTTTATGGAAGAAGCTGAAGCAGGCGACCAAGACGACGGATCACAACAGCCTTCTCGGGAACAGACTGTCGAAGAGGCTGTTGAAGAAAATGCCGAAGACACACCTGTTCCCACACCCGTTCCCACAGCTGCCACGACAAGTAGGGCCTTAGATGCTCCTGAAGATATAGATGCCACACCTTCCCGAGGTACTAAAAGACGCTCAAGGCACCCTGTATCTAAACTTGAATCTAGCCCAGCAACTATGCGCACTCCAAAACAGAGACGCATTACCGACTTTACCACTAAGGCTAATAGTGTTCCTATAATTGCTACTGGAAAGTCAGAGGGCATTCCAGCTGGAGACTCAAGACAGGATAGCCCTGATTTTGGCAACGATGATAAAACCCAAGGGAAGCCATTGAAGCGGAAGAGGGCCGAGTCACCCAGCCAAAATAGCCAAGAGGTTGTAACCGAAAACAGTTCAAGAGAGAGCAACGTTCATGCGACACAGGTCCTAGAGGTACCGTCCAAGAAGCCCCGCGAAGCAGTCCGAAATGAGGGAAACAAAGACGCCACAGGCGCCAAAGACAACCTTCCAACGGATCATGCCCCTGTTAATGACTTAAATGGATCGGCACCAATGGAGACAGAGGAATGCAACACCGCGCCGACAGACAGGGCTGCAGTGGATAAAACACCGGCATCTCAGGCTGTTCTAGACGGCCGAGAAGTCAACGCCAATCCCTTGGAGCGCCCAGATACGGAAAAACTGGCTGAGAACAGCAGAGCGAGAGAAAATGTGAAGGAAAAGAAAGGGTCTGTCGGCTTCATACGGCGAAAGATTATTTTGGACATCGTCGAAAAAGCTGGCGGGGCATTCCCCATGGGAACTGAGATCTGGTACCCGTTCGCGACTGCGTGGAGGAAGACCAAGTACAAAGAAACCCCCGACCTTCGTACGATCAAAGCAACCGTGAAACATATAATTGATGCTGGAAAGCTTCGCCAATTAACCTTTAGTGGCAAGGATAACAAAGGGGTCATGGTAACAAAAAATATCATAGCTAAACCCGACATGCGGGCAGATGACCCCTTGGTCATGGATATGCAGAAAAAGATGCTGGCTGCAGGGTCCCGACATTACATCCCACATAATGTCGACTACGACCCCGAAATGACAAAGACTGGTGCAAGGAGAGTCACTTTTGGAAAAGATGGCAGAGACCCCAACACGTATTCCAAACTTCCTGTCGAGTCAGCACTCACAGTACAATTACAGTATAAACCAGGCTTTGTTGTAGCCCAGGAGAAGAGGAAGGGTCTGAGCGTTCAGAAGCGGCTGTTGCAGAGGATCGGGGAAGGGAAGGAAAATCATTCCAAAGTGGTTCGACTCTTGTCACTCCAGCGACCGTTGGCACAAGACTCTATTACTCCTGGAATGACTGCTGCTACAAGGCCCGATCAAATAGCCAACCAAGGTGGAAGGCGGATCAAACCGGGACGTCGGCCTTCAGTACTTCAAACACAGGACGGCTCAGCCGCCGACGGTGGCCGGAGAATGAGACGCCTTTGGATTCCCATATCGTCTATGGCACCATACGCTATGCTGATGAACTCAAGGCAGACGTTCTATGCAAATACAGGAACATTCTCGACAGACGGAGGCCTTGCTGCTCTGCGGGCTGCAAGACATGACCAAAAGAAAGCGCGAGAGTTACCACGTACTCTTGAGGCTACCAACGACAAAACACCTGAACTACCTCATTCGCTTGATGATTTGTTTAGCCAGACACGGCGACGCCAGGTTGACTACTCCGAAAGTGCAGACCCCCGATCGAACCGGTTCTTCTATGATACGAATGTGATTATGCGATGGGAACTTCAAAATGAAGGACTGCTTGACAAGAAGAGTGCAGATCTTTGGTACATCAACCAGACAGTGCAGGATAGTTTTGATAGCGCTGGAATAGAGGGCAACGTACGGTTTGACATTGATGAACCGGAACTTCCAGCGCGTCCCCTGCCAGAGCCCAGGGTTACCAGACAAAGGGGGCGCCGATCCGACTTTTCTGCACAGCCTGGTACCTTTGGCGCAACGACGCTTCTCGGATCTAACCGACTCCCGATATCTCGGACACTGGCTCCTGGATTAGCGCGGAACCGTCGCTTGGAGAAACTCAATGCATCAATGGCAGCTGGCGATGAGTTCGATACGACAATACAACCCGCTGGATCTCGAGCGCCCGCTCGTCGGAATCGCACTGGATATCAATTGCCGCACTTGCTGACTCAAAGGATTATGATCGCGATTGTTGTAGTCCGTGCCTTAGCCGGGGGTTATGAAGGTAAAATTGTCGACTGGACACTCTTTTCTAGCAGCTTTCCGGATTATGATCCGCTTTTCATCCAAGCGAAAGGGAAGTACGTGTTAAGCAAGAACCGGCTCCAGTTGGCAAAAATGCAGAGCGACTTCCAAGAGCGTTATCTTGAAGCATACAGCGATGGTCAGGTTCCTCCGATCAACTACGATGATCTCGAGGGGTATGATTGGGAATGGGTTGTCGATTGGGCAAACGCTCAACTCGATGTCCCCAAATCCGAAAAGCTCCTTCCGGACCTCCCCGCCACACGAGAGCAATTTGACAGTGTATTCGAGATTCGGGAGGAACTACCGAGCACCCTGGATGACATTTATCAGACCACTCAGCCATTGACTATCAATCGCAAGCGTACCCTTTTTGCAACCGTCCCATTTGCCCTCCCTCTGATCGATAAACACAAGACGCCTACCCCTCCCAAGCAGGATCTTTCTCGCTTGGACGTGGTCAAATCATGGATTCGGGCCAACGTCGTTACTCCGGAAGAGGCATACAGACCTGCCGAGGCACGGCAAGCACTGTCGTACATGGGAAGCTTCATAGAAAACGCCATCGAGTCGTTGGTAACAGAGAGGATCATATCAATGGGTAACCGAGGCAGGATCACGCCGGGCCGCAACTACGACATCACAGATCACTTCCTGCACGCATTGGGACGTAAGCGACTGATTGAAAGCACCCAGCTCCGACGGGCAGCCAGGTTCAAGACGCAAATGCTCGACCCAGAATTACAATCCGAAGGCAAATTCGAGATCAAATATAATGCCGAAGACGGCGACATACTAGCAGTGATCAACCTAGTGGCCGCCCGCAGAGTGACCCTGAGACCACGAGATGCTCCACGCGATAAATATGGGTTGACAGAGGGTGGCTACCTGACCAGACAAATAGACAGGGATAAGCTCCGCTTCGCAGTTGAACTGTACCCCGTTGAAAAAACCTACGTGTACGGGAACCCGATTGAGAAGGAACTCAACGATGCACCGGCGCCCTGCCCTCCCCGAGCTACGAACAACGGGACAGCCTGGGTACCAGAAAAAATACCTCTATGGTGTGATATACACGGTGGCTTCATCAAGCTACTGTGGGATTTGGCCGTCGCCGCAGTAGCTGGTTGTGTCGCTAGCAGACCGGGGCTCAGCGCCGCGAGCATTGCCAGCATGATCAAACCTACAATGGGAGCATGGGAAATCGAGCACCTACTGAAATGGATGACAGAGATTGGGGCCATGCGAAAGGAGGGCCCAAGTGGCGAGAAAGAAGCTGGATGGACCCTCCAGGAATGGTGGTGGATGATACTATGCTAGTTAATCTCATCTATCCCCCTATATTTAAACATGTACAAGTACTATATTTTTCCGTCACTTAATCATGAAGACCAGTAATATACACCCACCGTACTTTACCACCTAATAATACTATAGCACTTGTGCAACAAACTAAGTCAGAATCACCGCACCGCATTCCCCAAACCTAGACCTTCACGTAAACAAGCCATTGGCACAGAGAACAGAAAAAGATGCCTCACACGCAGCCCTAAACCGTTATTCAGGGCGACACCCCCAACCAACCAGCCGCCCCTTTTCATTCTTTTCCTATACATACTTTTCTTTGAGTTTCATCCTGCTTTAGTCTACGGACAAAGTTCGGTCAAAGGAGCACAGCAATTCCTGGGTCGCACCGGGGCGATCTAGAGCGATCCGTGCTCTGGGGCAATGTAGCACACCGGTGCAATTGGGCACGGCCACTAGGCCGGAGATGGTATGTCGTTCGCGTTATTTAATATCTCTGTTATAGGTCTGGCTTTTTTTTTCATGTCCCTTTCAATTAATATGTTCAGTGTTGGCCGTAATGGAGCCTTGAGTGGCTGGTTGGCTTGAATGGATATAAATAGATGGGATGGGATGGATGTTAGTACTTTAGGTATCGAACTAATATTGGGAGTCAGTTGAAGTGTAAGAGTAATGTCTCGAAATCTTACTTGTGAGTAATTATTAAGTGGTACTACTCTGTTGCTGTAGAATATAGCTATAACAGACACATTGTAGATTGAGTAGAGCCTACAGAATGGAAGGGGGAGTAAACTAGAGCCGATGCTCATACACTGCACCATCTGAAGCCATGGATAAAGTATCGCAGAGGGAGCATATCCAAATATCGATCCTATGCTACGTCATGAAGCAATTCCCCGGGCTTCCATCTAACCCGACAGGTCTAAACCGTGCGAAAGTGACCACTATCAGTAACGATATTCCTCGCTGGACTTCCCCCGGCTTCTTCAAGCCCCAGTTCACCGGACGAGTTCAGCTCGTCTGGTAAGTCTACAATATCCAAGAAGGTAGTGTTTCCGGCATATATGCCGGAAGCACACCCTCGAGAGTTTTACGGTAGAATATTCTTGCGCTTTATCACACCGCATCCCCAGACTCAGCCGTCAACTAAACATCTGCGCTAGAGGCTAGGATCGCGTACTGAACAGGGTCGGGTTCGCACGAATCCGGCATGCGGCAGAGGGTTCATGACCGTTGGTACTAGAAGTACTTGACCTCCCGGCCTATGGCATAGTATTCACCTGCCGCTATGGCCTCGTAGAGTCGATCCAGGGGGCCGGGTGGGGGTAACTCGTGCGCGTTATGTGGGGACGGAACGCATGTTGATGTTGGTAAAGTCGCCGGAGGGCTACGCGGGAATCCAGGAGGGGAGTTTTGGTTCTAGGACGGAAAAAATGCTATGTTGGTAGGGGAACAAGGAGGCGGAGTAATGCGAGGATGGGATACTTGTGTCGGTGGCTGAGACGGACGAGAGTTCCGCGTGTCTCGAAAGTGTAGATGAATCAGCGCAGGTCGCATCCGCCGTGTGATTTTGGTCGAGGGCGGTTACGCGCTGGTGTTTTGTTTTCCTGGATGATCCACTTAGAGTTGAAAAGACAGCGGATTTCAAGATGAGATAGATTAATCGAGGTGGTGGCAGGGTCGGCCCTATTCTCGATTCGGATACTGCAGGTTCTAACTTTGAACCCCAGACTGTATATATACAGATGCGAATAGGACTTGATGCCAATCTAGAAGGACTACTCTTTTATGGAGCATGCCAGATGCAAATATCAAGAAGTTACTGGAGTGATGCTCTCATGATATAATGCAAGCGGACAAACAAGCCAACCCCAGAGATGTGGCCACAAAACTTGACTAGAAGCACCTTACATGCAGCACTTCTGGCTGTACAGAAAGATGTCAAAGCTTGGTCGCCATAAGGCCAATTGTATATCCCGTGTTATCTCTGGCTCTGCGTCTTCAGCTTGATACAAGCCCTGCTTTAGTAGATATCGTACGCGTGGGATATTCACTCGGTGGTATTGGGTATGGCTTTTGGTGAAGTAGGGTCTCAGGCAGTAGTGTGTTCATATGACATACTTACATTTGGTACACTGCTAAGTTAACACCTGCAGACCCGGATAGCTGACTCATGAAGATCAAGCTGCCTGAGTCTCCGGGGCCGACTCACAACCTTGTTTGAATAGAAAGCGCGTCTCCATCGGCTGGCTTTGACTTCATAATGCGATAATCACACCGGAACTCCAAACATGACGTGCATCCATTTCTTTCTTTGTTGCCTTGGGGGTTGTGTCCTGAGCGTACGACGATCAACATCGCATAGCCATTAACAAGAGGGGATATTGGAATAACAGTAAACTTACTTCACCTACCATACTCACGTACTCACATACTCTGAAGAGAACCTTGGTGTCTCAAATGACGTTCGATAGAGAAAGATCATGAGTAGGGCCTGGCAGGCTGACTTTGGTGTCTTATAGTAGCGATACATGTTCTGACAGTGCATTTACCTAGATAGACTAGTCGCACGAAATATGCGAGATAGATCGGCTGCCACACACCAGCAGAGACGTCTCACACCAGTATATTGTAGACCGTAGTGCTATTAGTCGGTGGCACTTTCTTAGTCTGTAGCCATGAGTAACGCTCTCTATTTTGTAGAAACCTGTTTCCCCGGGCTCAAGTATGGAAACGGCCTAGACCGCCAATATACCATTGTATATGACATTACATATGCCCAGGACTTACTCCGTACCGAGGTAAACACCGTGCGAGTCTGAGCAGAGCAGCTGAATGGCGCTACGGTCAGGCCGCTGGCGGAAGCGCATCCGCAAAGGAGCATTGATTCATTCATTGTTCCCGCGCAATCCAAAGTGTTTCAATCTTACACGGACCCCTGATTTCTCCTAATTGATCGTGTACTTCTACGTATGGTAAGTGGTTTCTGCCTTGTGTGATAGACGTAAGAACCAACACTGACCTGGTACATTGTCCGTAGCTATCCCATTTAGAGTAGCAGCCCCCCATCCAAGCCCTAACACACTTCCCGCTGTTCTCGTCGAATGTAACCAACACTCTTCACCAACAAAGTAAACAAAGAAGCCCGGGGAAAAGTGACAGAATGAAGTACCGGACTGGACATGAATTGGTGGAATTGCCGTAGCGACTCAAACCTGAAGACTGAATTTGGACGATTGGCATGTCTTTGTTCCAAACTGTACCGCGGCCTGCTACTAGGACTATATTAGGGAGAAGCCCCCATTCATCGACTGGACTTGAAGGCTCTCTTGTTCCTTGCTTCAAGTCATGACGCTATCTCCGTTGCTTCATGTCGACCCAGCAGGGTGTTTTACCCCCTCCTCCCGGGGTAGAGCCCAACTTTATCAATCCCCCGAACCATTTTCAAGGCTGCATCCCGTTCCAAGCGTTTTACTTGACCCTTAACTCCATGGCTTTGGTAATGCGACTCTATACTCGACGATTTATCATACGAGCTTCTCTTAGGATCGATGACTGTAAGTGGTTTCACCCATGTACTGAAACAATATGACTGAACGTGGGTAGACCTCTGTATCATTGCTTATGTATGCAATTCTGTGCATGCCGGATGTTAAAGGTACTAAAGGAACAGCAAACAGCTTTTATCTGTGTGCTTCGCAGCCGCCGTTATCCAAGGCATGAGACTCCGGGCTTTCTCTCGCAACAGCTGTTAACTGGCCTTGCAGGTTATACTTTGGGGCTTGGGCGTCACGTATGGGATATCACACGTAGCGGGGCTGCAACGATCACAAAAGTAAGAACAAGCATCACAGTGACAGAGTTAACTATATGTAATAACGAGACCAGTCTACCTTCTATGGATTCCTTGCTTATGTCCTCTGCCTAGCCTTTTCCAAGCTCACCATCCTCTCCTTCTACTACCGCCTCTTTTCTTCCCAATCCATCTTGAAAGTCATGATTATCATCGGCATCGTTTTCGAAGCAAGTGCAAGCCTCACGTTGGTGGTCGTCTCCCACTACACCTTCAGGCCATTTGAGGAATTTGTGGATCCGACAATCAGGCCAAGAATCCCACGAATAGCCCCCATTGTCTTCTCAGGCCTACTCGGTATGACAACAGATATATACATCCTTGTGCTACCGATACCACCGGTATTAAGATCGAAGGTACCTCTACGGCAGAAGTTAAAAGCTCTAGCCATCATCATTCTTGGAGCTAGGTGTGTCCTTCCAACTCTCTGCGAACTCTTCGACCTCCATCATGGGATGCATCTAACGGGCACACAGTGCATGCACTGCGAGCATTATGCGTGTCTACCATACTGGGCATTTGAAAGACCCCAACGTATTATGGAATATAATGTTCGTGGGATCCGTGGGATACTGAGCGTAAGTCTATTATGAGGATATTGGACCTCCGGCTGACAATAATTTCAGCAGTGCGGTCGAATGCGACCATGCTCTCCTTTGCTCATGTCTCCTCGTTCTTCCCGTCTTTATACAGCACCACTGGCCCAAGCTTAGGGCCCTTTTTGGTAGACTCCGGCTCAAAACTCATGGCTCCAGTGTAGAAGGATGTCCCTTACAGCGCACGCGCTCCTGGCCGGCCCAGGATCAGTGGAATGTTAATAAAAGGGTCGACATTTATATCTTTGAGGAGGTTAGACACTTCGAAAACCTGCCGAAGGCGCATCTTGCGATACATCCTAACCGCCACTTGTCTTCGGCTGATATAGAGCAGGGGGAGGGAAGTGGTTATCGAACGCTTGGTTCTGTGAAATAGAGCGCAAGGTGGTACCTTGGGATTGGATTTATAGTTATATGCTGCATACTCTCGCTACCGAGATTTGTATATTTGTATACGTTATTGTGAATAAAAGTTCATGTGTAGCTTAGCGACCCGAAAAAGCTCAAGTCGATGTAAGATGTAGTGGGATTTTGCCTCTACAGCTGTAGCCTATGGGTGCCCTGTGGTCCAGGTTGCTTTCTGTCTGGCCTACCCATATACGAAATCGCCATGTCGTGAATTCAGTTTAGCGCTGAATCCCCAGACATGGTCAATATTCACGCGGGATTCTCGGGGGCTACTGCACTCGAAATAGTGGGATTGTGTTATTTCCTATGCTGGGATTCATCTATCGGAGTAAGATTTGTAGTGAAGTTGAAGATGTAAGGGGATAAGGGCTAATGAGCTCTAGGGTGCAGTGGAGAATAAAAAACTACATGTAATATCAGTTCTCTTTTCTTTTGTAGGCACTATCAAGGGTGACAAGCTGCGTTATTGTGTGACTGAAGGTCTTCATACATATGGAGATCAGTGATATGGGCCATTCTATTAAAAGCAACCTGTAGTCTTGATGTCTATCTTATAAATTCGATCAATTGCCTTGCATTACAGGGTCTTGTAAGCCCCCAAGGATCTTCCACATTACGTCTGTTAATCATTTCTGGGATTCCTATGGGCCACCCAAGTATCATAGCCATCCTGCAAGAGGCTTCAGTACGTTAGTTGATATTCTCAGGGGTGAAAGGGAGCTCTCATGTGGCGGAGTATCAAGATATTCATAGAATATTGGGAATATACGGTACAGTAGAAATATCAATTCCTGTATGAATGTAATATACTCGAACGATGAATGAGCAATAATGCTATATCTTCACTACGTGCGATCTCTCTATAAAGCCTCTTTATGATGACCTAATGTCGGCTAGTACATCTTCTACCTAAGATATCATTCGCCTCATAATCTTCGCCAAATACAACGGCCATGATCGTTCGCTTCATCTACGAATCCCAGGGAGCTTCCAAAAGGCCCAACCAACACCATGTTCTAGTAGAACTCACTGTATTTTGCCATGTCTCCCATACATGAGCCACAGGCCACTAGCTACGCCGAAAACGCCCTCAACCATGGACTTAGGGTCATATCCAAACAAATTGCCTAATATGCCAATGCCCTCCTGTCAAAGAAGGGCTATGATAATGTTCGCGTCCTGGCCCTGAGATGGTCAAATGACGGCCTGGGACTTGCCAACGTCAGATGGAACTACCACACACAAACACACTCTTCTACAGAGATACATGGCGTCCAGACTGCAGCAAGAAATGCACGCGGTAGTCCTCTTTGGACTACCAGACCTAGCACACAGGCTGTGTCAAATTGCTTATGTTCGCTACGCCGCTTGCAATCGCCCCGTCCTAGAACTTTACCACCTGGTCGTCTGATTATATCTACCGAAGGCCCATGGCACTTGAAGAAGAATTTAGAGACAAGGTTTCGATACCAATGCATATACCATTACATATGCTCTTCAGTTCTGGGAAGAAATAGACCGAGCCATACTCGCTTCCCATCGGACACAAACAAACGTACTGTAATTGGAGGTGAATAGCGTCCAAAGGGACTTTTCCAGTGTACTGGCTCAACTTTGGCGCTATATGATTATCGTATGTGACCTAACTGAAAAGCACGGCCAAATTGCTAAAGACATGAAGCTGGCCGATGTGCAGTACGGGTTCTTGACAACGTATACTGGAACGATTTTCTTTCGAAGGATCGTATCAAACGCCAACCGGATCCTACAGTACAGTAGGGACATCAAAGGCAGCACACAGACTGAACAAGATGCAGATGGAGACTACAGGTCGAACCTCTCCCCGGGAGTGCTTTCTCTATGCGATGCAACCTGCTTGCATCTCATTACGGCACTTCTCAAGGAACTTCAGGCGTTCTCTCTCTCCACTGACACACTCGTTCTAATAGCCCTCCACCCCCCTCTTTACGTTCGTTCTTTTCAACTATATCTGGTGATCTCCAGCAGAGTAAGCAGGCTGGCAGTCCGGCTATTGCAGCAGGCGCTGGAGCGGGTAAAGACCTCCAGGCTCCCAACTCCCACGGTACTTCGGCTCCTTGGTGTCGTCATAATCATCGAGGTGTGTGGTATTGCGTATTGCTTTGAGGGCACTGTTGGTATCATTGAAATTATCAAAGTGCCAATCTCTCGCATCGTTCCATAAGGTCATTGTAGCATGGCTGAATACATACGCTTTTGGTCCTGATCCAGACCTCAGATAGGCCAAGCTGCACACTCTTCAACTGTGCCTACCAGATCGAGTCAGCATATTTTCCAACACTGCCACTCACGTCGATGGCCAATATGGACATCTGCATATTCCAGGCTTGATATACTGGGGTTGATAATCCTCGGTGCCTTTGGCACACTTTTGCAATCATGACAACCGAGTCTTGATTAGTTCTAGAAATTATTTATATGATAAGGGTCGAGATTCATCTCGAGGCTATCTTAAGACTCGGTCCTGGTGGCCTGAAAATACTGTCGTGGAAATATGACTTATTGTGCCGTCGATACTTGGAGAACTCATTATATTCACACCTACTCATCTCTCCGTCTCACTCCCATCTGTCGCATTCATGTTCCTCGATCTTCGTTTCTTCTAAAACACTTGCCTTTACATTATTTACATGGCATCTTCTGCAAGGTATAACCTACTCTTTTCATCTCTAGACCATGGTTAAGAGACAGCTGCCAGTCTAAGCTCGTAGTAAGACATTACAGCAAATCCTAGAATAGAGACTAAAAACGTGTCCTCTATAATCACTCATGGACAGACTCGGTAGGCAGTGGGGTGTTTTGTACCTCCTCTGTCGGGGCTATAGCATTCCTGAGCATGGGGAAGCTGTATTCTCAACCTCGCGAACCAATTCCTTGTGCGCAGAAATGTTGGTACATCAATCACAAGCCTATGTTAATCATCTCTGCAAGATGAATTAGAGATTGCATATTATAGAAGCCGGTATCTTATGGGCACTCTCTCCTGATCCTTAGAATCCTTTCAGACCTTCAGGATGGCCAGGATCTGGACAAAGGAAACAACGGTGATGTTGAATCCACACATGAGTCCGGCCAAGCTTCGCCTGACATCAAGTCAAATCTAGCCTTCTCTATCGAAACTAGCGGGCCAATTTATGTTTTATCAATTCATTGTTGGGAGTCGAAAGAAGACTTTTCATATAGTCTACATAGAAAGGAGACAACACATACCCATTGATAAACCCATTCTTTACTATATCAGATATGTTCAAGTATCAGTTGAACCCCACATATGTACATCATATATACACCAACGACCAGATAAAACATAAGCTCCCTACCCCATATCAACCCCTCGTATACTACAAACCCTAACTCCTACAATCGAACCCCCCTTTCCTCCTCTAAAAGCTGCCTCGAATGCTCAATCTCATTATGCACAAAGCAAATACCCATTGCCTTGACCATCTCCGCAGCTGCAATAGCCAGTCAGTATACCTATGTCGCCATCGTGCAAGGTAGAAAGGGGTTGTCTTACCAGTCATCCTCTGCACAGACGGATCGTTCTCATCTGCCCCGTTTAGCCGGGTGTACTTCAAGATATTCTCAACCCGCGGTTGACGCGCCTTCTCGTAGATCGCTAGTCGGGATGGAATGCCCTCGGCTTTTGTACCCAGTGGGAGGAGGGTAGCTATGCTTAGCGCATCTTCGATGGCCATTGCGGCGCCTTGGCCCATGTCTTTTGTTTCTTTGGTTAGCTTCATATCAACAAGGCAATCAACCATATCAAACACCATGACTGAAAGGAGAAGAGAGATTAAAAAAAGAAAGAAAAAGAAAAAGAAAAAGAAAAAGGTAACATACAAGGCTGAAACGGATGCGCCGAATCGCCCACCAGGGCAGCCCTGCCTCTGACCCAAGTCGGCATTCTCTCCATATCGGCCAACGCCCACACCTTAAGATCGTCACCAGCCATATCGATCATTTTTCGAACTGAGGGAGCGAAGCCCGAGAAGCCCTTTGCCAGGGCTGATTTATCGCCGGCTGCTTGCCAGCCTGTTCTCATTGTCAGTTTTCATAGTCGATCTCTATATGCATGGGAAGAATAGTACCACATACCCTCGTCGTAGCTCCCCGACTCAGCCGTCGGCATGAACCCGACCAGATTGAAGATCTTGTTGTTTGAACAGGGGTACGCAACGACTCGTCTGTCGTTAGCTGCCCATTCGACGAACACGCCTGGGTCCCCAACTACGTCTTTTGTGGCTTCGTGGGTTTTCAGTTCGTCTGTTTGGAGGAGCCAGCGGAAGGTGGACTTTCCTACTGGGTAGGGGGAGGGGAAGTTGGGGATGATGTGGGTACGGAGCATGGACTGGTTTGGTTAGATTTGTTCTTACCATGGCGTTGGTGGATTAGTTTAGAAGACATACATGTAGGCCATCTGCGCCGAGTAAGAGGTCGCAAGTAAATTCGCGGCCATCGTCTAGCGTTACGGTGGGCTGTTCGCTTTCGATGTTTATATTGGTGATTTTGCACCCCAGGTGGAGAGTAGCTTCAGTTCGGTTGAGACGTTCCTTGAGGTAGTTGTGGAGGTCGACGCGGTGGACGAGGTACCATTCCTGTTTCTGTTAGTCTTATATCATGGTGTTTGACTAGGTAATCAGGGGTATAGAATGTACAGATATATGTACATACAGCCTGCCACTGTTCCCGGATCCCGGAGAGCTCTTTCTTGTATTTCAGTTCGCCGTTGGAATCATATCGATGGATCTTAGGTTATCTTAGCCTATATCACACTATATGATTCGATATCATAATAGGCGTTAAGGACTCTACCTGCTCAATCAAAGTCCCTCCAAAGTCCTTCGGATCAACATCCATCCATTGCAACAGCGCCGTGCAATTCGGGGGGATGTGGATAGCTGCGCCTGTTTCTCTTGCGAACTTGGATTTTTCAATGACCTATTGAATTGAGTCTGTTAATTAGCAGCCAGATACCCTGTGTGTTCATGCATAGCCATAAGAGGGCGAATGCGTGCAGACGAGACACGCACAATAACATGATGACCCTGTTTGCTTAGAGCAATAGCTGCGCTGAGTCCTGCGATACCAGCACCGATAATGACGATGCGGAGGGGTTCCGGGGTATCGTCGATTGACATTTTGGTTTTTTTTGCTCTTCCCTATTTGGCTATATTTGTATATAAGTTGTTATGACACGTTCAATCGAACAGGGGTGTCTACGTCGCTATATTTATCTCTATAGTACAGATATGCGGGCTCGGTCTTCGGACTCGGACATGTTGGGGATTGCCCGTCGGGGATAGCGAGTGGATACTTGGATTTCATACCATCGGGAGTCAGTCGAGATCTGCATGAAAGGTGGACCGGAATTAGTATAAGAAATGTGACGGGAGGCCAATTGTGAGCTGGATCAAGGCAGCGGCGCGGTTGGCTCGGCATCTACCGGATCAGAGAATCTGTATACTGGGGTAAGGGGGTAGACAATGGTCCAGAGATTGCCAAATTGGGCTGAATACATGCATATAGACTCTTCTCCTTGCTGCAGAGTTTGCCTTTTGAGATGTCCGGATGAGTATATCCATGAGCTATCTACTACTAAACATCAATAACCCAATGTCCAAGATAAGACGTCTCGGTTTTGAACAGAACCATGCATACTCCATAAACTCCACTAAATCGAAAGATAGAGATATTACCCACCAATATGTGTTGTAGATTCGCTCCAAAACACCCAATCCGTTTATCCATCCAAACGCCCACCGCTCAAATAATCCCAACAGAGTAGCCCAAAGCCAAACTAATCATAATCCAAACTAATCCTCCGAATAAGCCATTCGCCTAAGAATCATAAACACCAGCGCAACCACCACACCGATAATAGCTCGGTCTAGCCAAGGATCCTCGGACTGCTGGGAAGCAACAGCCTGCGCGGGATACGGAGCAGCAGGTTGACGTGGAGCAGCGGCGGCGGCGGCCGAATGTGTTTGCGCGTCTGATCCCGGTACCGGCGTAGAAGTAGCGAGAGACGAAGTAGGAGGAGAAGGAGCAAACACAGCCTGAACACCTTCTTCCGGAGCTGACTGTTGCTGCACTGACTCCTGTGATACGGCCACGGGCTTATCCTGCACGATCTTCTCGGACTGAGTCGCATCAGCATCGCCCTTCTCACCCTCCTCCTTAGCCACAGGACGGACAACTCTCTCATCGCCCATATTCCCAACCTCCACCCCGTTCTCCTTGCAATAATCCCTCCACTCCCCTAGAATGGCCTCGTTGCTCTTCCCACAAACCTCACAGCACCAAGCTCCACTCCGGCGAGCATGATCCCTTCTCACCTCCTCCGAGACATCCAAGCCGCCGACCTGCCCCTTCGCATCTCCGTCCATGAAGCTCCTTATCGCCAGCAGCGCAGTCCGAATCCCCCACGCAGGCTGCCAGGTCTCCTCATGGTGCCCCGAGATACTGAGACAGATTTCCCGATTGACTTCAAAGCGCCCGGAGGGGGTGAGGAAACGGAAGCTCGGAGGCCGAAGCGGGTACGTTGGGGGCAGGACTATGCGGCCGTGGTAGATTCCTGAGGCGTAGGGTGAGGGAGCGGGGGGACCAGCGATTGTGAAGTGCCAGTCGTAGAGGTTGGAGTCGGAGACAGGTTGAGCGTGGAAGTGTGGGGAAGGCGAGGCGGATAGCTCGGCGGCTTCTTTCATTAGTCGGCGCAGGGATGGGGACATTTCGAGTGTGATGTGAGTTGGGTCTTTCTTTGTTGGAGTAAGTATGGTTCGGAGAGGTGGATTTGCGATTGGGTGGTGGTGGTTGTTATTGTTGTTTTGAGGGGGGGGGGTTACGCTTGGTGAGTGGTTTGGTGAATGGCGCATAAACTGTGGAACTAAGGGTATGCAGCGACTAGATGTACGCCATCGCGGAGTTATTTGACCGGAAGGATGAGATTGGTTGGAGAATTACATGATGCCAACTGTCCAGTCGTTAAATGAACGTTGCGGGCGGTTGTTGCCGTTGTTCTCAGGCATCAACAATGGCGACACACCCTGTTGTCCGCCAGTACCTAGAATATAAGAAAATATAACAAAACATAGCATACTATTTCTATCATGCAAAATTCATATTAACATAACTCCGGGCTTCCAGCCTAGCATGCAACCATTACGCCCGCAAGGACATCATCCACATGTAATATGAACACAGTATACCTACATAAATCATAGTATGCACGTAAACACAAGAAGCAAAGAAATGACGCTAAATATAAGCCGCGACCAGGGCTAATCCCAATCTCTCCATTCGTCCGATTGTGCATGTCGCTGGGTGGGCACCCCAGGCTTTCGCGATGCACTTAACTGATCATTCCGATTTTGGAGTAAATCATGGATCTCCTCGGCATCTTCAAAATCACTGTCTCCCGGTCTTGGGCGCGGCGACATCGGTGCCAGGGTCTTCATCGATACACCCGTCGCAGGGCGCTCGGTCTCCTGATAGACGTTTGACGGCTGGTGAGGTATGTACATCGACGGTGTTGCGTCCGTCCCAAGCCAGCTCCGACTGTTGTGCATGTTACGCTGGTAAAGATCCCGATAGTATTGTTGTTCATCACTCGCCTCCTGCTCGCGTCTCTGTCGCACCTTGTCTTGCGCTTCCAGAAATTTCGAGCTGGGCTCCCAATGCCAACCGTCACCAGTAGTAGTGTGAACAGGAATTGGCCAGAGAAGTGGCCGTTCGCCAAATAAGTGTAAGAGATTCCGACGCCATCCGTGATCAAAAGCGTTCGGCATCTTCTCGTTATCCTCTTCGTCAAGATAGCTATGGTATCGATCACGCTCGCGCTGCCTCTCCAACTCTGCATAGGATCGCGACAGGGCCTGTTGGGCGGGAGTGCCCCCGGGACCCGATTGAGAGTACGCAGGCAGGGACTCCTCTCCCTCCTCCGGCCGGGTGACGCCGGGGATCGCATTTGCATGAGCGTCCAAGATCTGATTACCATAGTCCTGAAGCCGATGCCCCAGGCTTTCTGGCTCGACGTTTTCTTGGCCATTGTGACTGTTACCCAGTATGTTTTCGTAGCGGCGACGATCCAGCGCTTTCCGCAACGGAGATACATAGCGCGTCTTTTCTAAACACTCAATCGTGGTCAGGTTACGCACGGCGAGACTAATGTGCCAAACGGTAAAACCCGACAGCACCAGTCCAATAATCCCTCCGAGTATGGCCAACAACACCACATTCACGGGCAATATGGTGTCCATATACCGCGTATCATTTAGCACCTCGGTCCATATCCAACTCGATGCCACCGCGAAGTCAACCCAGCAGAATATCGATGTGTAAATAAGAAACAGGAGAAAGGCCTTGTAGTTATGCAGCCCAACACACGTCGCCAGCCACGGGCAATGATGATCCATCTTCAAAACACATCGTTTACACGTCGAACAGTGATGCGCTCGATCCGGTTTAGGACACTGACATTTTTTGCAGAACCGGGACCCTCCCATGGAATTCACGGTGTATGAAGTGAACTCCGGCAGTTCCGTAACCGGCAGAGCGCTGTATTCATGTCGACTGTTGGCCGACAGTGGTGAGCCGGGGTCGGTGAATACCGCAACGCTATACGAGGCGTTAAGACAAATATAGAGGGCAATGCCGATAATCGAAGTCGGTAAGCCTGGTGGCCCAAAGCAGTCAGTATCCGCATCCTCGCGGGTCGAGTATCATCGGAATAACCTACCGATCCAAGAATTTTGCGACGGCCGTAGACCAATACTGGCTTCAACATAGACTGCCCATGTTGTCAAACCGTAGACGAATGCTAGTGGGAAAAAAGACGCCGCCGCGCAGCAGTAGCGTTCACATCGGAGCGCCCAAGCCCGAGGACGTCGTTTAGGCCAGGATGGTGACGATGGCGGTGAGGCGGCTAAAGTCGCCATCGTGAGTATCTGTGTATTATGGAGCCAGTCGATGGCTTTATCATGAATCTATTTATTTGGATTAAGAGACTTGATTCATCGCGCTAAACAGTGCTTCATTAAACTCCACGGTAGGCAACGGAAAATCCAACGGTTGATGGCAAACGGTACGAATTAACAGATTAAGCGGAATACAGAGGGGTGCAGCAATACTGGAGCGACAGAAGCAAGACAGATAACAACTGATCGAGTGAATAGCACTGGAAAGAAAAGGAAATTACGAAATCAAAATGGTTGAAGCGGATCGATCGTCCAAGATCGCCGGGAGTGGAATCGTCCGTAATTACCGCCCGCGGTATAAATTACGGCACACAGCCCGTCCGTGTCAAGACCAGACAGGATAAATTTAGACTGTCTTCATGGCTGTGCTATCAGTGGCTCAGCCACGTTTTTTTTAGGTGTCGGCCTCAAAGTACGCGTAATGAAAAACGTTGCAGCGGTTAGTCTAGTTGGTGTATGCCTATTGTCTGGATGGCTGTATTTTCCTCTACATCGTCAAGTTCAATACAGGTATAGAGTTTAGTCATCAAATCCCATTCGTCTCCGAGATGGAGACGCTCATCACTAAAGTGATTATACACGCGATGCCCTTGCAAGGGTATAAGTAAATGCACAGGAAATAAGCGGCAATCATCACTCAACGCCGCCAGTCAAATGCCGTGAAGATGACCCGAAACAGAGTATGAGCCCAAAACAGGTTACAGCTATGAAGGCAGGAAGAATCGTTATGTAAACAAATGTGACAGTCATCAATAAGTAGTAAAGGGCGGAAGGAAGAGAACCCAGAATCAGTTGCCGTTAGTGGTGGTAGTATTGGTGATTGTGAAGGGCTCCATGCCTTGTTCACACCAATCGTGTACGGGCTATTACTAGTCAGCTACTAATTGATCAAATGTAGTCAAGAGCATCATGACTTACCAAACAGCTCAGTCTATAACACCACGAGCAATTAGACTTGGGGTACTTGTAGAAGTTCACAATCAAAAGGATGAACCCAATGATAACCGCAACTAAAGCTCCAGCCCGGACCAACCACCATGCCCACCACAGTGGTTTCCGGCCCTTGAAGAAGCCCAAGGGACCAGATGTTTCGGAAGACGAGTTCGGGCCCGTCCGTCCCTTGAAAAGGTTGACGAAACTTGGGCCAGTCGTGGTTTTGTTCTCTTCCTCAGAAGTAGGACCGGCACCACCACTCATCGCCACATAGGGGTTACGGGCGAGCCCAATTCGTTCCCGAAGTGCGTTAGGCGATCTCATAATGCAGAGACCGAGGGCCAGACCCATGACGAACCCACCAATATGGGAGAAATTATCCAGGCCCGGTAGGAGTCCCAGTACGAAAGAGATTCCCACACCAAGCACCATGATAATCAGTTCCACAAATGGCGACGGTCTATCTTTCCAGGTGTAGAAAAGATCTAAGATGAAAAGTGCAAGGATTCCAAACAGAGCACCTGAGCAGCCCGAAGAGGGTTGGAATGGAGCCGCATAGTTACCTCCAAGAACGAAACCCCAGATACCACTGGCAAAATAAACCAAGGCATACCGCCACCATCCCACCATCCGCTCCATATCAACGCCCATCGTCATTTGACAAAGCAAGTTGAAACCAATGTGAATGAAACCGCCGTGGAGGAATATAGGCACGATGAACCGATACCACTGGTTGGGCTCTGGTTGGTCATCGAGGGAACCACCGAGGTGCGGATTTGGAACACCGCTGAAGCCGCACAGTTCCGATAAAGTGCACTCCAAAGCATTCGTGGTTGAATTTGGGCAGGGCATGAGGAAGTCGACCGGAGAGTTCTGTACCTTGTCGACATTCTTCATACACGGCGGGTACCGCGCTCCCATATTAATCTGGATGTACGCCGAGGGTCCGATCATCGGATTGAATTGAGGTTTCGTCTGAATCGGGGATCCTGTGAGTTGTCCTACAGAGCCAATTAGTCCAGCTGAATCTTATAATCCTTTGTGGGCTGACATACCGCTCTTGACCAACTCCGCGATGAACACTGCGATTTGCACCACGGTGAGGATATAGGTCACGAAGGGGATCTTCTTCTTAAAGAAGCCCTTCTTCATCCCTCTACTTCGATTGGGGGCTGATTCCAGCATCGCAGGGTCTGGGGGGTAATGCGTCGGCTGCTGCATCCAGTTGGCAGGTGGTGGGCCGTTTGAGTATTGAGTGTTCTCCTTCAGGGGGATGTTCTCTGCATAGTGATCTCCTTCGTTTAACCTTCCACCCGCCACATACGCGCCCTGGTCGGACCCTAAGGAATGTTGGCTGTCTCGTATGTGAGGGGGTTCGGAGTCAGCATAGGGGTGTCCACTGGGACCCGTGTAGGTGGGCGCTGGTGATTGTCGATGGAACGAGTCTGTATGAGGGATCGCTTGTTCGTATGTTGGCGGGTTGTTGTTGTACCCAGTGTTGTAGTAGCTGTTCGCTGCCATCTTGAATGGTCAGCCGATTAGGCAAGGGGGGGGCGCAAAGAGATTTCTCTTCCTGGCGGTCCTCGCTGATGTGATAAGAAAGTTGAATTATGGTTTTCTTGCGGGGAAAAGGAAATATATTTCCACGGTCTGACCGAGTTGACGGGCAGGAAGAGCTGATGATCAGACGTTCTGACCCATGCACGGCCACGTTTTGGCGGCTGACGACAATGGCGGAAACCCAGGCAACCCCTTAGAAGCTATCGGGGATTAGAGAAGGACCGCGGAAGCTTATGTGCACGCAACAAAGAATAGTGGAGAATGGTGTCCGATGAAGAAAAGGGTAAGATAGAAAAGTTCTATGCAGGAGTAAAAAAAGGAAAGCCAAAGAAAATGAATGGAAAGAAGATGTGTCTTTCTATTCACTACTATTGAGAAGACACCCAAGTTGTTGTCGGTGGTGATATTAGGCAGTCGAATTTGCGGGTGTGGCACTATTTTTGGGTTTGCCGATCAATCATCGTCGTCAGCGGTCGAAATATGAATTTCCCCCAAGCAATTAAACTACTGAAACCCCCGGCCACGCACTCCTGGATGACGAACAAATCCCTAAGGCTGAGCTGTCGTTTGTGGCTGGTGTATGGTTATATCTCCACTACTTAGCCTCGTGTTTACTCTGGTCCTGTTCCTATTGAAGTGTGTACTTCGTATTTAACTTTTTTTTTTTTCTTCCTCCTTTTTTTTTTTCACCCTGCCCCCCAACGTAATTCGTTAACAAACTGCAAATTTTTGTGATGTGATAATTAATTGCATTTTCTATACAACTCATCCCTAGTTCCCTTAATTCAGTGCATTATTCATATAAATTAACACCCATGTACGTTAACATCCAATATGGTTAATTGTACATGGACTCGTATTTTGACATTAAGCATTAATAAACGTGTGCCAATGACCATATAGTAGTCAACAAACTATCCACAGTTGCTCCGGTAGTCAAGGAATCAAAAAGATGTATGTAAGGAAACAAAAAAAGGCGGATCTCTGAGCCAAGCGGACTAGCATTAGGTCCCGCTGGACACTGAAGCTTCGAGTACACATTAACTCTTGCCCAAGCCCGGAAGTACTCGTGCTCACATTATAAGTCGGTCCTTACCATTCAATTCATTAAATCTTTGCGGCGAGCCGCTTTCCAACATAGACGAAGACCTAAACGCCCCGTGCTAACTCCGCAATAAAGAACAAAAGTATATGTAATGATCTAGGGATGGAACGGAACCTTGTTAGCTTGCATGGTGATATGAAGTAGGCTGAACGAGACGTACCACCAAGAATGATTCCCAACGTCTCATCGACACGAAAGCACCGATGCAGAAGGAAGATCAAAGAACATATAGTTTTTGAGATATATATTTATACCACGCGCGTTGATTCAGGCTCTCTTACAACGCACTCTCTCCAGAAAATGACGATAGAGAGCCAACATGAGTCTCCAAGATCCCCAGAGCGGCACCCATCTCCTCGCTGCTATGGCCGGTCAACAACCATACGAGGCGGGTCAGCTTCTGGTAGAGCAGTGTTGGGAAATACAGCAGTAGGGCCCAGAAAAGCAGTGATAGCACCACGATGACGAAGGAATTGGCCACGAGCTTCTCGCCCGGGGTCATGACGTAGAGTCCGAATGTGACTTCGTACCGGTAGTATTCGAGGCGAATACGATCAGCAAACCGCTGTACGGCATTCCGGCGAGGGTTCTTCATCATCATATGGCTGATGACGGAGGAGTTTGGGCTTGCAGAGGTCGACATGGTGGAAGAATATTTATTAATCAGCTCGTCGACCGCGGCTGGAGCGTGGGAGATGTGCGTCGAGGTCGAGGGTGTGTAGAAGGACTGCATTTCAGTTGCCATTGCGTTGTATATTTCCTGAAGCAGGGTCGACGCGTGTGAGAAACAGGTATTTTCAATGTTTCTTGAGAGCCGTTGTTATCCTTCTGGCTTCTGACTCCTCGGATGTAGGGTGGAGAGCAGTCGCGTGGTTCCCCGAGACTGCTCCACTTATACCAGGATTATGATTATTCAAGGGCAGGCACCGTAGGCGGCCAGATTTGAGACAGAACGGCGCGCGAGGTTCTGGCTCGACGTGGAGCTTCAATCAAGGAGGGACAAGGAAATCGAACAATACACGCGCAAAGTACACAGCGGATTCAATTCCGTCCCAAAGAGGGTAAGTGAACCACGCAGTTGGACCAAGAAGTTTACCGGGACGTATTATACAGAGGAGAGAGGATAAGAGGAGAGAGCTTCGCCGGAGCAGCCAAAGAGAGGGAATTGAAGGTGGGAAGGATGGCCTTCGGTAGAGCGCGGATGTGGAAGTGTTCAAGGCGGATCTGCCGTGATGAAGGTAGAACCTGCTACCACCAATCATCGTTTGCTTCCATCGTCATCTTTCCCTGTTGACTTCGGGTTAATCGGCACCTCCCGCTTGGCTTTTTTTCTTTTTTTTTTTTGATGTTACGTAGTATTTACTTATTTTTCTACTTGCCTTGCTTACTTTTGCCAGGTTTGCATACTTTGCCCTCCTTGTTTGTTTCACCGAAAAAGAAAAGAAACATAAGCGAATTTTTAAACGTTAACGGTTACACTTGTGTGACGGTGGAATCCTTAATCAATGGAATGATCGGGGGCAGATCGTGGGAGATCTACCTTATGCTCTCAAATCCTTTCATAACTTCATAACCTCTGTGCACGTCCCCCCGACCGCCATGGTTCATTCTTATGCATCCTTGGCAGGTTCCTCAATTATCGAGATCGTCAGCACTATTGCATATAGTCTCGTCACTTTGGGTCGGCATACAAATAGGCCAACCACCCCCCTTCAATTCCTGAATAATCTAATTTAATGGCGACCTTCCTGGTCAGGTGATTCTAGTCACATGACTCTCTGGGGTTCCTAACCTACATCGGAAATGAGATCTACTGTGAGTACTAGGGTAGTACCTAGACACGACGTTTTCTTCATGGCGAGACAGACCTTTGGGTTCTCTGTGGCGCGCGTACATTAATCTTGTTTTGCCCGGGTGGGAGGATATTCGTATTTTCGTTGTTCTTGAAAAATTTCTTATCCCTGCTAGCGATCCTTCTAGACACAATATATATATCAAATCCATTTCTTCAACACACGCATTGTACCAGGTTTGCATGGCGTAACGTTATGAATACTATGATGCCACAGGTAGGTGGGACTTCAAAATGTCCTATCGTTCTCCCATTGTTTGCTTTCTTATCAGAATCGGCGATAAGTTGGGGACCTTCGACTTCTTCCCATATTAAATCTGAGTTATTAGGGGAGCGGATGACATCATAGGGCCCGTGCACAATTTGTGTATCAAACTGTCCCGCCGCTTACGCACTCACTCCGGTCGATCTAGACTCCTGAGTCCTATTCTTCCTCCCTCCCTCCACATCCCACCATCGCCTTACATTGGTGCTATTCCAACTATCATGGCCGAGGAAGAAGACCCTATTATTCAGGCCTTGCCTCCGGCCACCGATTACCTCACTTACCTGACCTTGTTGGAGTACCAATTGACCCCCGCTCGCTTGCCCATTCTCCACAAGCTCTTGCAGGATGAGGTCCTGACAACCAATATTGGCTGGGACCTAGTTCAGCTGCTGTTGCCCATGCTTCCTCAGTCAATCGAGTGTCTTCAGGATATCGCCCGCTTGGGTAATCCTAGGGAGGTCATCCTGCGGGTGTCCGAAGCCTTGATGCAACTGCAGCCTGAGGATGAGGACGAAGACGAGGATGAAGAGAACGAGACAGCAGAGCCCTCTGCTACTGATGATGCAGAGTCTGCCGATACGGAGCCCAAAACTGCGACCGACAGAGATCTCGCGAAGTCGAATATACAGAATACCCTCCCACGACATGTCATGAAGTTCAATTCCCTTGTTGCCATGTTATCCGTTCTTCATTCCCGCATCCAGACGAAATCCCCGAGCCGCTTTTTCGCAACCTCTCTACAAGCTGTATTGGAAGCGTATACCCTGATGCCAACGAACGAGACAACCATTGCCCTGCTGGAGTTTTTCAGAGACGTGTCTCCCTCCAAGAGGCCTGCACCACCACCCCGCGCTGCAAGCGAGTCCAGCCTGTTGCGAGTCTCCGAAGCTTCTGCGCCGGACCCAGAGGCAGAGGTTCAGTCGCCTAACCCGAGCAACAATGAGCCGGCGCTCATCAAGAGATTCTTGCAATTCGGTCTGATTGAGCTGATAAAGTCCTACATACTGAGCTTTTCGGGGCCTATGGATCCAGGAATGTCTTGGACAGTTCGTTTGCAAGAGAAACTTCAGCCAAGGCATCTGGCGGGCCAAGTGTCGGAGACGGATGTATTTGCCAATAACAAAGACCTAAGGGAGAGGGACATGATCTTGGGGAAAATAACGGTAGGTTCTCCTTGTGTGCCAATCCATGCAGTGTCTGACTTTGTAGGCTCTTTCTCGAGACTTCGGGCTGGATGACCAGCAGCTTCTCGCAGTCGTCTCACAGCCGCCGGATAAACACCCCCAGCCGCTGGACTTCGATGAACCACCTAGGAACGTGGAAGAGATTCCACTTGAAAGGCACGGTGCTCTACTTCTTTTGGCTGCCCGAGCTGCGATGGCCGAACTATTCTCGTCGGGACAGGTCACGCCAATTGCCGTCTTCCCTGAGCTGGCTCAGATATTTGACAACTTTGTCGGCGGACACGATAAGCCGGACGAAATTGCCTTTGGGCAACCTCAGGCACTATTGGACTCTCTGCTGACACTGGCCGTCTTTTCTATGCAACGCTCAGTCGGAGAGCCATCCACCGAAATAGAGTTCCGACGTTTCATCTTGTCCTTAACTGCTTGCACAACGCGACAAAGTTACAACTCCATCAGGCGGATCCCTGGAACCATTCTCCATAGCCACCCGTCTCACATTGTCCGCTTCAAGACTATTCGCCAGGTTCTTGAAGATGATCGTTTCCAACTGATCAGGGACAGTGCTATAGGGTGGCTGAAAGAGGAAATTCTTGACGCTAACAAAAAGCTTTCCAGCTCACCCGAGTCTGACATATTTATCAACCCGCATTATTTCTCCGTCCTCTTCCCCTTACTCTTCAACTCTTCCGAGTTACTTCTCAACGTCTCGTCCGACATCGTAGCGTCATGGATCAAATTCTCTCAAACTCTCACACCATCTATCCACGCCGCTCTAAGCCTCTACTACATTCTCCTTTCATCCTCTACCCTCCGCACCCAACTCCAACTTGAAAAAACCTACATCTACTTCCGCAACCGCTTCCTGGAGCCTCTCAAGTCTCTCCTCCACGCCTTTGAGAGTGATCTTACCCAGAACGGTGGCGACGGAAAGATCGAATCTGCCGTCGGCGAGAACATGTGTCAGGTCGGCATGGCCCGGTCCGTGGGCCTTGTATCCCATGCTGTAGAACAGGTTGAGGATGCCGTGGGCGATGCGTTCGTTGGTGCCGATAACGAGCTCCAGGAACCAAGCATGGATGATGTGGCGAGGGTAGACAAGATCCGGAAGGAGACTGCTTTGTAAATACACGGTCTACTTGCATTCTGATATATATTTATCTCCGCACTTGTCTCTACTGTAAATACACGACCATGTTACAGATGAACTCGTGACTACAAGACAAGGCATGCTTTTTCCCAATCGTCTTCTTTCACAGTCATATTTTACGAAATCCGTAAATAAAACTGTATAAATATATATATCATAGCAATATATTTCTTAAAATACTTGAGCTTGAACCATAAGTGAACATTACTACCGTGGCCACGATTTAACAATACTTAGCCCGGCCCACCACAGGTCTCAATATAAAAATTTATACCACCGCCGATCTATCCTCTAATCCTCATAGCAAACAACATCTCTCTAATACCTTAACTAACTAACCGTCAACTTTGATCAAGGTACTCCATACTAAAGCCATCACTTTCTTTGTTTTACAAAAAACAAAAGAAAAAGAAAAAAAAGGTACAAGGTGGTGATCAAACACACTTTTAATAGCTAACATACTGGCTATATAACATACAATTCGACCACAGACTTCCCAATCAAAATACCAGGAAAAACATATCTTTTCCAGGAAAAGAAACAACAGGCCAAAACAGATCACCCGCCCCATAATGCCTACGTATAGAGACAGATACAAACCAACTAGCCCTGGTCCCGAGACCCAGGAACCAAGGTAACGCAAACAATCCCTGAACGGTGTCACAACAGATACCAGGGTAAGGAGCATGCAGCAACGCGGCCAGTAACAACCCAAACTAAACTTGGAACTATGGTATCACTGTAGGAATATCAGTACTACCCCACCTTACCATATTTATATATCCAGTTCTACAATATCAATCGAAGTCAACCCAATGCAATCCTACGGTGAAAAAGAAAAAGGATTCAAATCCCAAAGTATGTATGAAATTCAAACTATCCCATCCTACATGACCTAGAATTCCCAGCAACCAAGACGACGACAAGACCACGAAAGGAGCGGATGCGAACAGGATAGAGAAGAAAGAGGTAGGTACACAAACAACCAGTCATCCCCTGTCCAACGGGCCCGTTGGTCTTCCTCCCAAGGGTTCGAGAGATTTTTTTGTGGATTTTCTGAGCATAGTTTGAGTGGCCCCCGACGAGTGTCAAGGGTAGGGTAGGATGAAACGCGAGAGAAGTAAGTCGAGCTGGTCATGTTTGGTCTTGAAGCGCGGTAGTTAACGAGTTGGTTGGTGTGGTGGTGGAATTCTGGCTCGGGGGGAGGCTATTGGGGCGCGTTTACATGATAACGCAGCCGCCGCCGGGGGAAGCTATGGTATGTTAGTTGGCTTTTTAAGGTTGAGAGAAAAGAGATGGTGGGGAGTAGATATACCCTTGACAATAGCGGTGTTCTTGACGGAGGGAGACATGTTGATTGATTGGGTTTCCTGGAAGGAAGATTGGTTTGGATAGAAGATTTGGTTGTTTGTAGATGAGTGTGATTGATGAAGAGAAGAAGGTGTGATCTGGCGGGTTCGAGGGGTCTTTATATCTCTGTCTTCAGGGCTGATCTGGCCAGTGAATAGCGCATCCCGAGTTGATTCTTTTCGAGATAGATTGTTGAAATTGGAAGCATTCAGCACCCCGAGGTCGTGTGGCCCCAGATTGATACAGAGACCCGGAACAAAGAAAGGGGCCGGATTGGAGTTTACAGGTCAATGCGGATTCGGGATGCAGTGAATGCATTGACTGGGCCACGGCGTCGGGGCGTTCTTGATATTGTTCTTGACGCCGGGGCCAATCACGGCAACGGGTTCCCGAGAGTGAATGGGGGGGATCGTGGCAAAGGCAAGATTGATCAACATTGCCTTTCTTTCTTCAGTGCAACTCGGCGAATGCGGTGGATTATCTCTGTCCAGTCCCAGGCTGGTATGCGATGTTTAGCGCATCGCATCCAGCGGGCCCAGGTCCCCGTATCTCAAGTCGGCGGCTTCTCTGTCCCGCGGCACGTGGCCCACATCTGCCGCTGTACAGATACAGAACTGTCCCATCTCGGGCACTGCGAGGGAGATGGAGAAAACCAGTGGGGATTTCGAGTCAGTAGTTCATACAGGAGGCACAATCCCGGGCCATGGCGAACTGGCTGGATATTGTTGTCCCAAGAACAATATAGAAAATATGAAAGGGTCTTGGCAGCAAGAACCAAGCTTGGTAAGATATGCACAAAAATGAAAGGGGTTCAACGAATGAATCAATGAATGGATCAATATCTTAAAAAGAAATTCAAATTCATTTAGTTAGCTAGAAACTCATTCAGTGAGAACCTGAATGGAAAAAATCCACGCAATGTACCAAAAAAAGCTACATTAGCTAGAATCATGTGTAAAGCGGCTCCGTAATATCGTTCAATGCCAATCCCGACTTCGCAACGTCCTCTTCAATCAAGAACATCAAGGGCATCTCTACGAGCGTGCCCTTGACCTTACTGAGCAGTTCCTTGACCTGTCGAACCCCCTCCGGACCGCCCGGGAAGTCATCCCGCACAACGTGTCCATACCGATACCGGGCGGGTGGCGAGTCCTTTTCTTCGCCATACGCTTGCTTGTCCGCCTTGTTGAAGAAGTAGCCATAGAACTCCTTATACGTGGACCAGTTGCGTACGCAGTCATCCGGAACAGAGTGGAACACCTTGCGGAATACCTCAGTGTTCGTGTGCGCCCGGCTGTTCCAGAGGCTTTGAAGAGTATCCGCCAATGGGTCTGCCACAAGCCGGCTCTCAGGGGCGTCAAAGTCGAAGTCGTTGGGCACACCGACCGGCTCCGAGTTGGCATCGGGGCGCTGGTAGTCTTGTGGTGGCAGAAGACCAAGGTGCTTGCGGAACAGCTGGCGACGCAGGGAAGCTGCAAAACGGCTAGCGGTCCAGGGCTTGCCATTCATGGTGGACTGAATAGGAGTATAGTCCTCAATGAAAATAGCAATCTCAGAATCATGATCGCCAAGCTGAGACCGGTCGTTCAAGTTGGCAGAACCGCAGATAACCACGCGGTCGTCGGCAATCATGACCTGTGCTGTTAGTGCATGCAATAAATCCAGCAAGGGGAGAACAAACATACCTTGGAGTGAACGTAGAGTTCCTCAGTTACAAACGCGTCAATCTCGGCCTCAGGAGGGCCATCCCAAGGGACGTTACGGATATCCTCTCCATTAAGCATGTAGCACGAGCTGACACTGTTCCATCGTCCAGAGCCAGTCTTGGCGCCAGGAACCTGGCGAGCACCCTGCTGATACTGCTGGAAAGGAGCCGTGGTATCGAATGCGCTTCGGGGAGCGGGAGCTCCTGGGCCATAGCCACCCTGTCCAACAACATTAACGTCATGCTGCTTGCGAGCATCTTCATAGTCGACGCCACTCCTCTGCTCGGCTTGCACGAGCGAACCGCTGACATTGATTCGATCGTAGTTACGGAGATTGTAGAACCGGATATACTCCATAGGGTTGTATCCCTCCTTAGCAACCAGCTCCATGATACTGTTTCCCCCACGGTTAATGCAGTTGTACTGGAACTCCATGATAGCCCGGGTGCCAAGGGTGGAGTCATCTGCCAGATCACCGGCAAAGCAGGGAACAGAGGGAATCACAACAACCATTTTCCACTTCTCGCCGGCACGCGCAGCGCGTAAAATACGCTCGACGATCGCAGCACCGATCTGGTTCTTGACCGGCTTCTGGGCGTCGCCAGTAGCTGTAATGAAGAACTGATTCTCGATATACACAAAGTGCTCACTGTTCCGGATAATCGCAGCATAGGCATCGGCAATTGAATGTTCAGTGGGTGTGCCATTGCTCCACTTAGAAGAGCTACGGAGAATCTGGCAGGACATATTGCCGCGAGGCTGGGAGGGTTGTCCGAATGAGCTCAGACGATCTTGGTACTGATGGACTTGGCCAGCCAATTGACCGCGAAGAACATTCGAGTACTGAGTGAACTCATCTCGGAAACGGCGGGGGATGAGTCCCGAGCCTCTTTCCCTGTCACCGTGTCCGCGCGTGCCCTCGTAATGGTCATCAATGCCACGTGTCTGAGAGTGCGATGGTTCCTGGGTTGCGGGAGGAGTGTAGGCTGCGTACTGTGGTGCTTGACTTTGTGCTTGAGCTGGAGCTTGAGAGTACGCCGGCTCCTGGGTCGGGGGAGGAGGGAAGTATGGTGCTTGGCTTTGCCCCTGAGTCGGTGTCTGAGAATACGACGACCCCTGGGCTGGGGGAGGAGCATAGTACGATGCCTGGCCCTGTCCCTGAGTTGCATTTTGAGAGTGTGACTGCCCCTGCGTCGCGTAGGCCGTATATTGCGGTGGTTGGCCCTGTCCTTGATTGGCAGGCTGCACGTGCGGCTGCTCCTGGGTCGGAGGGGGAGCATAGTACGATGCCTGGTCTTGTCCGGGTGCTTGGCCCTGTCCCTGAGTTGCATTTTGATAGTGTGGCTTCTCCTGGGTCGGGAGAGGAGTGTGGGCTGCGTACTGCGGTGGTTGGTCTTGTCCCGATTGCTCCTGGGTCGGAGGGGGAGCATAATATGGTGTTTGGCTTTGCCCCTGAGTGGGTGTCTGAGATGGCACAGGGCTCTGAGATGGTGGCGGCCCAGGAGGAGGAGGCGGGAAAGATTGCCCAGTGTAAGTATAGTTCTGGGTGGTAGCCGCAGACTGTGAGGAGCCAGAAACAGGCTGCTGGGGAGTAGAGGCAGCTTGGTTATTCGCTGTGGAGGCAGTAAAGTAGCTTGAAAGGCCGGGCTGCGGCGAGGTTGCCGATTGCTGGTAGGCTTGGTTGCCCGCTGTCTGTGCCTGGGGCTTGGTTGACAGATTCGGCCGTGGCGATGCGGGAGGTTGCTGGTAGCTAGATGCTTCCTGGCTGCTAGTGCTAGGCCGGGGAGATGTACCCTGTTGCTGCTGAGCACCAGGCTGCTGTGGGCGGGTTGACGAGCTGGGTCGACCGTACAATGCGAGCCTGGAGTATCTCGCATCCTTGCGCGAGTTATACTTCGTATCGTAGATGAAGTTCCAACGTTCGATGAAGTGTCGCCGCAAATCCTCCACAACATGGCCGTGCAAGCTCACGGAGATATCAGACCAACCCATGCGGGAGGCTGTCTTTCGGTCAAGCTGGTTCTTCTCCCAATGTGAGACATCCTGGAAGTCGAGGACCCTGGCATTGTTGTAGTCTTGGCCTGGGAACACGCTCTCATTTACGTCCTCCGGGTGGACATCGGCGAGTGCGTGCTGGTTAGTATCCCAACGGCCAAAACACATATCTAGACCTCCCATGAATGCAATCCTGCCATCTATAACACAAAGCTTTTCATGGTGTGCCCAGTAAAGAACAACATCGTCGTGCATGCCGTAGATGTTTTTGATGGCATCTCCCGACATTTGGACAAGGCTTTTCGCATCTAAGGACAAGTTGTGGAGAGACGCAGAGATGTCCTGGGCCAAGTTTTGACGGTCCGGCAGATGATCGGGATGGCGGAACACGGCAATATTTGGGTGGAGGTCCTCAAGACAGTGCTTGGTATGATGAGAAGAGACTAGTATAGTTAGCATGACTGGAATGACAATGGCTACATGGCATTCTCATCGAAGTAGACCGTTGTACATACGAGTTAATGCCTGGGTGACTTCCTTGTACACGATAATATTGACTTTCACCCCACGTTGCGCTGCTGACTGCAGCATCCTATCCAATCGGTATTGTTCATTCTTTGTGGGGGGTCGTCTCAAGTAAAGCTCGGGAGACAGCCACCCTTTCGTGATTTGTTAGCCTAAGAGCCGAATATGATTATCTTGAGGACAGAGGCTTACAGTCCAAGATCCAGATTGATTCTCTCGCACTCTCTAGCGCCTTTGAAACGGCGTAGAAGTAAGAGCATCCGTCCACATACCACTTGACATCGTTGCCCTGTCGGTCCGGGGCGAAACTGCCGAATCTGTGCTGTGTCTGTGGCTTTACCTGTCCATATTCGGCATACGCCTCTGGGTCGAGCGCGGTTCCTATGCGCTGGCCGAGATCGGTTCCGATTTCTGCAACAGCGCCCTGGATCTTACCAAACAGCCCGCCGAGCTTGTCTTCTTTGGGTGGCTTTCCCTGAGGCCTATTACTATTATCTTGATACTGCGACTGAGGGGGACGGCCGTATGTGTTCTGCGACGAGCTCTGCTCGTTGTAGTTCTGACCCTAATGAACATCAGCCTTGCGGTTCTATTGGTACATCGGTAATGTAACTGGCGTACACCGTAGTAGTCTTGGTTAGACCCTTGTGTCTGAGACTGGGAGCCTTGAGGCTGCTGGGGCCTGGGAGGTCCCTGTTGCGAATGATGGCTCTTATAAGTTTCCTTGAGCTTCTTGAAGGTATCTCCAACAAAACCCCTTGTGCTTTCACCTTGACCGCCACGAGTCCCGTCTTGGCCGTAATAGTGGCCGTAGGCCAGCGGGTCCTCTCGGTTAGCCATGGCCGTCGCTGACTATCTGCGACTCGGGTGGAATGACACGTAAAAAGGATTGACAGATGCTACACAGCAGGAATGGTAGAAATCCTGCAGAGAGCGTTACAAGAAAGGAAGAGGAGACAGAGGACTCATGGGGGATCATAAGTATTTAACAAGAGAGAAGATGCAACGAGGATCAACTTGACCGTATTTAATTTAGTCCCGCCCATTGCCCCGCCATTCCGAGACACCAGCTGAATGGCTCATTTCTATTAGGCTGCCACTTACGGAGTAGTGTGGGCGGGTATCACTTTCCCCCCTTTGGCTTATAGCATGACCATTAAATGGCGCAGTACTATTAACTTATGTAGATACGCATTGTTTCCTAAAGACTGTTTTCTTTAAAGATGATAATCTGGAGCGGTGGCTGTGCATCCCACGGGAATTGAGTCCGGACTTTTGTTGAGGGGGGAGGGGAACATGTATTCAGTACACAATACCCCACATCAGACCAGATCTATTTATGGTCCCGCAGCAAGGTACGTACTGTATGGTAAAGGCCATGCACGCCATGATGTCACGTTATGCACTCGATGTGTGGCTGAGCCGTAGGGCTTACCTGTCATGGATCCGATTGATCGCTGCCTTCTAGAAACGTGGCTCAGTCTCATACAATTTTCCCCCCCGAGTGGACTCACCTCTTCAGAAAAGGAGAAAAGACGGCTTGACCGCAGACTTCCTGACTTCCCGCACCCCCAGTTCACTTAGTCGACGGGACCCACCAAGTACACCTCACCGCAAATCCAAGGAAACTCCCTGGTTCCCATTGCGTGTAGCATTGCAACGCGATAGCAATATTCAATGCTGTTATTTTCTCACTACAACGTGGGAGCCAAGTAGTCTTACTGGCGGGACAGCCATAGGCTCCTGAATCTTCCTTTGCTACCCCGAATCTACTAACTTTATCTTATCTTGAGTTTATGGTGTTTCAGATCTGTCATTAAGGCCTGTTTGTTTGTAAAAAACACATGACAAAGGCACACTGTATTATTAACTTAACCTGTTAATAAGACCATAGAAAAAAAAAAAATAAAGAAATACATATCTTCCGTTGAAGCGGATAAGATCGCTGAGGTAGAATTAGTCCTAGAAAGCCTGGGGTGTGACAACTATTTCCGACAACGTGATCGGCCTCGAGTGGTTGGATGGCACACTTCAACCACTACCTGCGGACCAATATCGTAAACATCGGAACTCCATAACAATCCATATATCCCTTTCACACATTTCCACGCCAGGTACATATTCTAATAGCCTGTTCTACATCACTACGCCGAAAACCAGGACTGTGACCGAGGCACATTGCCTTGTTTACCAGCGCTACTAAAATTAGACAAAGAGTCACCACCAGAGGGAAGGGCCAAAAAGACTCACCAACTATCAAAGCTTGGGCGTTGACCACCGATTGGGAGGAAGAATTTCCCATATTTTTCGGTGGCCGAACGAACAGGCGCGCATTGCTTTCTTGCAAGTAGTTCGCCAATTCCTGGACGTCAAACCAATCGCCCCCGATTTCCCTCAGAGTCTGCGGGTTGAAGCTGGGTAATGGACTATTACCTGTTGGCTGTGGTTGGTCAAGGGCTGACTGACTTTCCGTTCTGTGACTTTGCGTCGATGGTTGCTCAGGGTGACTGGGTAGGCAAGAGGGGACCTCCTTGAAGTTCATGTAGGACTTCTTGTTTAGCCGAGCATGCAAGGCGGTTCTGAAGATAGATGTGATACTTGCCCTAGTAAAAAGGGATAGAAGTAGCCGAAACGGTCTTTTCAGGGTAGTTAGAGGGACAGAGGAATTGTCGAGTATCAGTAGTCCCTCGTAAAGACAAGCAATCCTTAGCTGTTCTATGAAGTTGGATACTTCCATTACAGCGACATCACCCGGTTTGAAAAAGAATAGACTGCTAGGATGATATCTCAGAAGGGATGGCGAAGGCTGAATGGTTGGGAGCGGCCCCGGACTTTCGGCCTCAGAGAGAACTAGAAGACCTGGCGAGATTGGTGCTAAAGAAGAGAGGCGAGATCTTTCATCATGAGTGGCATTGTTCAGACTACCCTCATCGCCGATGCCCTTCGCTGAAGATAGACATATATGTACCGTCTCCCGCAGACGCTTAGCGAGCTCAGGGTGTGAGGTGAGAACCCGAGATTGGAGCAAGATGTCACTTAATCTAATCACCGACTCGCTCATTTTCTGCGCTGCAGCCTCCAACTGTGCCACGTGTTTGTTTAGCAATTCAACGCTGGCTTCTTTCCGGGAGCGATAAGCCCTTTGCGCCAGGCGCACTTGTGTCCGTCGCCGCTATTATGTGTGAGTAGCTGTACTTTTTACCACGAGGGGAATGACAAACTAAGTATTAACACACTTCTTTCTTGCTTTTCTCTAGCCAGGCTCCAAGGGCTTTGCGCGGTCGCCCACGTTTCCTAGAAGGAATCCTGGCTGTCCTCGTGCTGACATTTTCTTGTTGTTGGGATTGGGCTGGAGAGTCTGGCGTTAGACACGGGCTGATAATGGTGGTGTCTGCTGGCGCATGATGATTGTCCTCGCTCATTTTCTCGTAGACGGAAAGTATGCGATGGTCGCAACAGGGTCAGTGAGGCTAACGTGGCCTAAGACTGCGATCGAGAGTTCAAAATTCCGGACTGGAGGACTAGAGGAGTAATAAAATAACGGGTTCTTGATTTCTAAATGAGAAAGTCCCTTTGTTGTACCCGGAGTTGAGGTTTTATATTCGCAGAAGTGGAATTTACGTTCATCTGAGGAAGTCCTTCCAGCCAACATAATGCAGAATTTGCAGGGATTTGGGGCGCGCAATGGGATCCAGGTATACTTCATTTCAGTAATCTTTTCTCTCGGCTTGGATCACTAATCTATAATCCCGATATGTTGCGTGGTTCTAGCCGAAGGATGAGGCATCTTTAAGTGGCTGAAGCAACAATTAGAATTTAGCTTATGGGCCCGCTAAGGACCGGCCGGGGTATCGGTACTTTCCTTAGGGTAAATGCGAGTCCAATTCACCTCCAAATATTCCGTCTTTTGGTTTGACGAGTTCACTAGCTCGCCGAGACATGCCTCCAACAAATTACAGTGAGGCCTGCAACCAAACGGCCCCAGTGTACTCCGTAAAGTGTCATGAGTTGTAACTTTCGTCTCTACTCCAGGCGGTATTGACTCATGATTCTCCGTAGCCCCACCTGCCTTGCCTCTTCTATCCCAGTTTAGCCGGTAACTCATGGCTTAGAGTGTACATCCACTGCTTCAATCGTGAACAATTGAATTCACAAGACAGCCTTATACGAAAGAGTGACTTATTCTCAGCCCACTGTCCCAGAAACTTCGGGTGGTCTCCAAGAAGAGTCAGCCGTTGATATACCAGCCATGTCTTAGAAGTCTGTAGGCTGTACTTGCACTTAGATGAATTCTAATATATACTCTGAACGGCCCTTAGAGTCGAGGTTATTCCAGATGAGGCCAAAGTAGCAAAGCACAGTGCTGGGAAGGCTTGATCCCCGCTGTAGAGTGAAACAGGACGTTCGTCCAGAAGGCGGGGATGTCTTAGCCAGTGGGCAGCTCCATGGTCGGTCCATTCAGAGTGGATTTTCGAAGACAATGACAATGATATCACTCTCAGCTCTCAGATACTTCGCCGGGAGGGGTTGATGCGCTATGTGATTAGCCCTAGTTGATCACTAATCATGAAAGGCGAAGAGCGAATATTCCAATGATTACAATTGTTGATTAGATTATTCAGTTGGCCAATTAATTACGTTTGGCGAGTGCCATTTCCGGCATCCCTTTGATAGCCAACAGCCATTCAACGTTCTATTAACCTATTAAACCCTAAGCCTTGAGTCTTGAAGCAGATGGTTAGGCTTCCTCCAATTGTATGGATATTTATCCACGGCGGCCCTGCAGCAGTCGTGGTGGTTACGCGCATCTCAAGTGAGCAGTGCAAGCAATTGATTCAATGGTTAATGAATGGCGCCGCGAAAGTCGCTTAAAGCTATGTAGATTGTGTCGGACGATGGAGACTATTGATACGGGATCCCAATCCTCCAGCAACGCTTGTTTGAGCCTCCTAGCCACTAGCGTACTTATGTTATTCACTGATCCTTAGCCAGTTAGTACCTAAATGAGAGTTATTGGAGTACGGTGTAGGGCACCAGCGAACACGACCCTTAGGAAACAGTAACACTGGATTTGCACTCGGAAACCTTACCTTCAATAGGATGATCGAGAGAATTATAGTACAAGGCCCTGTTACAGATACTTACTATATCTACAGATAAGCGTTGACTCGACGCTTAAATGTGAAAGCCCTCTTCCCCCTTGAGTACCTTACTCCGGTTCTGGGTTAGTAGGACTCGACTGAGATGCAACTTATTAAAACATAAGTCTAGAGTTGGAAAGGCATTCTTTGCCACATCAGTGGCTACTTTGTCGAGACATAATATATTCAAGATTTTATAGCGCAAGGTTCGCTTTGGTTAAGACCTAACAGTGTTATGCACACATCCTTTCAAGGATATCATTATCATATTTTCTTTATTCTTCCATCCTTCTATCATTGCAAGAAGAAACGATAACATTAAGCCTGTCCCTGAATTGTGCGCAAGCGTGTCACCATTTGTTTCAACTACTTCAACAGATCCGTGAATTCGTCAAAAGGCAGCTCTCTGAGAAGTAGCGACCACGCGCGCTCATGCGTTTGATCCAACTTCTTCAACTCTTTCAACCATGTTATGACTCCCGCTTTTTCCATTCCCTCCCATCTGTTTAGCAGCTCAAGCTCTTGGTTATATTGATATATGGTACTGCGAATAACGAAGTCCGACACCTTGTCTACCTCTGGTTTCCAACGTCGATCCTGGTATTGTGGACCTAGGTTAACCAGAAACTTGTTAGGGTGATCAGAAGGACTCAGGCCACCCAGGTCATTACGATCATCCCAGCTAAACTCGAACTTACGCGATTCAGCACGGCGAAGGGCCGTACAGAACGCTTGTGTGCGATACCTTTGTAGGTCGATCACATCTTGGGACCTCCTAGTATCGTCATCTGTTATTGCGTCAAGCCCTGCGTACCAAACCATTCTCGTTTAGGAAGGTTGACCTCAGCTGTGATAGTTCCTTCGAGGTATGTAAACTCCTAGGTGCTTTCGAGAACCGAGCTTCGCAATTGGAGGATGTTTGAGATATTGGGGTACAAAATATATTGGCCTTCATCGGTTTTTCTGAGCTATTTATGCTGGCATCTCTGTGGCGAAAGTATCGCCTTGTGGAATATACCTTTCAAGCGGGTATATGATCCGGTAGAGACGCATATACGCTGATACATGGAATCGCAATGTAGGTGCAATATTCCTTTAGTTACACAGACCAACAAAGATAATTGCCATGTTTCACCTTGTGGACCGGCAAAAGTCAGGATATAATGAATGAATGTGTCGGGATTGACGGTGGTGCCCCTCGTGATAATGGGATTCTTTGTAATTTCGAAGCCCTTTGGAGATAGCCGAGAGTCTTTCTATGGGACATCCCTGTATACGACGCCTTAATGTGACTTTCCGATTCGCATCACTATTTGTGATCCACCCTGAGGACGTCTCCACATATATGGCCTTCCTGAATATCCCTTATTTTGCACAGATAATCGTTTCATATGCCATTACTACTATATAGTGGGATGCAATGTTCCACCCCAAGACCGCGGATTTCTCATGGACTGTTGCAAAGCTAGGCTAGGTAGGTTATTAGACGTATGGTGTATGTGTCACTGGAATGATAAACAAATACGATGGCTTTTTCGGAAAGATTCCCTGAAGTATCTGTATTATGCACTCGAGTTTCGATTGGCGAGCAGATAATATCATGCAGCATTTTGCCAATGCACGGCACCTATCAAGCTGACTCCGTTTAGTAACCAGAGTTGTTCCTGCTATAAATTTAAACAGGGGTGGCTAGTCCCTGATATTAGGCTACTACATTCCGACAAATTCAGCACTAGAGCTAGCTCAGGTTGATATAGTCTCTTGATATAGGCTTGGCCCATCATTTCCTCCTTGCCGAGAAGCAGCGAGATATGTACAAGTTACAACTGCTTTTGAGGATACATTTAGTCCGACACGGGGTAGCATTTGTGCCAGAATTGAACCTTTGAAAAGAGCATTAGAGTATGCTGATGCTGGTGAAAGTGCATGGACCTTGTACTGTGGATATTGGAAACTATATAAAGTCCAAATTATGGTATACTTAGCCATCTCCTCCGTTTCTTTCTTTCCCGCCACAGGGACTTTGTTAGATGACCATTAACAAAGAAAGAGGAAGAAACTAATAGAGTGATACATTGTAACTCAGGAAGCTCTCAATACTGCCATAACGCACAAGTGTATAGAACAGAAACCTACAAGCATCAAATAGCCCTTGTTACAAGCCCCTCGGTCTGTTAACACTCTTTAGCTCATATTTCCTTCTTCCCAGTTCTCCTTCTTCTTTTCCAACTTTACCTTACTGTTGCCATCTTCCGAAACCAAACAACAAAATACCCAGAGAACAAAGACCACTCCAGAGCTCAGTCGTTAACGAACCGTCTAGCTGTTATCCTGCTCAATCCTTAGCAGTAGATTGAGCTTTTCAGAAGCACGCTCCTTCACATCATCCTCGGATGGCATTAATGTATCGTATGACACCAGTAGTATAACTTTATCGCCTTGTATACCCTCCAAGTAATTACTGACCAACCATGTAGGCCTTGAAGGATGGTACTCAAGACGACATAAACCATCTTTGATTAACTCCTCATCGCCCTTTCGTGGATCTCGTGGCTGAATCATCGGTAGAATCACATACCAAGCCATTCATTCGATGCGAAAATTGTTCTGAAGATTTTAACTAATGCTGTAGATACAAACGGCTCTCGTAGGCGATTCAGAATGCAAGACAGGATATGCTTAAGAGGAGGATGTTGAAGAAACCAGATGGATAGATTCTACGGGGTCATTAGCGATTATTTATGGTCACCTATTGTACGACACACCAGTTACACGTGGCATTCTCCCTTCAGGTGGTGACGTCTGCTGTGCTGGGTTGCTATATTCCTGTATAAGAGAGGAATATGTAGTATGATGCATTAGCAGTCGTGTGTTAGACGAAGGTAATTTCCATGGTCTTTATCTTACCCTCTCCCGAGGCTTATAAGGGCTACATAGCTTGTTCTATCCGGCTTCTAGGTAGTATGGAAGTAGCAAGGGGTTCCCATAGAGTAAAATGCTGCATGTTGGGTTGACGCGAAAGGTATCGGTGTATACTTCGTTATATAGGGTATATCGTACCCAGAGTTCTGTTGATATCGCGGCTTCGTGATATTGCGCAAATCTGAAGAACTTTTATCTTTGCCGCAACCCATACAAAGACTAGTCCTTCTTGTATCCAGTCATAGAGGCCACAGTCACATGAAGCAAAAATGGAGTGCTATATATTGAGAATTCTTGGAGCAAAGCGAACTTGATCGAGAACAGCCAAATGGATCTTCGCGATGAACGTAATGTGTCAATCAGCAGTAATTCCATGTACAAGTATTTAATCCATTGGATAGGTCTAGAAGGTCATGCTAACTTTGTCCCACATGCTGGCCATTGAAAAGAGCTATCAATTCGACATCTGGTCTATGATCCCCCGGTACAGTTCCGTAGACAAGTTATTAATCATGCATTTGACTTCAAGGTAGGACATGCAAGTGGGGTGTCAAAACTATTCGGTCTGGTGTTGCCTTTGGGCCTTGGTAGCCAACTTTTGATAATGGCGAGCCACTGCAAAACTCCCGGCAGGGAGTTTAGATTTGTCCAAACTGTCGCAGTATGCTTTCCATGATGGACAGCCCGCAAGCATTTCGACTGCCATTGGTAGCAACTTTTTGGATGCTCTCTGGGAGTGGTTCGTGTGTCTTACAGGGTGCCTACCCACCGAACGCGCAGGGAGGCGACTATGAAAGGGATGACAACATTCGTTTTTTTTTCATCTAAGTGTCCGGTTTAAGCCAAGTTCTCTTTCGGTAGGAGATGGAACCCAAGCATCTGAAACGACAAAAATAAAGCTCAGCATGCTACAATGCAGTGTTTCATCCCACGTTGTTGATGGAATTACCCTGCTTAGGTCGCAAAGTTCTTTTGCTCTCCACAACCGTTTTGATCTACTCCATCATTATCTTTGTTCAAGTATTGTAGATAAGGGGCCGAATAACAATCTAAATACAATGAAATATCACAAGAGGCTCAGTATCCCCATAGACTGCGAAAATGTAGCAAGTCCGGTACTCTCGAAGGTATGTCTTTCTTGGAAATTCCATTCCACACCTGATAGTCTACATTGAAATTGGTTCTTCTTTTCCTGCTACTCTCGTCTCCTAATCTAAAATACAGATGTTGTGGGCTATTGGACTTTGCGTTATTATCTCCAATTATGCTGGGAAAATATAAACCGTGGGGGGTTGTGAAGGATAAGCAGCAGAATTGCTTTTGTTATGTGAAAGAGGTAGCGGATTGGAGAGCCTGGTAATCAGGCGTTTCCCCTGGTTCTTTTCTTGAATACTAGTAGATGTATTCGGCGATCGAAATATGCCTGACATTCGATCTTGTATTTCACATTCTTTCCCGTCTTCGTGTGCTTGGAAATACGTTGGTCAAATGTAAATGCCGTTCGAAAGTAGTTACTGTGTCTCTAAAAGGGAACAATTCGAGTTCTTCTAGTAAAACCATCGGCGTGAGAGTATATTGTTCTCCACCTGGGCTTTTAAACTCTTTCAAGCTACATATGTACTTCTAGCCAGTTGTGGCCAGGAGCAAAGAGATGAGGTCCCTACAACGCGTCATTCTGAATTCCCAATTGATCTTCATTGCCTACGAAAGAATTACTGCTCTGTTATTAAATTTGTAATGAGGAATACCCGCTTCCTTGCCGTAAATCGCAACGATTTTCTCAAAACAAGGATTCATAGATTAGTTTCCCGGAAACGACGCTGTCGCGATCTCTTCATATTTTCTCTTTTTTTCTTCATTGCTTTCCCACAAGGTTGCCGAAAATGTTTAGTGTCGAACATGATGGTACATCGTCTTATGTCTGGCTTTTCGTTTATCTAAAAGCTGGACAATCTGGGCCTTTTCGTCGTTCCATTTGGTCGAGTCCAGCGTCAATGCCAATTGTTGCGCCGTTTTACCCTCGGAGTCCTTAATCGAAATATCAGCACCTTTCTCAAGAAGCATTCTTACAGCCGTCGGAGAGGCGCGAAAAACTGCTTGATGGAGCGCGGTTCGACGCTGTACGCCGGCAATCTCATTCAAGTTAATATTTGGCTCCTGGAGGAGGAGGTCCAGAATGGTCTTCTGATCCGTGACTAAGTGTCCAGCCCATTGAGCTGCAGCCAGGAGGAGGGGTGTGGCACCAGCTTGGTTTTTGGCGTTAACTAATACGCCGCGGAAAAGCAACAGACCAACGGCCATGGGGCTCCGTCGTCGTATGGCAAGGTGCAAAGGACTGTTGTGCGTATGGGGGGTGTAGACATTGACATCGGTCTCTTTCCCTTCGCCCCCGACGAGAAGGCATGCCAGCGCATCTAGTTGGTGCTTTTCAAGGGCATCGTTCTTTTGGATGTCGAAAACACTCAAAATCGGTCGTTTGCCAGTATGATCAGGCTTGTTTGTGTCAGCTCCCCCCTGGATCAGATCTCGGACGAGACTTGTATGGCCGGCAAAAAAGGGTTGTTCGATTGCGATTTGCAATGCAGTGCGTCCGGTCTTTCGCTCAACGATGTTCAAGTTGACACCGTGATTGATTAGTGCTTGGACGCATTTGTAATGCTGATATGTACCTCCCTGGATGGCTAGGAGTAGAGGTGCTGGTCGGGGCTTGAGCTCCGTTCCTGGATTGCATCCATCCTTCAGCAGGATTCGCACTGCTTGTACGGCCCCCTCGGCACATAGGCTCTCTAGAATATGCTGGTCTCTATCTAACCATTTCCACCACCTCAGTTTGCTGCGGTTGACTGGGACAATTCTGGTGTCCTGCGTCGAAGCGGCCTCCCAGGTCGTGGTCATATACACCTCCGGACTGAAGGCAGATGTCGGTGGGTCTTTCTTCATGGTCGCCTGTGTTACGCTTGATAGGAGCGCCTGTTTGTGGAGAGACATAGAGCGTTTTTTGGAGCGGGCTTCGGCCGACTGCTCCTCGGTTGATGATGCTTGACTTTCTGTGTTTTTAAAACCCGACTTCATGTTGGAGCTCGATATATTAGATGGCTCAGTTTCCGTACGCGGTTTGGGCTTTGCGAGATCATTGTGCGGATCGTTGGTCGGTGGTACTTTTTCCACTTCTTGAACTCTTAGCTTGCTAGGCTCTAGGCTAGAGGTCTCAGGTGAAGCTCCGTTTGTCTGAGGATTTTCTAGGGAATGTGGCTTCCCCATTTGTAGGTCCTGCTTTCCCTCCTCTGCCCGTGGTTTCTCTTCTTGGATGGAAAGTCTCTCAGGCTTTTCTTCCATTTGGGATTCGGATTTTGTTGTGCCGCTCTGCAGCTTTCCTATTAACGCGCTTTCATCGACCTGTTCTTTGCTGGATGGACTTTTCTTTTTCGGTGGTGGTAGTGATTTCTGCACCTCCTCTACAGCTGCTGACTTCGCTTTTTCAGATCCCTCCTTTGTCCATACTGCCTGATCTGAGGGCTTATCAGACTGTGTCTTTTCAGATCTAGGTCCTTGAAGAAGGTCTGCCTCAGACTTTGGTGCTCTTTGCGATGCATTTTCCTGTACCCCTTCGACGTTTGCATAACCTTTCTGGTTCAAAGAAGATCTGTCACTATCGGTCGTCCATACCCGTTCATTCAGAGCGCCCTCAGTGCTTTCACATCCAGATTCTCCTTCATATGGTGTAGTCTCCCTCGACAATGCCAAAGTCGCGTCGTATTCACACCCGGTAGTAAGCGAAGCAGTTTCAGATTTGCCTTGAGTACCAGTGGAAGTCGATGGTTGAGGCTTGGCTACCTTGGTCGATTGTGCCATCAAGACTTTGTATTCGATTGGAGCTGTTGTCATTTCCTGCTCAGGTGACAAAGATACCGCAGACCCTTCGTCTGGATTGAACATCGTTGAAACAAACTCCCTCTGTTCTTGGTAGCAAGGACTGCTAATTGATCCCTCTGTCAACGGAAGGGGCGGAGGCAAGTCCAGCGACTCAGTGTATCCCCAAACAGTGTTGGAAGATGGTAGCATGTCTGCTAGAAACTCCGGTCCTCGGGTGATTGTGTCAGTCCGGCCATCATCCGCCCAAACATTGAATTCAGGTTCTTCAAGTGGCCATATATTCGGTGACTGGAAACCATGGATGTATGCCGCGCCAATATCCGCTTCGTGCTTGTGCGCTTCACCTTGGACCGTGAGGCCATCAACGGATTCTGCGTCGTCTTCTGACGGAATGATCGTTCTCTCTGACTCACCATCGGCCTGCCCGCTATGCGACTCGGTGGTGTCACCCAACGACTGGTAACTGCCGGTGATCGATAGGCCATCAAAATGCACCATTCTTTCCTCGTCGGAGCTCTCTGCAGAGTAATACGTCGAGTTGTCCTCCACTATTTGGATAGGAACCTCTATACCCGAAGACTCTGCTGTGCCATTAACGCTCTCAAAGGTCAAATTCATATCATCGTCATCAACAGCGTCCAGCCAGTTCTCAATGGTCTGGTTTTTCTCCCGTTCGCGGGCTTTGTCGACAGGGGGATAGAGTAACGCAGTGAGCTGGGCATGTACGTCCGCCGAGTTCCCCGGGGTGAAAGCATCGTTGTCTTGGGGTTGCTGGGTATAGAGAAAGGAGCGTTGCTCGTATACCGGCCAGCAGTCAACACAACAGAATGCGTGAAAAGATGGAGATTCAAGAATCTGCTTCATAAGGTCTCCGGCTTTCGGGCGTTTATTTGGTCTCTCTTGCAGCAGATCTCGGACCCAGGATAATGGTTCGGTGCTTTCATCTCGCACTGCTGCGCAGCTGTTAAGCTCCTCAATCCATGTATCGATCACTGGAAGATTAGCCCACAGGTACGGCTCAGCTCCACGGGGATGTGAAAAGGCATGTAGCTGAGATTTCATCTTCCGAACTGTGCTGCCCAACAGCACAGTAGACATTTCCAGGAACACCACGCCCAGTGACCACATATCACTGGCAGTGCTACGGCTCTGGTGCAACGCAATCTCCGGCGCCATGTACTCGGCCGTGAATGGGACATTGCGATGATTGGTGGTGCTTTGTTTCGAGCCCTTCCAGCTATAGGCGGTTCCAAAATCAGCCACAAAGACTCGGCCATCCTTGATGAGGATGTTCCGCGACTTGAGATCCCGATGGCGGATCTTGTTCTCGTGCAAATACTGAATCGCTCCTGTTAGACAGCCGAAGAATGGTCGCAAACATTCAACACCCCTTCCGCTGCGGCCTAAGTTCTTCAACAATTTCTCCAGATCACAGTCGGCTACGGGCTGCATCAAGAATGCAATATACTTCTCGTCAGTGTATGATGAAACATATCGAACGAGGTGAATGTGAGAAAGTGATTTGAGATACGATAACTCCCGGATTAGAGACGCTTGTCCTATCTTATTGGTCGTGGTATCTCCTCCACGTAGGACGCGTTTTCTCGCGTATGATTGAAGACTCAATCGGCTGGTGACGGCGTCGACTTCTCTGGGTCGAAAAACACAGAAAAAGTGATCAATTACTGTTACGCGCAAGTCGACATAAAAATCACAAAAGCGACATTTGGGGAACTCACCCATATCCACCCCGGCCCAGCGACTCCTTGTAGTAAAAGTACCTCTGAGCATTTCCCGCAAAGCTCAGGTGGGGTCCACCATGGTTATCCAACCCCTTCGCCCCCGAGGAAAGCACGTATTGTTGAAATTGCAGGAATGATTCTCGGAGGCCATCCTCACGCAGGAAGATTGGCAGAGTGTCCTCATTGAACGGAATATGGAAGTCCGTCAACTCGGCCTTGACGAAATAGTCCAGCAGATCCAACCGCTGAATATTCCGTAAAACAATGTATATTCGCGGTCGTTCACTCCATGCGAGTAGTCGATCATCGCCAGTATCTTTGCCTTTGTTGAGGAGGATATCGCTGATTTCGTTGCATCGTTGGATACTCACTCGGCGACTAGCAGCAGAGTTGGTCGCGGATGCTGGCAGACATAAGCGAGCCAACAATTCCTCGATATCAACAGGGGGCGCGGTCGGCGGTGTTGCTCGTTTCCCAAAGACCCCTTGGAATAGTCCCATGGGTCTTAGTGAAAGTGAAAAGGACTGGGACATGGTGCAGCGGGTCTCTCAACCATCAGTCCCGGCTATAGAGAGACATGGAAATGTTAACATGAAGATACGGCTCCTGGGTGCCTAACCAGAATCAAACGCGAAGCCCAACAGACAAGGCTATTGATTATCAAGTGGGGTATGAGGGGCCTCAGCCTCGCGATCATGCAGGATATGACGTGGCGCCTAACGCTCGATTGCTCGATCCCCTTCCTCGAAGGCTCCGAGCCTGGTGATAACCTGTACATCCTTTGTGTGAAGCGATCATGGAGGTATATGGAACAATAGTCAACGTCCTACAGGTATTCGAAACATGCATCAGCACGTATAAACTTATCTGTGTTGCAAACAACGTCGGTAAAGATGGCGACCAGATCATGTCGCGGCTGCAATGGGAATATTATCGCCTCATACAATGGGGCAAAAGATCTGGAATTGAATCCAATTCCCCTTCGAGCCGAGTTAACTGGGAGGTCGCTAAGTCTCTGTTAGAAGAGCAACAGGAGTTGTTGACCTCAGCCGAAAAGCTCAAATCTAAGTATAATCTCGACATTGACGATGAGATTTTAACCGCCACAAAGCTTCAAGAGAAAGCTGTCGAAACTTCCTCTAGCTTGACAAGATTTCTGCGCCATCTCACAGCAGCAGAGTCAGGTAGCCTTCGAGCAAGGGCCATCCAAAGCCAGAACAATCCTCTTCGACGTCTGCGTTGGGCTAGTACTGGGAAAGACAAGACAGATCGTGTAGTAAGCGACATCGCAGAGTTGAACGACCGGCTGGATTACCTTTTGGATTCAGCTGATCGTGAGAGACTCCATGCCGCGTCAGAGTCGTTGCTAAGAGATCTTATCACACACTGTAGCAACCCGCACGAAGTGAATACTATCAATACGCTCTTGAACCATTCAACCTCAGACTCGAACCAGGCTCTCGCTGCAGCCGCATCTTTACGACAGATCTATTTGCTGCTAGCGCCTCCCAAAGGCTCAGAGCAAAGGTCCGAGCCGCGAGGTGCTCCTCTGCAACTCCTGGAGCTTCGTCCCCGACGTCTGGCTTCCGAGGACTCGATGCAGACCTTGAAATACGCGGGTATAGAGCCTGCACTTTACAGCGGACAGAGCGTCATTGTGGAGTGGAAAGTCGCCGGAGATCCAGGGTGGGATCAGCTTGTCAAATATGTCCGCCGACTAGCGTTGCTTTTGAGTAAAATGGATGATCCGTCATTTCATACCCTACCCTGGCAGGGGCTATTACCATGGCGTGAAAGATCGCTATTTGGCTTTGTGTATAAATATCCGGTTCCAACTGAGCAACTCATGGGCTCCTTGCGGTACGAACCTCTCTGTTCCGTGATCCAATGTTCTGCAATTGCCCCGCTAAGCCACCGCGTAAAGATCGGAAAGGATATGGCAGAGACGGTGCTCCAACTTCACACCGCGGGCTGGTTACACAAAGGAATTCGATCTGAAAATATACTCGCATTCTTCGCTCAGAACGAAGAACTTCTTCCAGAGAAAGCCCATCTCGTGGGATTCGAATATGCCAGACCCGACTCTAAGGATGGCTTAGCCATAACCCAACTCCCCTGTGACTCTCTTGGAGCGGATCAATATCGACACCCAAAGGCGCGTGGAGCTCATCGGAAATCATACCGGAAGGCATTCGACCTCTACGCACTAGGCTGTGTGCTTCTTGAGCTTGCGCTGTGGAAGCCGCTGGCGACGATACTTGCCGAGACCTACCCTGCAACTGATGAAGATAGAAGACGCTCGAATGGGAGCCCCACGAACGGAGATCGAGCACCATCACTGCTGTCGTTTCAGACATGCACGTCATTGCAGGTGCTTGTCATGCATTTTGCAGGTAGTATGTTTCGCGATGCCATTGCGCTTTGCTTTGAAGATCGGGCATTCGATGAAGATGGGCTAGATAGACAGAAGGCAATTCTAGAACTTCTGGGGAATATCAGTGTATAATCATGGAGACAAGTTGGCAAAAGCTTCAAACGTGGAACTTTTCTCGGTAGGCCCTGTGACTTGAGCACATAATCATTTGGCACAGGAGCAATACGCCCGCAAGCGCAATCTTCAAATGAAGAATTTGAGGGGTGTTATTAGCAACAATGTGCAACTATAGCAGTATCGACAAAGAAAGCAATGTCTGCCATAGCAGGAAAACTCTCCAACTTGGATATTCTCAGCCAGTCGATCGCTTTCAGCTTTATCCGCCCATATCTTGCATCCAGATATTCCTGTCAGCACGTGGAGAACTCAGGCGTTCAGAGCTCAGCCAAGGCTTTTCTGTAACTATTCATTTGCGAAGATACGTCAGAATTCTAGGCGCTAGTGAGTCTAGTTATGCCAGTTTCGTACATCCCTCGGTTCGTATAAACATGATAGTAGATGAGGACAATATCCTGATGGCTTCGGTTGAGAAATACAGTAGTTACGTAGTGTACCTTTTTTTGCGAAAGATTAAATACATGGGGAGCATAGGTGGCCAAATCCAAGCAACAGTAAACAAACTTGGCAGGGGAACTGTAGTTGACCACTTCATTTCCCACTAATCTATTCAGAGTATGCCGTATACCTGAGTTAGTTTCATGGAAAATGGCTGTAACCAATGTCTGGTACAGCCTCGAGCTCATTCTCAGACGGCCATATTGTTTTCTTCTGTTACTACCTCTTGGTAGATTCTGCCTTCTCTCTGGCGTGTGTTGCTCGGACAAATTTTGAGTCACAGCGTCATGGCTGGCTATATGGGTATGCTAAAGAAGTTGACTCTCGTCTTTATCGCAGAGAGTGACGTGTGGGCCTAATGGATCCTTCTGGTGTATGCCGCTGACACTAGTCGTGTCGTGAATGTCGAACCTGTATACGTTAGACGAAGGCCATTAATTATCTCGCAGGCTCGGAAAGTTCAACTATATGGGTATCACCCTTCTCGGGTTCAGTAGAACTGCGTGCCTTATGAGGACTGCTGCTGGATAAGGTTTTGCAGTCTCTCGCTGTCTGGTATACCAAGGCGACCAGCTTGTGTAACCTATCCTCATCTTTCGGGACTATTCCCTTGTAGAAATAGTATTTGACCATGTTGACGGTAGACATGTTTGCTTGGCCGTAGCAGATTGTTCGCAGGTTGTGGGTTGTGATTTCTCGAAGTGACAAAAGTTGGAAAGCCCTCAAAGAAACTCGATGCAGAACAGATATTCCGCTGCATACAACGTTGGTTTTGTCAATGCTTTTTTTATATGCCTGCTGGTGGACAAGATACCACACGAGCCCAATTATTCTCTTAGACTGCTTTCAGAAAACTAGTGCCACGGCCAGCACCTAGAACTACCAAAACTCAACAGAGGCACAAGAAGGCGAAGACGAAAGAAGATTGAACAGCAGGAAAGTAGAGGCGCGGAAAATGATAGTAGATTGCCTATGAGCATGGGTATTAGGACCTTGACTCACGTTCTGACCCTGCCACGTCACAAACACGCGGGGTAAGTAGCTACCATGTAAGGAATCACTGTCTGGCTTTTGCAGCTTATAGGTAGGAATCTGAGAGTATATGTTCAATTAGCCCAGCTGACCATGTCTTAAGTAGAGGCCCGTTGTATGGCTTTATGTTGCGTTGTTAATTCCTTTCAGTGGGTCTATCAATCCGGGGAGATTTGCAAGGATGGGAGCTAACAGGTGCCCAAGTACCATGATTTACAGCTGCCTGCCACCACTGGCACCATGGTGCACTGCGTTGATATGGATACCGGTTTGATACAGAACGGTTTATTACAGGTCCCTGGGGTTTGCCAGAATGGGGAACTACACCTGGCATCTCATGCAGGGTGATGGTATTCAACATTGTATGATTATCCGGGAATCGAATCGATTGTGCAATGTTTTAACAACTACTATCCATATAATGTAGGAGGCAGGAAGCTGTTGCCAGATAGTGAAGTGGAGCCAGCAAATGGAAGAAAGAAGTCTCAATGGATTGTACTGTCCGACAGGGCTGAGGGAAAGCAAAGAAGACCATACATAGCCAAGTATCACACAGTTTCTCCCATGCCAACAAATACCCTTCGTCACTTTGAATGTTCCCAGCTGCTGGAACATGTTTGTTTTCAAGCAACAGAGTCTCTTCAGCGCCAGGGATATTGCAGTACCATATCTCATAGAACGGATATATAGCCTACCATTGCCAACTCGTAGTAAATCTATAGCTGTTGATCTCCTCTATCAGTATCTTGATCATACAGCTTGATGCGTATTCCTGAGGTGGTGCACCCCAATCATCTGCCCAATCTTGCAACCTTATGTAGAACGTATATCCGTCATCAAAAAATGGATCGTTCCTGATATCAAGTTGACCAAGCTCGACACGCCATTTGCATTCCTCGAAAAACTGGATGAAGTCATGTCTTTGTGAGTCCCCTATGTTCTTGGACTTGGGTTTGCGAGCAGAATCAGTTCTAACACGCGCATAATAAGGCATTGTAGGCTAGGTAAGGGTTTGCCTTTACGGGCCTTTTTCAAGTCAAGCTACCTTCGTTGTTCTGGCCGTTGCAGATTGGGGATCTTTCGTTCATATAACTTTCGAATCTATATGTCTTATTATGCATATCTTGGGATGGATATGAAGGAGGAGATAGGTCATAAGACTGATTTTGGAAGGTTGCATGGGCTTACTGAGAGTGAGGCACGGCGTGTTCTTTACGCTTATACCGAACTAGTATCAGATCGACAGGAGCTTCAGAAGAGCTTACCAGCCATGGAGGTCTCCTGGAGTGCACAGAGACACTAGTCCATACGCAGATAAATATCACCGGTGAGTTCCACAGCCGGTCCCTAGTAGTTAGTTCGTCTACTGGTATCTGGGATCTTTGCTAAAATGAAGCGGTATTCGCAGGGCTGCCACAAGCCCGCGGGCTTTTCCACCACTGCAATCGCAAAAGCAGGGAGAGAACCCGGTAGAATAGATATCCTTCTAGATATACTGTTCTAGTTGAAGAAATATGAACTCTGTCCGGATTTTGCAACTAATTATTCTGCTAAGCTCCTGCCCCCCATGCCCGATATCATGGCTAGTCTGGAACTTGTCATATCAACTATCGCGCTTTGAAAACCGTAGGAAAGTGCCCTATCACTACGCTAGTTCACCTTTTTAGTAATCCGTTTGATGTTAATTTATTAACATTGGGCAATCGGAAATGAAGGAAGATTATTCCTACCAAGGGACAGGTTCACGGTTAGTACCGTTCAGGAAATGCAGGTCGACGAAGAAGAACCTCGTTCTTGGTTAAATTAACATTGGGATATAGAGGGCTTCCAGGCGCTCGCTATTGCATACCACTCATTGACTGAGCCACGAATGTCGAAACTACCATACAGTAGTAATTGTACAAGTACGCATATACTCCCACTTGACTTACATCCCTGAGAGCTTGACACTGGAAGACACCTGCTTATGACCCCAAGATAAACACGATACGGTCCTTAAAATTAACAATGATTGAAAATTCAGTAGCAAATGAATGAATGCACAAGTGAGTTTGACAAATCGACGCAGAAACCATTGTGAACTGAACTCCTTGCTACCAAATGCCGACGGGTGTTGGCGTGATACATCCTTGTATATGACAAAATGTGCCATCATCATTTCAAAGACACATTGCCTTAAGCAAGGTGTTCAAAAACAACGCGCACCAAAGCTTGGTGAAATATTTGTCCCTCGATGATGGAAGCCTGCCCTTTATACCCCAGATCGCGCCTTCGCCATAGAGGGGGCGCCACCAAACCGTGGTGTTATCCTCTTCTCGTGATATTTCATCTTGATGAATGATATTGAATCGATTCTCCTTAATGTAGCGTTCAACCAATTCCCAAAGCGTCTTGTCTTTCTCAGATAACTTGGCCTGTTCATGGTCGGGATAGTGGAATTTCTTTTCGAAAACGAACTCCATACATAACCTGTCGCTCGACTGGGAAGACATGTTGGCATGTTAGGTGGGTGAAAGTAGGTGAAGCAACCGATGGTGATAAAATATGAGTAGCAGGTTGAGCGTCTGGATGGAAGGGTCTTTGGGAAGTCAGGGGGTTATTTATCCCATGCTATTTCTGGTTATGGACTATTTCATAAAGTGGATTATTGGCACGGCATACGGCCAATTCGTAGGTGCAAAATCCTGTACTGCAGGTCTTAATGGGCTATACTCCGTCTAAATACATTCGGACAGTGCCACAGAAGCCGGTATATACATGTGATGAGAAAAGGTAGGAAATATGTCACATTATGGGCTCTTCCCTTTGTACAATTGCCGATAAAGAACAAGGAAATCTTCGTATGAGAAATTTAGCCCAAGGTGTTGCGACTTACTTACCTTGCAAGGGTATCGGATAGGCTAACAGACGTTACTGCCATACCACTGTCATCTCATTCATGACGGCATGAGAAATGAATGATCCAAATTACAGGCTATTGCCGCAGCGTGAGGCCACTGTGTCATTGTTTCGAGAAACTGGATTTATGATCAACGCCTGATAATGTTATAGTAACCAATACGAATCGTCTGTACTGGTGGCACTTTCGGAGTTTCGCACAATGAGAATCAAAACTACTATTATCCAGTGGAGTTTAAACAAAGGGGCCTTTTGTAAAAGGCCAGTATGTTCACGGAATATACCCCAAGGGACAATGGCCTTGTGAAACAAAGGTCTTCGAGAGCATATCCCTCTTTACCTTTGCCGACATGATACGAGGAGACTATATTGTGGGGGGAGTGCAAGGCCAGAATATCGGGGCGAATGATCAACGACAGGGTTAAGTATCTTGGGAATGGGTGTAGAGGGACTTTCGTGCATTCTAGCTAAGGGGAAAGCAAAGACTGACTGTGGTGTGTTTTGTGTGATACTTGGCAATAGGAAGTGGGAGTGATGCGACAAGAAAGAGATCGGCCCGTTGATTGTTTGAGGTGCTGTATAACGTAACCGGCAAGTGACCCGCACCCTCTGAATTCCATAGAAGACTGTCTTTTTCAAATAACAATATCTCAACCAATCCAAGTTCTATCTGCTTTAAAGTTTATATATAGTTTATTATATACTAGAATAATAATATACTAAGCTAAGAGATTTTTTGAATTGCTGGTTACTATATACAGATATATTATACCATATTTTATAGTGTATAGTTAAGATTTATATATTCTAAGACTTTATTTTTATTTAGATTCAGATGATATATAAAGAATATCGGTATTAATTATATACTTTATTTTTAAACTCATAGATTCACTAGTGGGTGAGATATGATTGTTTGAAAAAGACGGTTTTCTATGGATATCAGAGGGTGCGGCTGGCTTACAGGTGCGGGTCGCTTGCCGGTTACGTTAGTGCAGGGATATTAATTAGTAATAGAATTCTGCTTCTATGGTTTTATGTACTGAGTCCTTGACGCTTTTCGTCATCCTGTCTTTCTTTGCCTCCGATGCTTTCGCAGACTGTGCAATGTTGAATGACGATATAGCATCCGGGTTATAGTTTCCACAGCGTAGGGGTTAAAAATCAAGTCAGACATACCCTATACACTATCATTGATCTAGGTCTTGTCATAATACTGTTAGGGGCTAGCCTGTTGCGCAGATTAAGAACAACGACGTAAACCTCCAATCATCTTTGTTTAATACTTAGTTTTAGTTAATGTAATGAGAGATGCATAGATATAGCCCTGCATATCCAAAGCTATATTGTTCAACATAGGAGGCTTGGGTTGTGTATTTGGCACTCGCGATGGCCTATGAGATACCATAGGGCCATCGTCTATCTTATAGGACATATACTTGAGGAAGGCTCTTGTTGGACCTGAATGGCCCTTTCTCGTTTTCTACTTTTTATGCAGTTTGTGATGTAATAATGTCAGTACATGATAGTAATCAAAAGCCCACATTTGATATTGTTGACGCAGAAAAGAAAGGAAAAAAGGTATACATCCATCATGCTAGATATTAAGTCAAATATCGTTTCCCTCTTCCTCATGCACTGCGCTCTCCCATCCTCGACTTTCTTTTCTTCGTTGTCCAAAGGAACAGAAATAGCAGGTACCAGCCTGCTTGGAATAGCCATGCCAGGAAATAGGAAAGATAAACCAATGACCTTAAACAACCATTCATGCCCCCCACACAGCCTAAGGCTTTAGAGAAGGTCAGAACTAGTAGGACTATCGATTTTGTAAAGATTATCGAATTCTTCAAGGAGAGCACGTTGAACCGCCGGAAAACCACGCTTTACAGCGGCATCGAATAGCTTCTCAAGTGCGTCCCACTTCCGATTGTTCATTTTCATCAGATCTTCATGAGCCATTCGAAGCATTTCCCAAAAGCTTGTCAATATATCCGCTTCAGTTGGCGGAAGCCCAGTTGAATTTACGAGAACACCCATGATACATTTATTTTCCTCGAGGGTTTCATCAAAGGACCCTAGTTGTTCACGGTAAACGATATCCCACTTTCCTTCCGCAATAAGGGCTCCACAGGCTTGATAGAACATTGGGTAGCTGTCATAGCGCGAGACATTCGCTGTGACCTTTGCATAGCAATATTTGCCTCTTGCTGTGGGCTGGTTTTCATCTTTTGCCTCGGATTGTTTGTCTTTGCCTTTATCGCCTTTTTTGCCTTTTCCTTCGTCTGTACGATGCCAGTCATAGTACTTGTCAGTGCGGGTGTAGGTGCGTCCAGTGGACATAGTTGATCTTTTTCAACAAATTTGATCGGTGGGTTGTGGCAATGGGACGGAGAAAAGATGGAATATAGATGGACTGTTATTCTAGATCGATCGAAGACTGGGTGGGCTTCTGGGAGCGTTGTATGTTGGAACATTCTGAGCATAAACCACATGTTGAATAGCTATAATTGGGTCAAGACTTCCATGCCCATCAAAGGATGAAGTTGAAACACTCTTTTATCACATGATATTGTCGCAGCGTTCTTGCAAGCTGGATCAGATGAAGACCAACAGTCCACGGATTATTATTATATTTATATAGTGGATGGTAACATGCAGTGGGGATATATCAATACCAGACGAACAGGGGTTTGTTTCAGAGCGGCTCTATATGCCGTTCCGTTCAACGGTACTTTCGGGGTAGTTCGGCAGTGAGTTAACAATGCCTGGTACTTATATATGACCGCGGGGACGGAGGTTCCAGGGATGACGGCATCATCTCAACACCTTGGCCGTGTTACCAGGGATCATATCTTCTTTCTCTTCTGTACAACAGGGCGCTTTCTGCAGGGCAATGCTGCTTTATCGACGAAAATAGCTGGGTATAGGGGGTTCGCGCCATTGACGGTTTCGTCAGTACTTGTCTAGATCTGCCTGGATTCATTGTCACAAGTTGCTGGCCAGGATGTCGATAGGCGTTGCATGACATAGGGGGATGAGGTTGCTAGTTCGCGTACTTGCTCCAGGACCGGAGTCTTTTACCGTACTGTTTGAGCATTGATTAGGAGGGTTTTTGATCTCCAAGAATTCGGGCGGCTGCTTACGCGTTCCAGAATAAATGGTAGAGGAACCATGGCAATGGATATAAATCCTAGCGTACTCGATGCCCATCCAATGCCCAGTGACTGTAACATCCTCGGAGCGGCTAAAGGCAACGCTCCGCCGAATGAACTTCGGAAGAATGTGTTGCCGGCGAATACGCTTGCCACATATCTTGGATAAGACTCTCCCAGGTAATTAAGAATAGATTGGAAGGTGAGATAGAATCCCGGTGCGAAGAAGGCTGTGCCGATGATAGGGACAATCCAGTGTATGCTGTTATGGTTAATTAGTATCTGGTCTGAGAGGCGCTTGCCATGGTGGACTTGCCTTTCACGAGAGGTCCATGCAAAGATAAAGAGGCAAATTGGGATACAGATGGCCCCGACTTGTCCAGGGACAAGGCGGGCTTCGGGCTCAACAATGGCTTCTGGTTTCGCAACTCGTGGCTGGTAGGAGAAATATAGCCACACAACGTATGCAACGACAGACACACCTGCGCCGGCAAGAATACCAAAGAATGCAACTGAAAGGACCGTCAGATCAAATATTGCAGGCCTCAGGGCGATACTTACGGCCTTGTTGTATTGCGGTAAAGTGGTAGATTCCGTCAAAGACTAAGGCATCGTGAGCAGAAGCATATAGGTTTTGTTCGAATAGTGACATACCAAATGGGAAAAGCTCGAACCATAAATACAGTATCCCGTATATCAGCATAGTGTGCATGTTAACAAACAGAATGACCGGGTCCATGCAAGAAAGTTTGAAATCATCTATTGTCTGCTTTACTATGCGCATGGCAAGGTTAGACTCCGGCGTGTCGATGTCCGCTTGGCTTTGGTAAAAAGGATTTCCTGTCTGATTACGGAGTTGCCGGGCTCGACGAAGAAGGATATTCGAATACAAGGTCTCAGGCAGGAGGAAGAAAATAAACACGGTCGTGAAAGCTGTGACGCCGGAAAGAAGCCATAGGGTTGCAGTCCATGTCTCCCAGCGCTCTCTGTACGTATACCATCAGCATGAGATTGCCATGCAAGGCGAATTGAACACGTACATTACCAGCGTACCAAGAATCTAGTATTCACAGTAAGTAAAAGTACCGAAAGCAGAATTGGGAGAGATTCGCATACCGGTCCCAAAATGGGCCCACATACTCCGCTGACTGCGTACAATGCAATGGCATACGGAATTTCGGTGGGTCCATATACCTCCATCAGCGTAGCACCGCCTACACTAATCGGTGCACTGCCAATTAACCCACCAAAAAATCTCAATATGAGAATAGTATGTAGATTCTTTGCTAGTGCAGTGCCGATATTAAACAAACAAAAAGCAAAAGAACCGAGCACATAAACTGGTGTACGTCCGATAGACGGCAGGTTCGATACTGGTGAAAGCTTGAGTAGATTATCGTTAGTGTATTTCCAACACCGAAATAAGTATGTACACGTACAATGAGTGGCCCAATGCCATACGCAATAACAAAAAGGGAGAGTCCCAGTGTGCCCTCTGCAGTGGTAGCGCCAAAGGCCTCTTCAATCCCCGGAATGCTTGGTGTGAAGATTGCCGACGCCGCATAAAAGCTGAAGTTGAGCAGCATAACATCCACCATTACGACCGTCTTGGCTAATGTTGGCCAGTTTCTGGGTATATCCGGATCCTCCGGTCCGTTGAAATCGACCAATATGTAGCGAGCCGCGCCAGGGCAAGTAGCAGAGCTTGAACCCGTGGTTTCTTCATGCTTTGGAATATCGAGATCACGATGTGGGAGCGTCCGGCCATTTGTTATAAAATTGAGTAACCGTCCGAATGAGCTTTCGCGAAGTAGGATGTCCATCGTGAAGATGGTGCAGATTCAGAGAACCACTTCTGTGTTTGCAAACGAGAGAAACAACGGCGGATCAATGGATACTTATGTTCGGGTTGAGATCGAAGGTCACAATTACTTCTTCAGCCACATATTTCAAAATCCATGTCACAGATTATATATGCCCTAAATCAGAGGCGTTCGATACATTGGTCAATACGCCAAGTTCGGAATTCCGAGGTATACCCCGTTTCTGTCCAATGAAATTCCACCGTTCAGCCCGATCTCCGAGTCCGGCATTAAGCTCGGAATGGCCGGACGTCTCATCTTCCTTGAGATATAAATGCTACATGCATGGTAAAGTATGGATTTCGCGAATCTATGATATATTGCAGCTGAAGGCCAAGTTTATCAACATGCAAAACGCTATCTTTAGTTAATCTACCGAAATATGATGCTCGTGAACCACAAAAAGCGAGGTAAAAAAGTGGAAAAGTAAAACCAAAGAAAACAGGGAAGGCTCCGAAAGAATACCACAGCTGTCGAGAAATAGGACGAGCTCAATCGGTTGTTGAATACACAGGAACATAACATTGTAGCATCCGTGTCACGGCGTGGGGCCACGGTATAACTATACAAGGTGCGAGCCGGGCAAGACCGGACCTGGGGTCTGATTATCGTGACCTTTTCGTCCGTCCAGTTGGGGACGGACTGGCCTGGATACCCGTTCTTACAATCCGCCTAGGATCTCCGAGACATAGTCAAACAAGTTAACTGTTGTCGATGCCGAAATTGCCTTGACGGCTGCTGTAAAATAGGGAATTTCTTCCCCGTTGTACACGCTTCGATTACCGTGAATACCGATCGTGACCTTTCCATAGTTGGAATTACTACTCTCCCATAACCCCTTGCGTATGAGGAGTCTTATATCCAAGTCGCCAAGGACAACCGCAGTTGAGGTGCCATTCCGAAGAGTCAGATCCGGGATGTCAATATACCCCAGCTGCGAGTCATCTATGGTAAGATTGCAGCTGACAGTACCCTTTGTTGGCCGAGATTTAGCATTATATTCTAATCGGCAATTTGAATGTTTTGATCTGTAAGACCTTTCCAGTTGAAGTGAAGACTTACCATTTCAACACTAATTGGGGTTGGGGGATTGAAGACAATCGTGGCATTTACATTGTACCCGTCGTGAGTACCAGGATTGATAAGAGCAAGCTTGGTGACGTTAAAGGCGTCGTTACGTTTCATAAATTCTATAATATGAAGGCCAATTAGTAGGATTATCGCGTATACCCATACATGCTCACTAACCCTCAACGTTCAGTCCTATATAACGTAAGATATCATTAGCCTTTACTGGTGCACCCATGTCACACGTCGGAAGATAACGTATGCAGTAACATACCTGGCAGGGTAACCGTTTTATGAATGTCCAAATGGGCGGTGGGCAGTGCTTGCACCTTGAGAGCTGGCTTTCCAGTAATTTTAACTGAAATTCCATCACTTCTGACTGCATCCTCGGCCAGCTTTGAGAAACAGCTGACGCAGGACAAGTCCAAATCCTGGTCAATCTCAAGACGAGCATCATTTCCAAAGTCGATGCGGGGAAAGGGTAGAACCGCAAAGGGAGTATCAGAGCCCGCGTAGTGCATGGAGGCATTGAACCCAGAGAGGTGTCCACTACCCACCCCCACATGGAACTGTTGTGATTGCCGTACATGGAACGAGTTTGGTGTCGGATTTGTGATAGACAAGCCGTCGAAGTCGAAGTCGTACTTATTAATGCGATCATTGGCAAAGTGCGGAACCCCAACGTAAACTCTTTTCCACTGATTAACTGGGTTGCAAACCGGATGCAGGGTGTAGTAGTGAGGCTCACATTGGAAGAATAGTGACCAAGACAACGCAGCCCAGGCCGATCAGATATAGCCACCACCATTTCTTCATGTGGGCCTTCCATCTTTGGAACAATGGTGGTTTTGGAACAGCAGCGCTCTCGTTCTCTTCTAGCTTGAATGAACTTTGCCCCGTGTTACCTTTTGACATTTTCAACAACGTCCCATAGATTATTTCTTCGACTTCTTTTTCCCAGGCAAAGACGCGAGGATTGAGATGCACGACCGATTTGGGTTTGGTCACGTGTTCTGCGCTGGGAATACAACTGCGCCCTATGTAGTTGCTACAAGGCGCAGACAAGTAGAGTGGGGGGAATGGAGGTAGAAAAGAGTCCATCCTAAAGCTGTTGTGGCAATTAAATTGCGGTCTGAACTTATCGGAGGGGGTCCTACCCCGTAGGGCCAATTCCTGACGCCGATCCTTTCACATGAGATACGTCGGATGGATATGTCTTGAATTAGTACTCGGTATAGACCACGGAAATCAGATGGGTGATCTCATGCACGTTGTGAATAGATTAAACCCTTCCATGCGCAATAAGTCTTACGCCACTCAGATCTACACTAAATTGAATTCCAAGGCAGGAACGTTTTGAAAGACGATTTGGTATGCTCGGTTACGGCCTCGAGTTCAGATAAACCTCGGACTTAACCCTAAGAGGTGGGTAACCAGAACTGGTCCCTGAGCCTTCTAGGGTCTCTATTTGTCTAACGGAAGAATAATGTGTGTTGCACAGCGGTAGTACGTAGACTAAAATTAGCTCATTTGATTCATTGACCTGTCGACGGACATGGTCGAAGTCTTGTTTGTGATGCCATGAAATGCTTCATATTGCATTTACCAAAGCTTGAGTGACTACCATCATGACTATTGCCATAGAGCTATCATACAGTCAGAAACACGTGTCTCGACAATATTACTCATGTTAGTAATTTGTGCAGCACAACTTGGGTTGTATATATCTGCTCTTGATATTATATTGCATAGTATTATTCATGGCAGAGTTATTTATGGCTGTGTCAAGGATCAGATTTGACGACTCCTGGCCACAGCTTTACTCTCGTGACGCTAGCACGAACTGGAACTTCAACATCAACATCATTAGTATGACACTGTAATAGCTATCCATGCAAACATAAAACAAATGAAGCTGGGATCAAGAAGAGCGACAATAACTCCGGTACTTTTCTCCGGCATAGCACACGATGACTAAGCGAGGCCTTCGTCACGAGTTTTAAGGGATCGTCGCTCTAAGACATTAGTACTCTTTCCAGTGTCACTCGACGCGGTGATCGAGCTCAGCGAAATGTCGTAGCTACATTAGCGCAGAGCATTTATATTGATGCTTGGTCCAAAGAATGGTGCGACAACAGCAAGACAGGGAAACTGCTAACCAGCAGCAACCGCCTCGGGAGAATGATGATGGAGGTTCCGACAGCCACGAGGGCCTGCCAAATGAACCCGCCCCAAAGCGCCACAAACGAGGGAAATATGTGTCAAAAGCTTGGTATGGAACCAGAAAGTAATAAGTCACAGCCGCCTTGCTGACACCACGCGCCTGTTTTCTAGTGGCCAATGCCAGAGGAGAAAAATCAAAGTGAGAGAGCCAAAAATGTCCCATGTTGGATGTGTCTCTAAGGCTGTGGAATGATTCTAGTGTGATGGGTGCATCCCCTGTCGACCATGTGTCCTCAATGGACGAGATTGCCTCATGCAGACAATCGACATGCGGCGCCGAAGAACAACCGAGCTGACGGAGTCTGGAGCTCCCGACAGGGAGCTGGCTAATGCGAACGCTAGCCGTCAGAACCATGACGATCAGTATGGGGATTCATCTTATTACTCTGCCCGTTTAATATAATCCAGCTAATGATACGATCAGACTAACTGCGAGAGACCTCGCGTCTCGACTAAGTCGGATTGAGCATCAACTAAGCCTCGTCTTGGAGTCAGTGGGCCGCGACAAGGACAGACCAGCTGGCAAAGAGCCGGGAACCGATGGGTCAAGTCACCTCCGGGAGGCCAATGTCCGGCGGCCCATCAGTTCTGATATCTCGAATTCTGTTAGATCCCAAGTACCAGCTTTCTCGGGTGAGTCTTCTATCAACCACACCCTCGACCAAATTGAGGGCTACCTGGAGCATACGGATGTCACGTATGGTAATGCAGAGCGTCCCATGTCTTGTCAGGCGTCAGGTACATCTTTAACTGCGCCAAATTCCCCGCTAGGTGGCTCTAGAGAGACGCGCGAGGCAGTCGATATACGAAAGATCTTGAATGTATATGGCATCGATCCGCGCAAAGATGAATGGGATGGATACATGCACACTTTCTGTGATGAAGTTCACATCCTTTACCCCTTCCTTCATATTCCGAGCCTGTGGGCCAATTATGCAAACATGTGGAATTCTGGCTTTTCTTCCACGGAGCATGAGTTTCAGAAAAGCAAGGATTACCGGATGATGGTCGCCCAGGTATGGGTTTGTGTCGCACTAGGGAGGTGTACGGAATCACCCCGGCTAAGCAGTGAGGAGGGCAAACACTCTGCTGGGTGGAGCATCTTTGAGGCAGCAACAGACCTTATTGGAGACCTTGTAGGCTGTTTTCGGGCGTGCTCAAGGCCTACGGTTACTTTGCAAACTTTCGCGTTAATGGTACATGATCTGACCTGGGAATAACATTCTATACCGGATGCTGATATTTCTGAGAATATCTTAGGTGGTCTATCTCTTTCGACTTGACGCAAATGAAAGAGCGGAGAAGTTCTTAGCGCTTGCCATCTCGCATGCACATCATCTAGGCTTTCATCGGTCTAAGGTCGTCCGACGTATGCCAGTTTTCAACGATGAAATGATTCGGCGACTATGGTGGTCTCTTTATGCCCTTGATCGCCGGTTAGCAATTGAGACGGGCCATCCATTCCTAATACAGGATGTCAATGTTGATGCTCCTCATCCCCAGAATCTGGACGATGACTGGCTCACCCGGCACAAGGAAGACCCCAAGACAAGCAACGAGCTAGAACAAGACATCAAAGCAGCACTTTCCCAAGATCCTATCACACCAATCCCGTACCTATATGCCACCATCCGCTATTCCCGGGTCGTGGGGAAAATATGGGAGGCAATCTACGGGGCAAATATGACAGACGTCATCCCCAGCTCAAGTTTACTAGAATATCTAGACCAGCTCATATCCAGCGCCCAAGTGGAAGTGCGACCAGAGTTTTCCGATAGCCATCACTTCGAGCCGCCAAATCTTGAGCGAAGGAACCCGCTTCGATGGCTCACCAAGCAGCAGATGCTGATGCGAATTGTACGGCACTTCTTCGTCTTATTACCTTCACTCCCGTTTCCCGTTAGCTAACCACATATCCAGCGATGGTTAACTCTCCGCCTCCTCATCCGAAAACCAATCTTGCAACAACGAGCCTCACCCCAGGAGTCCGTTGCCGACATTCTCGAAACAGAAGTCACCTGCATTCGAATCGCCTTCAACATCATCCAGGAATTCAAACAAATTCCCCAATACACGGCATCTGCATTCCCCTTTCTCCACTCACTGGTCGGGGCCACAGTAGTCACTCTAGGCCTGATCATCCGAGAGCCATCTTTCAAAGCAACGTACGGTAACATAACACACCAAGCCGCAACATCGCTCGAAAACTACTGCCGCAAGACATGGGTCTCAGGAAAGATGATCCGAACAATCCGGAGGCTGACTCAGATAACTTTGTCTGTCCTGTCTGATTCCATAGATAGAGCCTCGAAGCGTTCCGCGGCGCTACAGCCAACATCCCAAAACCACATCACGGATACTAACACTGTCCCTCAGACAACACCCTGGACATCATCCACAACAACCCCCCTTTCCAATCATACAAGTCACCCATCCACTGTACAGGGTAGTTATATTCCAATTTCGGCACTGACGAATCAAAATACATCTTCTCTCGCCACGAGCCCTATCCATGCGTCGCATCCAATACCCCAATTAACAAATCCCCAACATACCTCCGAAGGATGGACCATCACTCCAGCGAACCTCGTGACCACGGACTTTGACTTTGAGCAAAGTCTTACTAGTGACCTTATATCGGGTGGTCCTGTCTATGGATGGATGGCCGGAACACAGCCAAGTGAGGCCCAAGATAGAACTGCATATATGGAGATGGGATGGTTGGAGTCGTTGTTTGGGAATGATCTAGGATCTAATGTCATGCTTCCGCCCGAGAGTTAGGCTGGATATTTCTTCTTGAAGTTCGAGGCTCGATTTGTGTTGAGCTGTATCTGAGAAGACTTTTGTTTAGAATAGAAGGTCGTGTCGCTAATGAAACAATCATATGTACTATATCTAAATTCTATCTTGCCAGTCCGGTCGCAATAGCGTTGCCGCTTCCGGTGTCCATAACTAATGTACCGTGAATGCATGTACCAGTCAATGGTCGTCGACGTTCACACGGTGACCCTAGAGGGCAGTGTGGCTAGGCAACACACCCGCATTCTCAAAAGACCGATAGGTTTCAATCCAAGTCTCGAAGGTATCGTCTGTTCGCTGCCAACCGTACCTCCTGGCCTTGTTGACGGACGAGATTGTGCACCAGGACTTGCCGGTCGCCCAGTTGAAGAAGCCCCAGGTGCCCCAATCGAATGCTTCGAGCTTGCCTCCGTATTTCTTCACCACGGCTTCCCAGACGGGACGCTTGTCTTTCGCCCACTCTACCATGTCGATTTCGTTGTTAAGAGTATCGGTTTGGCCGGCGGCCTTGTCGAACTGAGGCTCGGGGGCCTGGATGAAAGCCGTCAGCTAATCATTATGTCTTTTCACTGTATACCATAAAACATACCTCGACGCCGAAATATTTGGCAACATCTTGCCACAGGTATCTCCACACAAAGACATCTCCGTTACAATGAAGGAAGTCCTCATTCTTGCAGTGGTCCTTTGTCGTAGCGTGGATCGTCAAATCAGCCAAGCTAGGTGCGTAAGAGTTGTCGTCTATAGAGTTCCAGAAATACTCGTTACCCGGGAATTGGGCAGGCTGGCCGAGCTCCCGGCAGATCAACATGTAGATGGCCATGGTCAGGGCTTCGGACATTCCGTTTGCTGTGGGATAGCAAAGTTGCGTTAGCTGAAGTAGCTAAGGGTATACTGTCAGGTGAACCAACCGTGAGGAGCGAATCCATTGATTGCGTTCGGGCGGATAATATTCCAGGACCACGTGTTTCGTCTCTTCTGCGCCTCCTTCAGATAATCCTCCTGGAAGTAATAGAAGTTGTAGCCCTTGTCGTCGTATCTGGGCATGTCCTCCGAGAGAGGAAACTTGACAGGCCCGAGGTGAACTCCATAATACTGCGGGTTGTCTTAGCGAACTTCCACATCCAAACGCAAGTAGTTTTAGTAAAGCGAGCAAATACGAGAGACAAACCTTCCCACCGGTTTGAAGACAAACACGCTCCAGATTCGGGCAGACTTCATCCACCGCGTCCATGAAGTTCTTGAACAAAGGTACGTTCTTTTCTTTCAGCACCTTGAAGTCGTCATGGTGCACGTACGAGGTGAAATATGCATGAGTAACTGGTGCGCAGATGTCCCTCAACTTTGAGACAATCTTCTCTACCGGGTCGAGGAAGTCCACGGCCACAAATTCCACGCGAGGGTCGGGCCAGAAATACGCCAGAGGACGCCTGGAGGTCACGATAATCTTCGACCTATATCCGGTTTGCTTCAGCTAATGGCCCTTTCGCCAAGTTAACCAATTGTTGCTGGGACATACCACTCGTTCTTGGGCTCCCGAATCAAGTGCTCGATGATCGCAAAACCACTGATGCCATTGGCACCTGCGACGAAAGCGACCTTACCGGGTAGAGGACTCATGATGGACCTGCTTTTCTGTGAATATAATTGAGGTTCTTAGATGGAGAAAATGAAAGAGGACACTCTTCAACCTCTTTATACACCGGTTGTCTCAGCACCATATCGTGGGCCATAACCTCATTCGGCATCCCGCTAAAACTAGATGGGTCGAGAATCGGAACTTCCATGCAAAATGGCCGCTTTTGCCGATGTGCATATAGGTCCCAGTGTTGCAGACTACGATAGCTGGCAATGAAAACGTTGCATGGCTTTTGCTCGGAGATTGTAGTCCCCATTCTCTGCCGTTCTAACTTGTCTCTGGGTATTTCGGCGGAGCCGATCGACATGGATATGATTGATCTGCAGCACTAGGAGTGCTACCAAGATTCCAGAGGCTGTTGTCTGACGAGTACTGGACGAGTTCAGGTGAGGTGTGGGTCACGTTCGGTGTCCGGCAACGGAACTGTTACAGCAATTCCGTTGGATTTCCGTGCCAAGTTCAGCGGTGCATTTGGGTGTCTCAGTGGTGTGGAAATACGTGCAACTGCGAAATTAGTCAGGATATAATCAAGATTGCGGAATTTTGTGCCTGATAGTCCTACAGGAAGGCAATTTTCATTGTGCTGAGATTGCAGTCTTGGTCGTTGATTCCCAAAGTTTCAATTGGAGTCGTTCGTTACATGTTCTACCTCGGCTTCTTCATTCAAAGTATTATATCTAAGGTCTGTGCAGGTTGATTGGGAGGGAAATGAAACTAATCAGCTCACCAACATGAGATAACTATATTCTATAAGCAAGATAATAACCGCTTCTATAAATATTGAAAGCCATTCGCTAAATTCTAGGCCCTGGAATAAGGGCAAAACACCTATACATGATTCTGAGTCCGATAACACCAGTTCAGCTAGATGATCTTGGAAGCCATCTGACTACGCTGCCTGATCTTTGCACCATATCGATAGAAAACAAATGGGATAAATATCAAAAGCACCTCCACCAATGCCAACATCGTTCCCGCCCAATTCACCCCCATTGCCCCATACATCTTCGAGCCTGCAAGTGGCAATACTCCGCCGAACACATATCTAACCACCGAGTTTCCAGCGATAGCAGAGGCGGCATACATACCATAGCTAGCCGCCAGATAGCTCGTAGCATAGATAAATACTAGCCCATTCCCCAAGCCAAATGGGACACCCGCTAGTATGCATGATATCCAATGGACAGGTGGCCGGGCGGTCCAAGAAAACCAGAACTCCCCGATCGGAATGAGTATGCCACCGATGCATATTGGTCGCACCAATGCCTCCGGTGGGATCTTGCCTGTGACTGGATCGGGTGGATGCTTAGCAATGAGGAACTTGCGGACTAATGGTTCTGAGAACACAGCCAGAGCTATGCCCGTGCCGATCCCCAGATATCCAAGCCCTGCCAGTCCAGGGGACCATTCACGGAGTTGCTGAAACACAATTGGATACCCGACAAAACAGAGGAATAACACGGCATAGACAACGCCCACGTATACGTTCCAGAATAAGCTATTCAGTCAGCACCAATCATAGTTGCAATTTCTCGCTAGGGTGCAGAGGCCGAGGGCTCTCAATCACTTACCATATTGGTTCAAACATGGCCATGATAAGTGGTCGGCTAAGACTAGTCTGCAGCCTTTCCCAGATGCTTTCTTCACCTTTGCTGTCATATTTGGTCCACCAGCGTGTATCACCAGTTTCGATTTGCTTTTTCCTTCGTAGCCTCCTGAGCAGGACAGGTGCGTAAGTCTCTTTCACCAAGCAGAGGCATGCAGTTGACGCTCCACCACATATAAGCACAATCCAATTGATCCAGCGCCATCCAAGATATTGGTAGACAAAGCCGCCGATAATAGGTCCTAGGAAGTGTCAGCCGGTTGCTAAGCCAGTGATTCAAGAAAATAAAGTTTTACCTAGAACCGGGCCATTCATTGCCCCAAGGCTCCATAGACTAAACGCTAATGCTCTGTACTCGGGATGGATTATATCGTTTATAGTGCCAGGACCAGCCACTACCGAAGCACTGCCGAAGAAGCCACCAAAGAACCTGCTTATAACGACGGCCTCGAAGTTTGGTGCCAGTGCCACCGGTAAAACCAAGATAGTAAACAAGGCACCAGTACTTATATAGATTATTCGCCTACCATACACTTCAGACAGTGGTGCAAGGACTAGACAACCGAGTCCCAGACCTATCATGTAGGTGGTCAGCCCAATCAGCACCACTATCCGAGATGTAACATTGAAAGATTCTTGGATTCCCGGGGAGCCAGATGTATATGACGTGGAATACAATATCCTAGAAGCAGTTTAGATAACCCGACCAAATGCTATTATATCATCTAAGGAAGGGGATTATAGTATAGACTATGCTAAGAAAGACACATCGTAGGACTTACACGCATGTTGTAGTGAGTGAAACAGACCAAACAGTAAAGCATTTATACCACAAAGGCCAGTTATTGGGATTCTCTTTGTCATTAGGTTCCCAATCAACTTCGAACGCAGGATCTCGCGATGTAGGGTCAGAACTCTCAGTTAGCTGTCCCATAATGACCCCTATCGGCTGCCAGGCTGCCTGGAAGCATTATTCGACACAAACTAATCATCCTCGGCGGTGCTTTGTATAAGTACCTTAGAATAGTGAGACAGTCCTATGGTTAGTGCCGAATGATGAGCCGTCGTGTGTTTGACGCGAGCATGCACAGACCTTGTAACCCGGCTAGCCGCCCAAGGACATCTTTTCTGTCGGTGCAATCATCTTGCGAGATTATAGATCAACAAATTATATTGGGGCACGGGTCGTTTAGGCTCCTTGGGTGGACTCGGTGGAGCTGGTGTACCGGAATAATGACGGAAATCCGGAACGATTTCCGCCCAAGTATAAAGGGTTGGCAAAGGTATCAATTCTCTCGGCATGTCGATCTGCATGTTGATTACCCACATCCTTGTGATTTTAGACATCAAGCAGAAAGTTTGCATCACAAGATCAGCATAGCGCGATACAAGATGCCGTTCAATGTGGGTATATTGCTCTACTCGATACGAGCAATAGAGAGGTGGGAAGGGGACCGCTTCTACTCGAGTCGGCGTAGGTTTTAGACCAGCCATTCTCACGTGCAGATTGTATATCATTTCCATATAATAGAGTGTATCGGCCAACTATCCCTGCTGCCTGTCGTAAGCATTGTCGGTAAGAGTGGACTCCTCCTTGAGTCTACCGCCCTGGTGTTATATTCCGACAATATGTCATCAACGAGATGTCGACCTACTTTAGCTGAACTTCCTCTGAGTCCAAGTGACCCTCCATACTCGGCATGGGGCCTCTGGGGAGCCGACGATGAAGTCGGAACACTGGTAAATGATTGAATATCCGGAAGGACAAACTATCATACTGATGCATTCTGTCTTAATAGAATCTACTCGATGAATCTACTGTGACTAAAGCAGCCAGTGAAATCCAACTTGGCCGCCGTTTCAGCCTGAAGTAAGAGCAGTCAGAAATGAAATCGGTGTGCGGAGTTCGAAACTGAGTTTCATAGCTGGTCTCTAGCTTCTCCTCGGACGCCCCTGTTCGGAAGACATACATGTGAATTCAGCCATAAAGTATACCAGCATTCTACTGAGCTCATTGCAATAGATGACGAGGTGTGTGGCCAGAAACACCTATACTTCTCAAGGATCAAGCTAACCGTATATTCATATGTACAGTTGCATTTTAACACACAGAAAAGTAGCCAGGTCGATGGGCTACGCCACTTTGCTTATCAGAAGTCTGGCTTATTCTATAACGGGAAATCCAAAGAGGACATCCTAAAAGCGGGTTCCGTGACATTAGGAATTCACCAGTGGCATGACAATGGATTGTTCGCTGGTCGAGGCATCCTGATCGACTACTGGGCATATGTAAAGCGACATGGTAAGGCATATGATGCGACCGGTGGTGCTTCCATTACGTACGAAGAGCTGATGGCCTGTCTTGCCGAGCAATCTCAACTCTCAAGCCAGACTATCGAACTACGAAAGGGTGACATATTGCTGGTTCGCTCCGGGTTCACAGACAAATACGTTGAGCTATCAGAGCACCAGGAGCGACAATCAGCACACATGACACCCCCCAAGACATGTGGGATGGCCCAAGACGAGAGGCTGCTGCAATTCCTTTGGGAGAAACAGGTGGCCATGGTAGGAGGTGATGCGCCAGCGTGGGAGTGCTTGCCTCCTGCCCCATCGTCTAGCTTCCTCTACCATGAAGTCTTGATAGCTGGCTGGGGATGTCCTATTGGAGAATTACTCTGGTTGGAGGATCTTGCTCAAGCCTGTGGTGAGCATAAGAAATGGACATTCTTTCTCACATCGGCCCCACTCAATGTTCCTGGCGGAGTCGGCAGCCCTGCCAACATGATTGCCATTCTTTGAAGATTAACCCCACGATAACAACCGGAGAGATTGGTTTTTAATGAAAAACGGTATGTAGCGATATCGCATATGTAAGGGGAGCCTCCCGATAACGGGAATTCTTATCAATCTACTAGTGCTACCCCTCATCGGCATCCGCCGTCATGTCACCCCCCGCACTCCTTCAGTATCGTTATTACGTAACTTACACCACCAGTAGCCTTCAACTCCCCGCAGAATCAGAACGTTATGCGTACCGTACCATACCGAAGACCGTGATGCAACACCCCTCATGAACTTCTTGGAGATTTGGAGGACTTCACTTATTTAAGACCGACATCTTCGCTTTATGATTACTGAAATTAACATCCTCTAGTATACTTCTGAGTCCAATTGTACTTCTGTTTCCAGATCATCTCAATATTATTCACCATGTCTCTCGCAACACTTGACGTTAGATTCCCCGAGATATCCAACCACCCATACAGTACCCGCTAATAACTAGAGCAGACATCGCAACACCCCAACCTCCCCTCCGCATCCGCGACTCTCTTCCAGGCCAAAGCCGCCAAGAAATTCAGCTTCGAACAGATTGCCCAGCACATCGGTCGCAACGAAGTCGCAACCGCAGCCATTTTCTACGGCCAGGCCAAGGCCTCGCCGGAAGACATCACCAATCTCGCTTCCCTCCTAGAAATCTCTCAGGAGGCCCTGGAGGAGCAGCTCAGCGGCTTTCCTGATCGCGGCAAGTCCGTGGAAATGCCTCCCAAGGAGCCTCTGATCTACCGCTTGTATGAGATCGTGCAAAACTATGGGTATGCCTACAAGGCGGTTTTGAACGAGAAGTTCGGCGATGGTATCATGAGCGCTATCTCGTTCTCGACAAAGGTGGAGAAGGAGACAGATGCAGATGGAAACAACTGGGCCGTTATTACCCTTCGTGGCAAGTGGTGAGTACAATTCCTGTTGTTAGTGTAACGACTATGGTGCTGACAAGTATAGGCTTCCTTTCTCGAGATTTTAAAGGGATCACGCTAGTGTTACGAAAAGGCTGAGTGAGCTTTTATGGCTCGTGTATGTGGATTGATGATCTTATGTCCAATGTATCTATGAAAGTATATAGTACGAATGTGTATGCGTGACGACAACCTGCTTCCTCTCCTTGGTTGGTACAGTGTAGATTATGGGAGCAATACTCCCCGCCGCCAAGATAATTAGTTGATAATTTCAAGATGCAACTCTAGTACAGATTTATGTACAGTAAGTAAAAAATATCTCTGTACGCTCATCGCAAACGAAATAGCGGATGTACTGTACAAGGGACACTTGCAGCAGAGGAGATTTGGTGTAGTAACAAATATCTATGTTGGCAAACACATCTTATTAGACCCAATAAGCAAGTATTTCCATGGAGTCCACAAGGGGAAACTCACTAGATTGTGTTTGTTATAATAGAATGCTAGGGTAGCAAACAGAAGTATGTTTTCAGGAAGCATACAATCCACGTGGTGAAATTCACTTTCAACCCGGTCTGATTCACTTCACTAAAGATCCCCGGACACAACACCCAGTCATAGGATTCTCACACTCAACAATGCTTCTCTAGGATTGGGATCCTGTTTTATATCTCCATCTCTTTCCCTTTCTAACTCAGTCTCGTTTTATCTTCTCCTGATCACCATCTCCTCTCTCCTTGATACTCATACACTCCCCCTCTGCTGGTTTGACTGATACAAGTTGACATCGACATGGCTGAAAAAGCAGGTACCAAGAAGGTGCACTGCACCTACCCTCACTGCAAGCTGGTGTTTAATTCCGAAGGAGAAATGAAGCAACACAAGGCTTTTGACGATGAGCACGAATATTGCGCCCAGTGTGACGAGGACTTCGAAGACGAGGAGCGTCTTCTGATCCACAAGATCAAAAGTGTAAAGCATATCGTCTGTCCTGTTTGCGGCATCGAGTTTCGCAGCGATGGTGGCCGAAACGCCCACATTCGTCAGGTGAGACCTTAACCTATCCCGTGGTCATATTGACTAACCTGATCTCCGGTGAAGAACCACCACTCCATGCAGATTATCCCCTGCCACGGTTGCAAGGCTACGTTCAAATCTGCTAGCGGTCTGATGGCCCATATCGAGAAGGATGAATGTCCCACCATCCGCCACGCTCATCTCCTCCAGGAGCAGTCTAAGAAATTAATGATCAGAGAGGCCCTGGGCGCTGGTGACGGGACGTCCTTGCCAATTATCCCTCCCAAGGGTACCATAGAGGATGCCGACTACGATGATACTGATGGTGGGGTTATGCTTCAAACCGGTGAGGCGGCAAGCCTTGCGATGTCGAACAGAGAAGCCCTCAACAACCAGCCGAAGCCAGGCCAGGATGATCCCACTGCTAGTGTTTCGGCGATGCTTACTCTGAAACACTGGCCGACTTTGGGTGCAAATACCGCCAAGGGAACGAGTGTTGCGCCTAGTGAACTGTTAGCTTTCTCCGGGTTGAGCATCTCCACCGCGACAGGAAAAGACAACAAGTCGTGGAAGGGAAAGGAACCTGTCAGATCGACAACTGATGTCGCGTCGCCACAACGTCCATTCGGCGTTGGAACACTCCCCCCAGGAGACACACTTCGCATGCTCGACCGCGCATGGGACGCGACAAAGTTCTTTGATTCATTCACAGGCCAATACATTTGTCCCTGCAAGAGGGGCTTTGCCACCATGACCGAATTTGAGAACCATGTCCTGAGGGAGAGTCGCATGATGGAAGATAGACAGTACGTTGCCGCCCAACTGACAGATTATTGTCGCTAACTATGCAACCCACTGTCATTAGGTGTCCCGGATGTCTCCGCTTCTTCAAAACTAACGCTGCTTTGGTCGCGCACCTTGAATCGCCAAGCACCCGTTGCCACCTCAATGACAGTGAGAGATACGGTCAGATATTCGAGGAAATCACTGGCGGACTTATCCAAACGGCAGGATATACTGAAGATGGCACGATCAAGTATGAGGCTGGGAGGCTGGAAATAACCGATGGCTGCGAACCTGCCACAGCCACCATTGGTACGGACCTGCGTCTGCGTCCTCAGCGCCGGGAGTTCTAGTGCATTGCTCTGCTGTTATTCGCCTTCTATTTCGTCAATGTTCCAGCTGCAAGGACAACACCTGTGCAATTCGTATTTTCATGTCGGTACGGCGAACACTTTAACCCTGAGAGCGATGTATCAAAGTCTAAAGACACGGAACTCACAAGCGATGTGAGATAAAACAAACTGTTATTCCAATGAGGCAAATTTAGCTAGCAAGATCATGATTTCGACATCGAGAATTTCACAAGACATGTAGACCAATAACGCGTAGACGGGTATAACTCATAGCCAGATGGCCTTCCTCCACACGCCTTCCGATTGTAATCAATTTCCACCAAACTAACAACACTCTTCACAGCACTCAAAGCAAAGGATACCAGCGCAACTGCTCCAGTTAGCTCTCTGGGGATAGCTAGCACAACACGATATAGCAAAGAGGAAGAAATGAGACCTACATTCCACAGCAACAATCACCCGCGCCACCACCACGCAACTGCATTTTCTCTTGTGTGTTCTAAACAATCAGCCTTCTTCCCGACCAACTCGTGTGTAAATCCGAGAAGACATACCGGTTGCTCCGACACAGCACGGTCCACAATGGGAGCAGGAGGACTGGACGGTTGTTGCATCGTCATAGTGTTAGGATCCCAAGTTGGTTGTTGGGTACGGGGAGATTCGTCCTTCGAGGACTTGAAGAAGTCAAAGAGGCCCATGGTGTCTGTCTGGATGAACGCAAACTGACGATGAAAAAGATAACCGCGCTTCAATATATTGCAAGCAAATACGTCTCAGACGATATAGAATATAGAAATATAGAATCTATGCAAAAGAAAACTGCCACCAAAACCCACCCAAACAGCGACCCACGAGCCCTTAAATAAAGCCGGGGCGCGCCACACCGCAGTCAACAATGGAATTGAATGTGGTACCTGGAGCTGCGCCCTTCGGCTAATCGTACATCCCAATAGCCAGACCTCAAAGTGGAGCTACGTCCTCAGAACAGGGGCAACGCCAACCAGTCACGACCACGACAGGCTCCACGTCATGGGCTAAGCCCTGTCCGCTTGCGTTTCCATCGTCGATTGACCGGTGGTTTTTCACGGGGGTGGGTGCCGATTGGACCTGGGCTATATTGCTATCTGTAATATCACTCGACGGTGCGTGCAAGTTTCATTGTTATCGTCAAACATAGGCCTATCAATATCTATTAAAACAATCATGGACAGAAGTAGTCTATCTTCTCGCGTCTTCCGGCGGGAATTACTCGTCGATGGGGTCAAGATACTAGTACGTAAATCCTAACATCCGCAGGCAGCACTGTTTCGTGCCGACGGCCCGCTAAGCTTTGGTTAAGCTTTTGGTTTGGTTCCAGTGGCGAGTGAGCGTCGTGGCCTATTTTTGGGCACTTTTCGGCTACTACTACTTAGTAGTAGTTGTTACTACTAGTACTAGTTAGTTGCTGCAGTGTGGCCTTACTAATCGCCGATGGTATGCTCCGATTCGGGCTATTCGACGAATAAGTACCTGGTTCCAGACTTTCGATCCAGTTGTCTTGGGTCTACTAGTAGTTTAGATTCTAGATTCTGGGGTTTATGCGTTGATTTAAGAAATTGTGATTCAGGGTGTGGATGGGGAAAGGGGGGCCACGTTAATAAAATTCATTCTATGCCTGTGAATATCATTCCAGCAATATACGAACATGTTATTATATAGAGGATGAAAGTTTGCTTGCTGCTAACTACTAATTAATCCTTCATCTAACTAAGAGTTTTGCTGGAACTTCAGTAGATACCTGAACTAGCCCTACATCGCCCAATCAAGTAAAGCCGACCAAGCCAATCACCTGACCCAGTACCAAACTGCGCAAGTGACCCAACCAGACCCCCGTAACTTTTGCTCCAGATTCTCCAAACCCGCCTTATCAGAATCAAAGAGAAAAAAAAAATAATCACCGAAATCCAAGATCCACACCAAAAGCACCCAAACCCAAGCTTCACAACCATACACACCTCGTTCAATCACAACATCCACCGTAAAAAAGAAAGAACGAAAGAAAAGAGAAACACACAATGTCCACACCCACAACGGAACCCATCCAAGCCCGGCGCGAGGAAGACTACGCGCGCTTCAAAAACTACGCCGCCTACACATTCCTGGTCGCATCCCCGATCCTGATCGCCCTGCCGCCCCGGAAACTCGACCACCTGACTGTGCTGCTGGGCACCGCCTTCGCCTTCTCCGCGAACCATGTCACCCACGAGCGCACGGGCCGCAGCATCGTCGACCGCCTGCATTCGAAGATCTCCTCCGGGCGGACGATTGTCCCGTCGGGGTTGCCGAGTGAGCGGGCGCTGGAGATCCAGGCGCGGATGCGCGCGGCGCGCGAGAAGCAGTTGCGGGAGGGGGGGCTGACGACGGAGGAGATTGAGAAGCTGAGGGCGCGCGAGATGCAGGATAAGGGTGTGATGCAGAGGGTGTGGATGGGTGGGGAGTCCGAGGGGTGGAAGGAGAAGAGGCTGCGCGAGGAGCAGGAGGCGTTGGATGCGGGCAAGGGATATGGGGATTTGATCAAGGAGCATATTTGGGATGTGTGGACGTGGGGGAAGAACGATACGGAGGAGGGCAAGAAGGAGTGAGTTGGTGTTTCAACTCTCAGGGAATGAAAATGTATAGTATATTTGGTTTATTTTGCATCTGGGATGGGGCGTTGGGGGTTCACTTTATTTATTTATGTACTTTGTTGGAGCGTTGGATAGGGCTCGCTTTTGTATAGTATGTATAATATGGTTATGCATGAGATGTCATGCTGTTTCTCCGCTTATTGTTGCTCTACTGATGGGTTGGGAAGGCTGTGGAAGGTACACCTGCTACCTGAGCTTGTAAATATCACTATTCTTTGATGACTTACCTTGGTTCATCTAAAAGCCTTATGTCTGCTACCTTTCATCGTTGTAGTAGACGGGGAAGTTCACCTCCATTGGTGGTTTATCTCAACGGTCTTGTTCATATCACTTCTGCTTGTTCTCCAATTTATGTCACTGGTAAAATGCTCAGCAATCAGAACTCTGGCAAGTTATCTGTCGGCTATTGTGTTAGTAAGCGGTATGAATTGATTATAGGCCATACCCTACCAGCGGTAGATCAAACTAGGTAAAACAAACTGTACATCACCATATGAATTCTCGGCCTATATCCTACTTTTTTAGACAGGTTTGTTTGATGCATACCTGGAGATAGGTCACATTCTACAACCTACAATACTATAGAAGACTCTACAAATCACTACGTATTCAGTGAATACAGTGGAGAAAAAAAAACTCCATTTCTAAATCAAAACTAAACAATCAAAAACAAAAGAAAAGAAATTGCTCTCCTCCCATTCGGGCCTTGGAACAAGGGAAACATCCTCGCCACGTCCGTAGACTTTATATGTACGAGGTAAAAACCCTGAACAGGATGCAGAACATAAGAAACCCTTTATTCCATATCCTCCAGCTGACCTTTTTATATAGGCCGCTTTTACCTTTATAAAAATGGTAACCTGTCTTTAAAGACAAGGTTACTTTAAAACCCCCACTGCAGTCTGCTTTATGGGCTAGACTACTCTAACGTCCCCTGATAATACATAGTAGCCTGTCTTTAAAGACAAGGTCTACTGTAATACCTCCACTGTAACCTGCCTTTAAAGGCTAGGTTACTCTTAACGTCCCCTTTTTAATAAAGACAACCTGTCTTTAAAGACAAGGTTGCTTGAAACTACCCCGCGTAGCCTGCCTTTTATAGACATGGTCTACGCTAACGTCCCCAATATAAAACCCCCTTTGTCCTCCCCAACCTACCCATACAGAGTAGGTTGTATACCTAGGCGGGACACCCACGGCACGCTGCCATGGGTGCCCCTATAAAAAAAAAACATCAACCCCATGACACGTCTGCCATGTGGGTTACCCCTTATCCTCCACTTCCCTCGTTTTTATTCCTCCACCTGTAACCTCATTGTTGTGTCCGTTGTGTCGATATAAGGGAGCCATGTGGTGAGTGTGTTTTAAATCAAATGACTTGAAATGACTTGCATGACTCGGAGGGTTATTCGATTTGGCGGGCATCAATGTTTGTTTGTTTGCCACCATGACTGCCGCTAGCCTGCCTTAAACTGATGCAAAGAAGGTAGAAAGATTTAACAAAAGAGAAGCATATCCAGCCCGGCCGCTCCCATTGGGGCGCCCTTTAATTCAATGGAGCCGCCAGCAGTTGGTTGCGAGGTCCACGTCGAAGCATGTTTAAAGCACACTTTTTTGGTGGTTTTGTTATTTTGATCTTTTTTTTTGTTCTTTGTTGTTTGTGTGTAGGCATTGGGCGTCGCGGCAGTCTGGCGCTTGGAGGGTTGATTGTCGATTGATGTGAAGGCCAGGCAGCCCTTATTATCGTCAAGCAGTGACTTGAGCTACCTGGCCTTCATTGAAAGATATGTGGGAAGGCCAGGCAGCCCTTATATCGTCAAGATGTGACTTGGGCTACCTGGCTTCCGTAAGAGTCGATTTAAAAGAAGTACAGGGGAGGGGCCTCAGTCATTTCGATGTCCTGAGGCTCCTCCCCTGTACTCAGGGCGAATTGTGGGGCGGCCTATGAGACGTCAGTTTCATATCTCAGAGTCGGAAGCAGCAGGTGATACTCACAAGGGCGAGTGCCGCCAATTGTTGTTCAACGGAGGGGGACGTGATGAACATGTCGACCATCACCACGTCCTCCACTTCAGATGGTGGGGACGCAGTGAACACATCGACCATCACCACGTCCCCCTGAGGAGGGGGGTGAGGGATGGAGATGCCGCGCTGCCTCACCGGCTGCACGTTAAGCGCGGGCGCGTCGCGCATGATGGTGTCGCCATCCCGGGACACCCGTGGCTTAGGGCCACGGCGTTGACCCGGGTGTCTAGGCGCATTGTTTGGACCACCATGCTGGGGCCCCTCCCTTGGGGAGCAGGACCCCGGCGACTTCTCCGAGGGGTGAATTTTTTGTTTTGCCCTGGCCCCTGTGACTGGCGGGGGCCCTGCTTCTGTACTCTGTTATTTCCATTGGCAGGGTTGTTATTACCTCCGCGGGAGCCACGGGGGTCAGAGGGGGGTGAGGGCCAAGACCCTTGATTGGTCTATATGCCATCGTTAGCTCAATGATCAAGCATCGTCAGACGACATCCACTTACCTCGGGCACCTCGTTGCGTCTCCTGTTCCGGCGTCTATTGCCAGATCCAGTATCCTGTGGCCTCCTGCCGGCGCGGTCATTGGCACCGGCAGTTTGTACGAAGCCGTGACCCGGGTGGGATACGACGGGTCCTTCTCCGACGAAAGCCATGTTATTGCTAACTCGGGGGGGAATGGAATGAAGAACAAACGCTAACAGGTGAAGAGCAGTTGATCGGAACGGAGGAGCAGGTGAATAACAATTTTAGGAGGGTCAGAATTTCACTGCTAGTCTTGGCCGCACTTATTCTCAAGAACGGATCCCTTTCTTTCCTTCGTGAGGAAAAAAGGTTAAAAAAAAGATAACTTTAAGCGTAATTCAAGATTTGTTTGAGGTGCGGTGTGGATATGATATTTTTGGGGGGAGATATTTAAAAGCAACGTTCCGATTTGGGTGTTGGGTTACAAGTTCCTAGTTCAGTGGGGTGCTTATAATGTGTCGAGGTCTATATCGGTTGTTAAACTCGTCTGGACTCTTCGACGCTCGTTTCTTGTGCTCGTTCAGGTGGTAGACAAATGTTATCAAACGAATCAAGTGGGTTGTGTTGGTGGATAGTAGATCGTAGCAGTAGCAGCAATGGAGTCAAGAAAGACGGAGAAAGGAAAGTCTTTCGCAGGGGGAAGAAGGCGAGCGTTAAATACCAGGGCGCCTACGGACGTCACTCTTGCTTAATTGAGCATGTTTGGTTCTTTTCGACGACAGTGGGATGCAACGGTGGTGGTATTATCTGGTAAAATATGACTGCAAGTATATACTTTCAAAAGAGGAAATCTGGGGTAATCCGGGGAACCTGGAGTGATTACCCGGTATCCACGGAATCAACCGCGGTGGTTCATCGTATTTAGCCCCAGAACCTTCCACTTGAGCCTCATGAATATACACAATAGGCTTGTAGTCCGCCATGCTTCTCGAAGAGCATACAGTCCATCCCCATCTGATTCCAAGTAAAAGAGGCATCAATTGGCAGAGTGCCTTTGTTTTGTCTGTTGAAACCCACGATGTTTCACAGGACAGGAGGAGTCCCGGACTTGCGCTTCTGGCGCTTTGTTCTTCGTTGTTCTTCCAAAGAACCGACGTCAGACCCCTGTTCAGAGTCAAATGCCTTCAAAAATTTCTTCTTGCGACCAGTGTCCCATGGTACATCAATAATACCGTCCTGAGGCCTCTCGGTTTTGGTCTTTTTCTTCGGTTTTGCAATACCGCCGGGGGAAGAAGTGCTACCTGTTGACGCCATACTGTCCCGTTTTCTCTTCTCCGGCTTAGAGCTCCTTTTCCTTCTTTGCTCTTCTTTGATTTCCAGTCGACGCTGGACTTCTTCGGAGATGTCCTCTGTTTCCAGAGCCACCGGCGTTACATTCCTCACATCTTCATCGTCACCTGGCATCATCATGTCCAGTCGCTTGCGCTTCTGATACTGCACTGCTCCGACAGGCATGGTATCTGTACTTTCGTTCTCCACCTCCATACTGTCAGTGTCCACCCGGGGCCGTTTCCTCCGTTCCTTTGAATGACTGCGTCGTCGTTTTGACGAGTCGCGGCTAGATGACGTAGACGTCGTCCGGTATTCATTCGATGTCGCAGTTGGTTTTTCTGAAGACTCTCGAAAATTTCCTGGTTCTGTCACAGGGTTACCTTCATGCAACGGTAGCAACGATTCTTCAGCACACAATACGTACTCGAAATCTGTTGCCTAACATTAGCATCATACATGATCATGATTACGACTCAGAAAGAAAAGTGATTTCTTCACGAGAAGGTTCTCGCACAGAGAAAAAGATACAAAAAAAAAAAAAAAAAAAAAGGGGATTGGAAAAAGGAAAAGGAAAAATCGTTCACTAACGAATTGTTTCTTCACCACGCGAAACTGCGTCACCAATCTATTCGTCTTCTCAATCATCCCAGCAACCATTTGCAACGCGTCATCATTAGACACATTATGTTGCACCACCTTCAACATTTCCAGATGTGACGACAGAACCGATTCATGCTGGGCGCAGATCTGTAATGAAATTCATACTCCTTAGCGATCTCTGACATGATGGGTATCGTGCGTCATTAACGCGGGGAGACGTTCGCGCACCTCCGGCCATGATATTCGATTGCGCGGGGCGGTACTTTCGGTCGAACGGGGTTCTGCATGGAGCGCATCATTTTCCTCCTCGACGGTTGGGTTTAGCGAAGGGCGATCGTGGGTTTGTGGCATTGTGATTTGGGAGCGCGCGACACCGAGGTTAAATTTGGGGAATTCTGTGGCGCGTTGATCGGCGGTTGCGTTCTTCAGTTTCTCCGCGCCAAGAAGAAGCTCCCGCTTAAGCTTCAGGTACGCCAATCATGGGGGAGCGATTTATTGGTTCGCATCTAGCCCTACGTTTGTTCACTACCGGGGGGTGAATGTCGTGGTACGGATCGTGTAGTAGATATATATCTATATTTACTATATCCAGCCATACAACTCTACATGGTGTCGATAATATACCAAGCTCACTATACGTTGCTGTCACCCTACTGATAATCATATTCAGATTGCAATCCCTGCGATATATATTATCTTATCGTCCCATGCCAATGTTTTCTTGTGCCCATTGTCAACGCCCGAGATACTGTCACTCCGCAACCTCAACAACCAACTTTGTACAGCTCACCCCCTGGCGCAGTCTGTCCAACCCAGAATTAAGAGCCGCCAAACCCTTGCCCACGACGTTTGGCTGCGGACTCGGCCTGATGCCCCCCTTCGCCAGGTTCTCCCTCAGCCACGTGCCAATCCAGTATCGAAACTGCTCCAGTCTCTCCCCTTCCACCATCGATGGCATCACAAATATCGTCTCCACTCCCTCCACGACCTCCGCATCTGGTGGCACGACGGGTGCCGACGCAATTTTCGCTATCTTCGTGTTCTCCCCTTGATCTTCTCTGAGGAATGTCTTAAGCACAGCCTGACATGCCGCCAGCTGCCCGATAGCAAGAAAACAATGTCGGATCACTAATCCGTCCTCCTTAGCCGCCGAGACGATCGCATCCACAACTCGTGAGTCTTTGTAGTCGAACACACGATCCGCGCCCAGCGAACCTACATAACTCTTATTCGCCGATCCGGCCGTGGCGTACACAGCTGCGAAAGAGGAGTTGCGATCTTCCCGCAATAATCGGGCTGTTTGGACACCCATAGTGCCGACACTTGAGGAGGCACCCCAGATTAGGAGTGCTTCTTTTTTTTCTGTATTAATCCTAGCAGGGGCTTCACCCATCCGGGGGATGCCCATGGCATCCCACGCGCTAAGGGGCACCTGCACGGCGACGGGCAAAGTTGCCGCGTGGTTCCAAGACATGTCCTCACCCGGAAGGGGCACCGCATGCTGCCATGGGACGAGACACCGCTCCTGGAATGGGCCGTAGTCTGGATCGCAGGATTTCCAGACTAAAGCGGCGTATGCAGCGACGCGGGTGATGCCCGGTCGGAAGGACGCCGGGACGTTGTCGCCGACCTCGAGGACCAACCCCGACACGTCGAAGCCAATGACCGTGGGGTAGGCTGGTATGAAGAGACCTTGGTCACGCATGATGGTGTCTGCCGGGTTGAGGGCTACGGATTTGACCGCGATGAGGAGCTCGTCTGGTCCTGGCTTTGGGGTAGAGCGGGTTCGGATCTCAAAGGGTTGGCCTTTGGCTGGGGAGACGGCGGCGAGGTGGGTGGCCATTTGGAGTTTTGTGCAAGTGGAAGTTTTCAAGTCAAGGTTTCATGATTTGATATAGGAAATTCAGGAATGACCTTCTTCTTATACGTATGCTTGGATGTAGTGACGGCTTTGCCTTCGGTTGACTATATCCCAGCTCTTATTAACTTGGTTCTACTCTAGATCAAAAATCTTATATCTATCGCGTAAGTCTTGGCTGCTGTCGATAATTTACGAGTAATATATCAGTACTTAGAAACTGTAGTAAAGGCGAACGACAAGTTCAGTAACAAAGGCCGGATGGATTGTTTATATATGTAGCCGGAATCTGTACACTTTCGTCAGCACTGAGAGTAGTTTCTTTTTCACGGTTGTCATCCCTTACTGTTTCCGTTTTTAGGCTTTCTTAGTTTAGCTTCTAGTAGCCACCAACCTCAAATGGAAATGCTCTGCTGCGAGTCCAACTGGAGTGCTGATAGTGTTGTGATTGGTTTTATTGGACCCACCCACCGTGCCAAAGTAGATTTGGTGCTGTCATTCGGGTGTGCAAGGATCCCGTGACCTTGCGGTCGACAATGATTGATTTGTTCTATTACATAAAGAGGAATGTCAACCGAAAAAGGGTCAGTCCTCTAAGCTTTGGTACTTGGATCTACTAGGATAGAAATTCACCTTGTCATGTTGTCAGGCGCGGGGTAGTCGAAAAAGCAAAACCTCATGATACCGACCATCTACTATCGTCTGGATTGAAGAGAGATATGTATGCTTGTAGCACCGAATTCTCTCCTTAAGACCATTTGAATCATACCCAGAAGGCATCAATCAATATTGCCTGGCAATGAAAGCCGTTTAATACGTTTAGGACTACGGATGGACATGACCCTCTGCTAAAGCCCCTTAGAAATGCTAGCCTGATGACGTTATTATAGAGCATAGATGAGCGTGAAACAGTAAAGGGTAGTCTCATGTTATGACTATTGTTCAGGAATATAGAGCAATATATAGATACCGCGACAGGCCTCATGACATGCCAATCCTGCCCAATTTCGCGAATTCGGAGCGTAAGCGGCCATTAGTATCAGAGGTTTAGGGGTCAGTTGCTGTAAGTTCATCAGGACAACTGCCGTCTTCATCCAGGTTAGCCTAAGGAAGCGTGTGCAGAGGTACGTCCTGGTAGAATACCATGAAGGTTTCCTTCACTAGAGCTGTCATCGTTATCTTCTGCCGGATTTCCACCTTTCTTCCCGGCCAATTTGGCTCCAACTGCCGCAGACCCCATTATCCCAAACCCAATATTCGAGGCTGTCGTAAATGTTCCCGCGGCAGCACCTCCCATTGCAGCTCCTTGTAAGGTGGCAAACAAACTCCCGGCTTGGATACACCCAATTGAAGACTGCCATGCGGCAGCTAGGGAAGCCGCCACTGGCCCCGTAGCGCTGAAACCGACGGCTCCTAGTACTAGAGGGCCGGTGATAGGTACCATTGCGAGTGCTAGTCCCGCGCTGCCAGCGGCCAGGGCTTTTGGATGATCTCGACCAACCGTCTGTCCAAAAGAGATCGTTGATGCCGTTGCCTGTCGTAGACGTTGCATAGTGGTTGTAGCAATAATCCTAGAATCGGAATGGGTCGAGTTGCAGTTCTTGACGAGGTTGAAATGAAGTTCAAAGGACAAAGATGTCGAAAGATTCGTCATGGAAGTGGCGTAGAAGCTCGAAAAAGTGCGACCGAAGCGGGCGGGGGATGAAATACAATCACGTATCAATCGATCAACTCAACCAGGCTGACATGAACACGTGTAAGCGCCTACTATAGCTCAGTATTTCAGTATCACATCCATGAGGGGGACCAATCATGCAGGCCACGTCAGTGATTTACAGTGGGCTGAAGTTCCATTCCCACTGATGCCCCCCTTACTAATACTCCCCTCACAGTCGATATATACCCTTTGTTTTGTAGGCTGATACCTATATAGAAAAATACGGTGGCCCGGACGTAATATGTCATATCTAATACAGAGAAACCCTTTGCAGGACTAGACTAGGTAATCCAACTCACAAGGAATACTTCTTGCTTCAATGTACTCGCAATTCTCGAGAAATGCTAGCCGAACATGCATGACGAGTGCGCCACAACATAACATGACTCGCAAGCGCCCACGCACTCTCTTTTGCCTAGCCTCCCCCCTTCCCCCCTTTAATGCGCAAGAAAAGCCAGCAATGTCTCGTACAAGGTGCGAGAGTTCAAATGGGTGACATATCCCCTCCAGGTATCAAAACCTCCAATCAGGGTAACATTACCTCATCAATCACTATTTCCGAAAGTCCTGAGGTTATAAGATACGTACATCCGAGAGCCAGACACACCAGCTCACATATTCCACTCATCAGAGGTCCTTGTGACAGATAATCTGCGCCTCTTTGTCTTTTGTTGATATGAAAATCTGTTTCTTTCTACTTGGTCCGGCTGTAAATTAGAGTTTTCTTGGCTTTAGAGACGACACCGGATTGTGCATCCAGTAACTGGCATTTACCGGATGTTGACACTAAGTGTCTGTGTGAACTGTGGGTATAACACCGGGGACCACCACGAATGATGGCCCTGCCATGGACCTTGTCTCACAAGCCTAGCTTAAGTGTGCTTAGCGGACCATGGTATAACCCAACCCACAATCAAGCTAACTGGCGGCTAACCTGGGCCGTTTTAACCCCGACGTTGGGCGCGTGGACACACCCAATGCGGTCAAGCACCACAACAGGACTCCCTAATATGGCGCGTCGCAGGGGATTCAGCATCCCATGTACAAAGATTCTCTATTCAAGATCACAAAATTCTATAGTATGAGACGATCGCCGGGCGATTTTGCTATGGATAATCAATTGTGGCCGCCCGTGAGGGTGAGAGACCCTCAGGGCCGCAAATAGAGTTACTAATTCCCATAACCATGGCATACCGTAGGATCAACGCTCCTATATGTCAAGGAAACCCGCAGGGCGTTATAGCTTTTGGTTGCCTGCAACATCTTGATAGCATATACATATTGTAGCACTACCTATCCTCTATGTACGGTGTCTTAGGAATTCAATGCTATTTAGTTTGAACACAGTGTTCCTCAACCAGTCGTTTTGTTATAACCATACATTAACCTTTGGATATTCGAAGGAATCTCTACTGGAGAAGGGATTCCGACTATATAAGGCCATCCCCAAATAGGATCGCAGGGACCTTCGTATATATAAAGAGTGCGGTGGGCTTTAGATTATATAGATATTTCGACAGAACATGGCTTATATAGACAATCAAAACTCCCAGCTGAAGAATCTTAATTGTGTCTTGTAGAGATTAAAATATCGCAAAGAACTTGCACAATATATCTGTATAGCTGTAACTCTGAATCCAAAATCCCCTTACTTATCTGCAGTATAGGCAAGGAAATTGGAATCTATCTGAAATCCTCGGAGGTACAACTAAAATCCACCGAGGAGCTGCAATATATATGGAAGATTGATGATTTCTTACTTGAGTCTCTATTTGACAAATATCTAAGCAAACACTCAGTGGGAGTATATATGCAGCTGTTGCGAGAGGTCGGCCGATCTTTCCATACTGTTTGGTATGAGGATATTATCCAGATATAGATTGAGTATATTAAAATATTATTCTAAATTCTAATATATAGCGTACTAGCGGCCCTCCAATACTGTATTGGATATGCAATATTAACAAATTAAAGAAGAAAGCACTCAACTCCTTGAAAGATTATATCTGGCTGAGAAGAATAAAGCAGTGCTAGAATTGACAAAGACAAAGGTAGAGGACAAAGTATAGACCCAGAAGACTATGATTCAAGAGTCTATATATCTCTATCAACAGAATATGCAGTATTGGATGACTGTGGCGGTATACTACAGAACGAATTATATACAATGTGTGGATTCGCTGAGGCAATTGATTGTATTTGCTCAAAATGTGGAGTTCGAAGCCTCGTCTCTCTTGTCAGAATGATATGGTCAATTACATTATTTAGTTGGTGGTGATTAGGGACACTCCTTACAGGTAGTAACACTAACAAGGGCAGTGGCATATTGCCATGAAGCCATGTAAGCAAGAGATGAGCAGATGATATGCAGGTATACATCTTCCGCAGTGTGCTTTCCATGAGTGATTCAGCACACACAAATATATGCAAGACTAGTCAAAGGTTTTCAAGGACCTGGTTAATGTATTACATCAGGATTATAAATGAAAAATACTACATATGCTGGGTTACTCATTTGCTTCACTTCTCTTTTTCCAACTTGATGCTATTATCACAGTACATATAATATCTATATAAAAGCTAGTGTTGGACATCTGCAGCCATGGTGTATATGGTGATATATTGTGTCAATAGGACAATCACAGAAACGTGAACAGAATGAGGAGTGTTCAGAGGTTGAAAGTCGACACCGCAAGTCGGGCTCGAGGCCAAATAGGGATACGTGTCAGAGTGCCATGCAACCTAGCCATATCACGAGACGGATACAGAGTTTTGTACCAGTCACTTTTGACAAGAGATTTCGTCCGTCTTCGCACTCGGACTTGCGATTGACGATATATGGTGTCGGCCGGATGTCAGCGTCGAGGACTAATTGATCTTTAGAGACATGTCTGGCAAGGGTAAACAGGAGAATATAAACAGGCGTGTGGAATTTCTTTGAGTCATAATCTAATCATTCCAGCCAGGATATGTCCCTTCATGCGGATGCATTGGCCGGCGTGGTCATGTCTGGTGAAAGTCTAGATTCAAACCGACGTTGAATTCAATCCCGTGAAGGCGGTTAGTCAATATCCGGACAGGCTATTGGATCTCAGTTGGAATAGGGTATCGTACCCTATGCGGGATTAACTTATAATACCAGATACTTGACGGAATGGTTGAGGAAGTACACTGAAATCCGACTGTCTATTGCCAAATCCTATTTGTCACTCTAGTGGAGGTACAACAAGCATAGTCTCTCTCTTTTGCACCCCCACCGTAGAAATGAATAGTATGTGGCGCCATAATCTAATTTAGCTAGTGTATCAAGAGATTTGACGAATAGCACAGAGTGAGTTTTAGTCTTAGTTCTGCAGCAGCGCATTCCGATCTAAGAGTTCGAGATTCGCTAGGGTCCTGCAGCTACGTCCGGGAGTTTTAGAATACATTATTTTAGCGCGTTTATCAAGCAATAGGAAAGAATTGTATAGGGACCACGTATCTTCTTGGACTGTAAAACACTCGTCTTTTGCATGTGAGATATCTAATTCTCTCGGTTTGAAGAAACGCATTGGGCTCCTCCATATGGTTCCAGGACCGATCTTGATCTTGAGGGAAACACGGTTTTGAGGGACCAGTAAGAGATCCATGCCCTGTTACCATCGGATGCAATTGGACAAGAGCCCTTGCCGTGTCCAGCCGCGTGTTGTCTTGGTCCGTGGACAACATGTAGTTCTCTGTGTTCCGTTGGGGGTATACCACTGTATCATTCCCATCGACCGCTATGACCTGTAAGAAGGGTTCTTTTCAAGCTTTTTACAAAGATGTCACTGTCCGTGCTGGTTGATCCATCTGCTTAAATCGTAAAGAGCGAATACGTACTCACCGTCGTGACCAGAGCTTATCTTTAGGACTCACCGTCATCTGATGACCATAACGTATAAAAGTGACCCCCCAGGGTCTTCACAACGAAAGACCAGCCGAACTAGTTAGTTACTGGCTGAAATTAAACCACAGTTAATAAAGTTATTCACATTCAATTTATACTGATATAGAGTGTTCCCCCTCCCTCGCTAAAATCATTGTGCTCGCCCACTTGCTCCGAGATTGCCAACAATTCCCTCCATGAGCTTTTCGCTCCGTCTGCCAACTTAGGGCTTCTACATACATTGCACCGTCCCCGACGGGCCCAAAGATCCTGGATACTACTACACTCATGCTCTTGTATCATATTTTTCACCTACACAAACTACCATTGCCTTTGAAGACCATGTGATGCTTTCTTCCCTCTTCTGTTCTCTCTCTTTCACAGTGATTTCTCTGCCTTCACTCTCCTTGGGTATTTATAAAGCACGAGTCCTCCCCACCCTTCTGTTCTTCAATCTCACCCATCCTCTGCTCTTTCTATCCGGCGACATCTCGTCTATCTTATATCACCACCGTAAAGCTCTGATGACCGCATTAAGTTGATGGAAACAAATCATGGACCACACTGATATCGTTGTCATCACAATAATGAATGTGTGGGAGCTGAATAGGCGTGCATTCCAGCCAGATGCTGTTATTCTGGACGAGGCAAGCCTTTTTTGAGATCCTGAAATCTTTCATGCCCTTTCTACTCTGCCCTCTGTGAAGAGGGTCTTGATGGTCGGAGACCACAAGCAGTTGTGTCCGCCAACGTTCAACCCCCCAAGGAGCAAGGATATGGAACATATCCGTATTCGAGAGACTGAGCCAGGCAGGCTATTCATCGGTAATGCTGGGTGTCCAGTATCGTTCCCACCAGAGCCTGTACGGCCCAACCTCCAAGATCTTTTTTACAACGGAGAGGTGCGGTCCGATCGCACTCATTGCGACGTGCATATGAATCCGTTTTTCGTTGGAGCATTTGCGATGGAATGGAACAACCTGATCTGGCATTTACCGCGAGAAATCGGGTCTCTTCGTTATGTGTGTGT